ATTATCGGATGGCAGCAAGGGAAGGGAGGAGGTTCCTTGGGTCTTTTTGAGGCATGCTGCGGCTCCCTGGGACTAAAAAGTTTGAGAACCCCTGGTCTAGCGTATTCATAGCAGAAAGACCAGCAGCAAAGGCTTTTATTTTGAGCCAGTGTCAGCAAAGGTGTATGACTCCTCAGACCTGCAGATGTGTGTGGCTATCTCGCGATGCGTCGCGCACTAATGGTTACAACTGGATTTACTTCATAGAACTGATTCTTGCGTTTGAGCCCATGCGCTCGGCCCATTGGCTATGTGGAGAGCAAGTTGTCTGCTTTTTGAGCAATGGTTACTGTGACGTCAGAACAATGCAGAGTTCTGATTGGCTTTGATTGGAAGAATAGTCGGTAGACCTCAATGCTAGATGGCTTGAGGTCTGGCCACTATTTTTTTCAATTAGCCAACAAGAGCTCGGCGTTCTGACATCATCGCAACCCTTCTGCATGAAGCAGGCGAATTTGCGCTCCGCATTACTTCATATTTGTTGAATATTTGGCACCATCTGTAGATGACATTCTCGTACATCGAAGGTTATTTATTTATTTAGTATAGTACCTCAAATTCCCCATAGAGGGGGTATCACGAGGAGGTTAATACATCGGAAGATGACTCATTTCATTCGCTGCTTCGAAATAGAATAATGTAACATAACCGAGAGTTACTGCATGGCCATTAGCCACTGCATTCATGTAATGCAAGCCTGCAACCCCGTTCCTTTCAACAGTTGCTCACATGCTGGAGTGCGACCACCCGACTGCCATTGTGACTGCCTGTGGTCCCACGACGAGGAGAATGAAGCCCAAGTGCTTGACGGGCAACTCCGCTAACTACTTCCCACCCCTCATCTCCCTGGACGACGAAGAGACCAACCTCAACGAGCCTTTTTCCGAGGTCTTTTCTTTGAGCGTTTCCAATGAATTTTCGGGAGCCCATCCTACTCTGCCCACCATCTCTACAGCCTTGCCTCCTCCTGTTGGTAAGTCAGTCAGTGAGCATCATTGATAATGCTCGATTGAGGCGGTGTGCACCCTTCGGGGCAGAAGCTTTTAATTTTCCAAAGCACCTTTTGAACCAGCAATCCCCAGAAATGCAGTTTTACATTTGCCAGTATTCATATACCATCACCACTTTGCCGTTAAGGCTATACATTGAAGGGGTGTGCTTTGTACCTGACTTCGAACAGCTCCATGCAAGCATCATCTCTCTGTGAATCTTTTGACAAGCGTGCATCTCGCGGGGATTACATTGACTGTGTCCGACGGAGCCAGATGCTGTTCTTGCAGCGCGTACCGAACAGAATGCGAAGCATTTGCCTCCCAAATTGGAAATACAGTAGACTCTCATTAATTCAAACTCCAGGAAGTCACAGATTTTAGTTTGAATTACCAGAAGTTTGAATTATCAGAAATTCATATAAATATGATACTAGACAACTTTATGACTTGTTACATGGATAGCTACGTATACAAAGCAGATTTTTGCCAGTTTCCTCTACATAGGCCTAATTATAAGCAAGTACAGGTATAACACATTGGTGAAAGAACTGTGACAATAAGTTTATTCATCCGGCAAAAAATTTGGCGATTGTGGACTGTTTAGTCAGTACATGAGATCTCAAAACAAAATTTTCAATACCAGCCAATGCAAGTAGCTCTTTACGGGACTCTTCCTTTGCAGACAGAAACTTCCGGAGCTGAGCGATGTGCTCAAAGGCCTTTGCGGCAGTGACAGTTGGTAGTGGGTCATCCCTTTCTTCATCATCATCTTCACTCTCACTGCTGCACTGTGCTGGCATTACTTCCTCATGTCCTCTAATGAGTCATCACAACAAACACGCAGATCATCGTCAAGACTAGCATATTCCACCAGCTCGGCATTCACATTATGTGCTTCAAGGCCAGAAAGCATGATGCCCGTGAGCTGTTCCTCATCCTCGATGTCGTCTTGGTCATCATTGCTAGTCTTGAAACACGTAATGTGAATGCCGTTTTCCGCTAATGTGTGCCTGCTTGAGCCCCGTTGAGTGCGCTTCTTTCCGAGCACCGGTGCATTGCGGAGAAGCAACACTCGCGAGAACAAGCTCCGCGGGTATTGCTTCTCTGCGGTGCACTGGTGCTCGGAAAGAAGCGCACTCAACGGAGCCGCGAGAACAAAAAACTATGAATTAAGCGAAAACGCCGTTCGAATTAAGCGGCTTATAAATGCATTAAAAACATAGCGGGACAACCAAAATTTTCAGATCTGTTTGAATTAACCGGAAGTACGAAATATTCGAGTTTGAATTATCGCGAGCCTACTTAAATGGCAAAAGACTCATTTTATTCTATCTCTTTAGGTGAATTGTACTTGGACCAGTAATGGTGAAATGGTTGATTTGCTGGGAAGTTGATTCTCCCTTCTCTAATGTTCAATCTTTAGACTTTTTAAGCCTAGCGCTTTTGCATATCATTTTATAGTTTATGTACTCATCCAGCAGGAGAATTTAAAAATGGTATATGTGTAAGATCCCATTCACAGTTCTTGAAGGACTGCAAAGTGTGCTCAATCTATTTCTCGGGGAAAGTATGGCAATGTCTCTTTAATATGTGGGCACCTCCATTACTCAAAATATTCTTTATAATGTGAACTGTCTGTAATAACGAAACGTCCCCCAAAACTTCTTTCCTATTGCGAGGTATCCATATTAACGGGGTCTGTCTTATTAAGACACGACTGCATCAGCCACTCAGATAGACATTACTGCTTGTTACCTCCGAGACACTCTGCGAGAGTTCTTCAAAGTATAGAAATCAATAGATTTGTCGAGAAGACGGGCAAGCCGGCTATAACTTAAAACCTTGTTTATTTATTGTGTTGTAGGTTTCAAGGTTCTAGAGCAGGGGTTCTCAAACTGGGTTCCGGTGAACACAGGGGTTCCACGAGCTGGTCTCTTGGGTTCCGCGAACACCCAAATTGCAACCCCCCCCAAACCGCAGGCTGCGCGGCAGGACCATGCCAAGCGCAATCATCTCACTTTGTACTGACATTGCGATTGATATGGTGGCGATATATGGGAAGCAACACAAGCAAGATTGCCTACAATTGTGCATCTCTTGCTTCTCGGTCGGCAAATATGGGGGGGGGGGAGAGTGTTCCGCGGCAGTTTTTGAGGCTTCCTGGGGTTCCGTGAGACCAAAAAGTTTGAGAACCCCTTTTCTAGAGAAATACTATAGTTAGAAAAATGGGACAGTTTAGCCAGTAGAATGCGGATAAACACCTAATACTAAGAGGAACGAACCCACGATGCACCCTTTCTGTCTGCCAGATTCTAAGAGATTTGACACAAGACTGCAAAGACGAAGTAAAAAAAAAAATTGCTCCAAAGACTTTTTTTTTTTTCTTTTACTTTCTTTTCTGTTGCAGTGGACCGAGACAGCCCGAGCATCCTCAACATGTTGGGGCTCATGCGCCGTCCATCCTTCTCCTCTTCCCACGAAGACACCAACGACGCGTGCAACAGCAGCATGGTGAACAACAACAGCAACAGCAGCAGCAGCATGCCGTTCCTGCCACAGCCGGCGGAGTGCTCCTCGGCGGGGCCCAAAAGTGCCGGGGAACGCCGGGCGGCCAAGGGCTTGCCGACGGGAACAGACTCGGACTCGGAACCACCCGTGCTCGAGCCGCAGAATGGCGCCGACGGCGGCCGCTGCGATGGCAACCACTTCTCAAACGAGGCTCCGAGCCTTGAGCCGGAGGTGGAGCTGGTGGAAGGGGAGGCCGTCTCGTCGGAGGACGGTTTTGCCGAGCAGCAGACGAGGACGACCTCCCCGGACGAGACGCTCGAAAAGGGAAGAGAGGAGGGGAGGAAGGTGAAAGAAAAGACATGGCCCAAGCTGGAGCCCTGCATTGTCCTCGACAGTACCGCCTGAGTTTTGTACAAGAAATAAAGTTGCAATATATTTTTCCAGCTTGTACGGCAAAGTTCCGACTGCACGGTTGCGCGTCTCGTTGGGATCATGAATTGCCGTCTGTAATGTTGCCGTATTCAGTGGCGTGCAAGCAGTCAAGTTGCGCGAATTTGGGAATAAATGGCTGCCATTTTCTAACGTGCTGAAATGACCGAGCGTGTAATGAAGTGAATGCGGGACGTTCCTCGATTTTCCTTCGAAATAATGAAATAAGATTGATTCTACTTCTCATTTGTGTGCAGCATCCATACTGGCGAGAAAAATGCCTCCCAAAATCGTGAATTTCTGCCTTTTGGGACAGAGCAGTATGATAAAGACATGGTGTTTTCACTTTGGTCAGCCACGTGTGGAGGACAGATATAGCGGTGTACTGATGCAACTGCATAAGTTACGTTTAATTGAGATGCAGCCAGCGGGAACGGGAGCGTTTTGTTCCTTTATGCGGTACAGCTTTCGTGCAGAAAGCATGCAGTATAGGTGAGTGACCATGCACTTCAGTTGTTTTAAGGTATGCCGCACGCGCATTCAAAATATTTGAGTTTGGGGAGCATACCCAAAAACGGCGAGACGTGGCAGAACTATCTTCATTGCCTCGTCTTGTGTGCGCTTGTTTGAATTATAAGGCAACAAGGTGGCGTGCTTATCCAGGATTATTTCGTCAGAACCCGCTCCTATTTTATGAAGTCGAAAATAAAACGAGCCTTAATCTAAAAATCGAGACACCCGCTCGTTCCTTTTTCATGCAATTTAAATGTTATTTAATTTGTTACTATGTGAAAATAAATAGAATAGTGTTTTCGAATACCTTTAATGTCCGTGAGGCTTTAATGAAGTAAACACACGGCAATCGCTTGAATTTGTTGCGCGTTTCAGAAACGAAACTGAAACCTTCTCAGAAGCCAAATCCGCCTTACTAGCCAATCACTGTCGATCCATAGCTTCCCGCGCAAAATATTTTGTGCGTGTTTATAATTTGTTTGGCTAGACGCGTTTCTATTGGCTGAAGGCAACCTAAACACAGTGACGTAGTTCAGGAAAGGATTTCATGGCGGAGGTTTACGGTTGTTCGTTTTTGCCTCAGTTTAAATCGGATTCATCAACAGTCACAAAAAGGTAAATACAGCTGTTCTTTTAACGTCTGCACTCTTGAAGCGTACGCTTTGCATACATATCTGTAGTTATGGTAACACTCTTAAAATTTCTTGGATGCGTTACAATTTCGAAAATGGAACGGTTTTTAACAAACCTACGTAATTGCGTTGTATTTTTTAACTGTTCGCTCAGATTTTCGCCGACCTCTTTATCCGAATTCGACGAACCAAATGCACGGACAGATTCTGAGGCCCGTTCCGTTTTCGAAGAGCAAATCTTTTGTTTGTTATTATTGATGCGAGCGAGGCTAGCGCACTCGTCTTGGAGATTTGCCGTGAAGCTGCAGGTTAGTTTGACCGTATATGCCTGTCACTTAAATACTCATCCGCAGCTTCACCGCTCGTTTCTTGATTCGATACGCGAGTAGTCTCTCACGGCAAACGAGGCCCGGATCACTTGGTTTTCCTGAGCAGCGTCGACGATGTTCGGGAATGTGCGCTCGCATTCGCCGCTGATTTGGGTCTACCTGCTGCTCGGGGCTGTTTTCGTCGCGGATTGCACTAATTATTCTTCGATTCCCTTTTGATCGCTTTCCGTCCCGCCTCGATGTCGCAGTCGTGAACGTCGCTGAAGGGCGCATCAACTGCTGCCGTAGATGTCGACTGGTCAGTGCATTGGAATGGCTAGAAACGCGGGGCAATGCGTACGCGAGCTTGCCCCCGTGGTGAGTGTCGGTCGGGTTCTAGCGTTTTTGATCTCGGCGATGCTCGTTTTTGCTGTTCGACTCTGTCTATGACTACTTGTCTATGTGGCCCCACTAGCGGTCACTGTTCACGCTGGGCACGCCGAGTGTAGCAAGGTATCGCGCTCCCGCGGGCTGCAGCACCGCTACGCCTGTCATGCGCTCGCGGGGCCAGCCAGGTGACTCTCCCAAGCGGCGTCGTGGGCGAGTCCATTGGGAGGGGGAGGAGGGCGGAGCAACCGAGGCGGCGGCGCAGCATACGCGCAGCCGCCTGGCCGGTCCCTCAGGACGATTCCAATCGGTCGGTCCGTGTGTGTGTGGCGTTGCTGCTGGTGTTGCGGTGTCTAGTTTCTGGCGGCCGACCAGGTTTGTGTGTCTCCACGACGAAGCTTTTTCCGCTCAGAAAGTCTTCGAGCCCCCCGCCGACCGCCTTGCTTGTTAGGGAGAACGACGCAACCAGAGTGCGTGTGTGCGGCGGCCGATTGTGAATGTGCGTGGTGCTGCTCCCTCGCTGGGCGCGCTTCTTGGACTTTCCCCGTCTGTGCGTGCGTGCTGTGTCGGGAGCGTTGTGACGCGGCCATATTTGCTTGAAGAGGATGCACGGCGTTCGGCTGGTAAACTGTCATGGGCCCTGCGGCTGCTGCCTCGAAACACGGCTGGGTTTGCACCGAATGGTGAGCAGATCGGGCTCCTGCGCGGCTTGTACGCAACGACGTCTTGCGACGGGCTCTGGGCCCGAACGGACGCCGTTGGGGCCGAGGGCTTTGAAAACGGCCGCGCTTTTTTTTTTTTTCTTCTTGGAAACGCCAAACGTGCGTGGAACGTTTTGTTCGGCAATGAGCTAGGGGGGCCAAACTTGCGATGTCCAGTCTCCCCTAGATGGTTTTTGTGCCGGTTGAATCGTGGCTTCCGGACGGGAACATTAGCGAGCAGTGGGAATGACCTTTCTGCGGCTGGGTTGGGAGAGACGCGGCTGCCATTGGGAGCCAGCTGAGCGTCCTGCATGTGCCGACGTCTGCGCCGCGCAAGGTTTCGAACTGTCTGGCGTTGGAGTGGCCCTGGTGGTCTTTTGAAAAAAAAAAAAAGAAAAAAAGCGTGAGGCGATCGCTAGCCCTTCGGTGTTTTTCTTTTCTTTCTCTTTCCAATCTTTTTGGCTTCGCTTGCGTGGTTCTTTCTTTTTTTTTTGTGTGATTTTTTTTATCCGTTTCGAGTGTTTGGCTTCTGCCTTCTCTCGTGTTATGCAAAAGTGGACAGAAAAAAAAAAATATATACATATATAAGTAGTGATTATACCGCGGGAAGTGTCGGGGTTATCGGTGGCGCTTTTGTTGTCGGGTGGGTGAGCGAAGAGAAGACGAAAATCGCTGCGCGTACGACGCGCGATCGGGCTATAAGCAGGGCGTCTGGCCGGCCCGGCGAAAGTGGGACGGGTTCCCCCCTTCCCATGGGAGGGACGACGGGGCAACGGCGCGCTCGGCGACCGCTGGAGGACAAGTGCGGAAGGAGTCTTGGCCGGCCGCCGCCGTCAATAAATCAGCGTCCCGGTGTCGTTGACTCTCCACTCGCCTCAGGTGAACGTCGTCCGACTTGTTTTCAGTCGCAGCGTGCGCAGATCGCGAAAGCAAAAAGGGCTGGGCAGCTTGACGCCTGCGCAACGACAATGGGCCCGGAAAACAAGAATAGCGTCCACGTTACAAAGGCCTCGCTGTTTGCGCTTTCGAAGAACCTTAGTCGCTAGCCAAGAAGAACGCATTGCAAAGGCCATCCGATCGAATTTAGCTTTCGTGCTCCCTAATCGCTAAATTCTTTTTTATGGAGGGAGGGAGTGGGGGGAGGGTATGCAATGTCCTTTCGGTCAGGCTTCAGACAAAGTTTCGGTGTGACTTTTTGCACCTATTCCAGTTTCTTTGCACGTGGCAGATGTGGCAAAATGAAGTTATTGAAGCTCCATTTTGCTACATCTTGCTCCAATTCTGCACTGCATTATTGCTTGGTTTCATTTGTATTGGCATCGGAGGTTTCCTCAAGAATTGAGAAGTGTGTTACAATTATAATGCAATTAAATGCAAACGGGCAAGCGAGCTGGACAATAATGATGAAAATAATCCCTGGAGAAGGGGAACAAGAGGGACAAGGGACAAACATAAATCTCCAAACACAGCTAGGTGACCGGTGAGCGACCGAAAAAATCCGCCTGGTCCGGGTATCGAACCCGGGACCTCTCCATTACAAGTGGAGCGCTCTACCAACTGAGCTAACCAGGGGTTAGACGTCAGTAGAGCTAACGGGTTTTATCAGCTGCCACCAATCTAACACCAACAAGGGTGAAGCTTGCAATTTAATGTTATAATTATAATGCAATTAAATGCAAACGGGCAAGCGAGCTGGACAATAATGATGAAAATAATCCCTGGAGAGGGGAACAAGAGGGACAAGGGACAAACATAAATCTCCAAACACAGCTAGGTGACCGGTGAGGAGAGGTCCCGGGTTCGATACCCGGACCAGGCGGATTTTTTCGGTCGCTCACCGGTCACCTAGCTGTGTTTGGAGATTTATGTTTGTCCCTTGTCCCTCTTGTTCCCCTTCTCCAGGGATTATTTTCATCATTATTGTCCAGCTCGCTTGCCCGTTTGCATTTAATTGCATTATAATTATAACATTAAATTGCAAGCTTCACCCTTGTTGGTGTTAGATTGGTGGCAGCTGATAAAACCCGTTTGCTCTACTGACGTCTAACCCCTGGTTAGCTCAGTTGGTAGAGCGCTCCACTTGTAATGGAGAGGTCCCGGGTTCAATACCCGGACCAGGCGGATTTTTTCGGTCGCTCACCGGTCACCTAGCTGTGTTTGGAGATTTATGTTTGTCCCTTGTCCCTCTTGTTCCCCTTCTCCAGGGATTATTTTCATCACAAGTGTGTTACGATTGCTTTCAGCTCAATCCTTTTCATTGTTGAACAGCGGATTGAAGGAGAGCTCTTTTCTGGCTTAATGTTATTACTGTATGTGCATTTAGTTGACTCGCTGTTTCATGCTTTCAAATTTTCCATAGCAGTCTAGTCTATGCAATGTTGGTTCGGAAAATCTGTCGCTGGGAGTGCAGGCAGAAAAATACAGCAAACTATACTAATGAAGTTTCTGTTGCGTCAATGGTTGCGGGTGCGTATGCTCACTAAACTTTGGCCCCGCTCCACGTCACGCTGGTGAACTGTGTACGAAACTCTTCGTCTGGCAGTCTTCATTTCCATTTGCCGCCAGTGTGGGCTAAATAAAAGAATCTGGATGCCATTTGGTCTGGTGCGTTGCCTAGTGTCGGCATGCTATGATTTGGTATGGTGCGTTGCCTGCGCTTGCTCGGGCAATGAGTACATTACGAAAGGTTGAGCGCCCATGCATAGTTGTGAACCATACAAGGGGGGCCACACTGATAGGAGCAGGAAGGAGCACATACCGAATGTATGGAATGTTAGAACTATTCCACGGTGCAATGTGTTGCCTCTCAGCGGTATATTTGAGGACAACTTTTCTTGGCAATGCAGTGAAAGGTCAAGTAGCCGTCCCTTTCATTGAGTGCAGATTAAAACTGCACGCGCTCTCCTTCCCTTATTCCGGAAATGGCAAGAACAGTTGTCCGCAAGCATAGGCGCAAGCATTCCACGAGCATTCACTGTGCCAGCGCATGTGAAGGCCTGTTCTTACTCTTGCAACCGAGTACGACCGAAAGAGACCAGACCGGTTTTTAAGCCTCTTGCGATCTCTTAGGACCAGCTCCGCTGCATCGCATCTGGTCCTAAGAAGTCGCAAAAAGCTTAAAAACCGGTCTTGTCTTACTCGGTCGCAAGAGTGTGAACGGCGCTTTATAAGCAAACAACTCCATGCCCTCCAAAACTTCATCACTAGTTGATCCACGTGGTAATGCCAAGACGGACGCGTCAGCCGCTTGGGGCGGATTGTGAATTCACTAACGACAAGGTCCTGCTCGGGCCTTGTCTTCTAGGTGTTATTGCTCCGGGCTGCATCCCCTGCCACTGACATTCTCTTTCGGCATGTGTCTTTGGGCAGGTCCTCTCCTTGGAGACGATGAAAGGATGAGTCGCCGTTTGGACGAGCACCAGCCTGGGCTGAACTCCTCGTCTTCGGGCAGCGTGTTCCCAGGCCGGAACCACAGCTCGGGGGCCGGCGGCTTCCACCGGCCGGGTGGTGGGGCCTTCGGCGCCTCTTCTGCGTCTGGGGGCGCCTCCGGGGGCGCCGCTGCGGGCCCCCGGCCCTCCGCCAAGCCCCCCTCGCAGCGGCAGCCCCTCGCCCTGCTCCAGGACTCCATCCACTCCGGGGGAGCCTCGTTGGACGTCCGCGACGCCATGCAGGGCGCCGGGGTGCAGTTCTCGGTGACATCGGGCTTCCAGTGAGTGGCTCTACCCTCTTTGCGCACTCGCTGCACCCTTTATGAGGAGTCTGCTGCTTTGTTTCGGTTTTGCGTTCCTTTTCGGCTGCTGTTCTGAAGTTCTTCCTGGCATTCGTTCGACTGAACCAGTGTTCTTGGTCGTCGTTGTATACATTTGTACAGCGAAGGCTGCCTCGTTGGCAGCCTTTGCTGTGCGAAGTGTAGGGTTTGAAACCTGGGTCTTCCCCTTTGCGACGGGAAAGTTCAGTATTCCCCTATTTTATATTTTATCTATTTAAAGCCAAGTTTTGGGTTGTGGTTCTTTTGTTTGGCTTTTGCGATTATACTTATCACCTGATGTAGAAAGTGTGAGGACCTTAATCAAAAGAGAATGGCTTGCGTGGCGACAGTTACAAAAGAAACTGCAGGAGATATGGAGTGAAAAATAGAATTTAGGTTAACATGACGTAGCTAGTTTGCAAAAGGTGGCAGAATGCAAAAGTGTTTTGAGAGGTGTTTTCAGGCCCAGTTTTACTTGTACAACAAGACACCACTGGTTGAAGACATAACGAAGATGGGTTTTTTGGCGACCCAAGCTTTCTTCGCAATGTCGCTCATTCACACCCATGTTTGTGGCTGGATAGATGGATATTAACCTCTGTACCCTTTAAAACAAGAGTTAGCTTGTACCACCTACCTCTCTATCCCAGCCAATTTCTTTCCTCTCTGCATTTCTGTCACTATCACCAGGCAATGGGGTGATCAAGGGTCGAAAAGTTGCTCACAATGTGCATTTGACATTACAAAAGCAGTGTTCGCTGTCCATCTGACTACTGAGATGAGACTCACTCTGCTTGTGCTGGAAGATACTGTCGCTGAGTGGGAAATATTAATAGACCTATTGCTAAGTTACCTAAGTATCAAAAAGAATGCAGGGATTGGTGTTCCACGCGCCGCACTTGCTGGCCTCAGCAGTAGTGACTTTTCTAAAGCAAATGCCTAACATAAATGGCATCTTGCATGAGTGTTCGTCAGCGCTTTATTTTGGTTTGAATCTTTTTTTTTTTTTTTTTTTCTTTTTTTATGCATGTGTGGTGTGTGGAGCACCAATCCCTGCATTCTCCTTGACGCTTGGGTAATTTAGCAAGTTTTATTAGGCAAATTGAGAGCATCATTTATTCTTTAGCGCAATACGAAGAAGGATCGTGAGGTCTATAAGTTCAAATGGAATCATGAGATCCCTGAGTCGCCAAAATCCTTTGCTCAAGTGCTTGAAAAAAAAAAGGATTATATTGTATTTTAAAAGTTCTGTGCATTGGTATCTAAGGCACGGGTGTGCGAGTTCAGCTCTGTACGATGCTCCGTTTTTACTATACTGTCTGATGTCACGCTAATCTGCCCATTGCAAGAAAACTGGACATTTCCTGCGTTGGGCGTTACCCAAGAGCTTCCTTCTAATAGCGATAAAGAGCACTAAGCATGTATATGCCATACTTCGGGGACTAACTAAATTTTTGAAGTGAGAACTGGTTAGATGAAAACATTGCTTTCAGCTTGAGCTTTTGTTTTCACAGATTGGTGTACTGGCAACCTCTCTAAGCCAACTTACATTCAAGCTATGTGTTAATGGGGTTAATCCGAGAGCGAGTTAGTTGCTCATGGGAAGAGACCAGAAAGCGTCCAAGTGGGACTCTATTTTGCACCAAGACGTGATTGCTTCCCCAGTTATTGAATTGCCCGCGGTTTCAGTGCTCACTATAGTCGCTCGAAGCACAGGAGCAGTAGAGAGACACTTTCTGATGCCGTGCCTCCAGCATGCGACCGTTGCTTTCCGTTATGCTTTCGCAGCAATTGTACGCCTGAGGCTTGGGAGACCGCGAAGCATTATCGAAGGTAGGAGGTTCACTATGGAGGCAGGACAACTGGAAGGCCTTCCTGATGTCCTATTCCTGTGGGTGACTCTAGCAGCACAGACTCTTCCAGCTTTTTTTGTACATGTGTTTAGGGGAGATAGTCACTATTGCAGTTGCGACGACTATCTGAAATATATTATTCTTTGAAACCTCACTGCAACTAGCTTGAGCTGAAGTCGCTAGACATTTTTTCAGAATACCTCATTCCTTTTCTCTTGCCGACAATCTTTGTATTAAAGGGACGCTGAAACACTTCTTCGAAAAAGAAACGAGATAGAGGTAAATTCTGATGTCTTTTTATCTCATGAGTCTGATTATCACGTTCGTTTTCCCCGAGGAGGTAACTAAATGCGAGAAAACATGAAAAACCTGCATCTATACTTCGTTTCAGCTTCCGTCCGAGCGCAGCCAAAGCTACGTGTTACCGGGGCCAATCATACGCCGGCAATTGGTCACGCGATCTTGCCTGCACTTTTGTATCACTCCGCTGCGCCGCTGGTCGTCCGCGACGCCCGCGTTCGCCGAGTATTTCGTCTGCTACGGGTGTATCAACGGTATCGTCTGCTGAAGGTTTAAAACGAGCCCTTTCATGTTTTGAAATTTAATCACAGGGAATGTCAGTACGTAGGCTTGCCGCTGCCGTCTGTGTCCGAGCTTTCCACCTGTCTGGTATTTCGGCATAGTTTCGAGATGTAAGTACACATCGCAAGGTGCCCGATGACCCGGCCGTTGATGTTTCCTTGTAATGTTTGGATATACGAGGGCTCGAGGCGTAGTCCTTTTCACCATCTTCTCGGCGTTCAATGTGGTCGGTAGGTAAAGGTGTGCCCCGATTTCGCCGCGTATCAGTGAATTGTAGTGGCCCGGACGCTTTTCTTGTTTACAGCGCATTCGCGGTACGACGCGGCCGGAGTCTCCTGCCGAATTTTAAAGTAGACATCCGTCACGACCGCTTGCGCCTGACGCCCAAACGTGCCTTTGCGAAAGGACGTTCTGAAGCGACTCGGTGAGGAATGCAGCAAAGCACATGATTCGGCCATTATGGGAACGAAATGACACAGAAGAACCGAGCGCTGCAGCTGTGTTGCCAGCGGATGTGTGCGTTTTCACATATGCTAATAAAAACATAAACTTCAGATGTTTAATTTCTTTCGTTGCAAATCATTCTCTGCAGTACACATCTCGAATGTTGTGCAATATTTACGCACAAAACAGTTATTCTAAAAATATTAGTTTTGCGCACTACTTTGTGGTGCGTAGGAATGCTCTTCTCGAAGTTGTGAACCATCCCTCAGCCTTTGGCTGCGCTCGGATGGAAGCTGAAACGAAGTATAGTCATGACGTCGTACTAGGATCTTTGGGCCGCCAAGCGCGTGTCACTCGTGCGGGCAGCACGTTCAATTGCAAGCTCACCAGGTATATTCCCCCGCACTGATACCAGTCGTGACGTCTCTGACCCTTTTGAAAATAGCAAGGTGCGCGTGCATTGCTTTGACAAACACTGAAGATGCGCAAGAGCGGAGATTACGAAAATTTCTAATGACGTCGCGCTTTAGTGATTCTTTGAAAAATGATTACCTGCAGCGTTTGTGCACCAAATTGAAAAATAATTTCTGTGTTTGTGATGCTGGAGGCCAAACGAAGACGATTTGGGTGTTTTTTCTCAAGTACAGAACTGGTTTAGTTTCCTTTTAATGGTTTTTAGCAGTTGGCAGAGCAGTCGGTGTGCAATTTTGACCCCACTCTGAGTTATCCACTCCTTGATTGCGGTGACATGGCGTTGCAATGAGTATGTTTCTCATTAATGTTAATATCTTTGCGCTCTGCACATGCTGTCAGCTGTTCAACCCTCCTTTTTTGAACCAACCCCGAAAATTATGGTTTCCAATTCCTTTTTCTTGTCTTAATGAGTTACTTGAATGCCATTACCACTGCCACCAACATTCAGCACCATGAGTGGCATCCGATGGAGGCACTGCAATCCCATGTGCTCATTTGTCTGTCGCTTTTGACAGTAATAATTGGGTTTGTGGGGATATTTTGACAGTGTGTAGTTGGTCAGCCCATTTCAAAGATGCGGCGATTCACCCGCTGTAGATGAGAAATTTATCCAGTGCAGTACAACCGCTAGCCTGGGGTCTTTAATGTGCACCACGCATTAGTGGTGCACGACCACATGCCGGTACGATGCTCATCCAAATGGAAATGGGCAGGGGTGGGGATTGAACCCAGGATCTCTGGGTTCTGCAGCTCGAGCTTTCACTCCACGTGCTCCGAGCTGGTGTGCGCTACCCCACTTGGCCACCGATCCTCCTCTCTTTTTACACCGAAACCTTTTACTGCAAGGGTTTCGTGGATTTTTTGTTTGCGTCAACAAAAACTCGGGTCTTGAATTTGATGCAAAATCACATCATTCTATGCAAAAACACATGTGTCATCACTTGCATATGCATTTTGAATAGATTATAGTTATCAATAGACACCATTTTCAAGATCTGTAGAGACTCAAGTAGATAATGAAGGTTTCTCAAAGATTTGCCGCTGCGCGACCCGCGTCGGCCATGTTTGCGCTCGCACTGCCCTCTCTTTGTCGTCGTTCCAAGCGCTTACGTGCCTAGTTTGCTTTCCTTCTGCTCTCAGGGTAACGATACGATCGCGCATGTCTACTTTCCGCCGGGTGGCAGTCCTGTCGTGCGTGTCTAGTATGTACCCTTTCGTTACGATGACCACTGATCAAAACAATGTGTTTGTACCTCTGTTCAAAATTCTGTCATGTCTGCGTCGTATGCTAAATAGCTTCGCTGGTCATTCACCTTCACAGAATGGAATAAATCATGCTTTTTTTTTTTTTCTCATGTGAGAAAATATTTTTTTGTTTTGGAACAAACAGAAGGTGCTTATGTGCAAGTTGTGTTGTTAGAGATCAGTAAAGAGTGGTCAGTGCTTGGGTACAGTAATTGCAGGCGTAATAAGATGTTGGTGTACAAGAGAGAGTTTTTATAACCAACCTGTAGCTTTGAAATAGGGTAGACTTGCTTGGAGGGAATCGGTAAAAAACACTTCACTGGCACATGTACCCAAAATAGTAGTGCGCTGCCCAAAAGAAGGAGGTTTCGGTACTCTATCCTAGCTTATCTTAAGCTCTGGGAGACAGAACCAGGTTACTTGCTACTGAGAGAACTCGTCTAAGACACTGACTTCCACAGAAAGGTTAGCCTACCGGTCTCAGAAGTGAGAATATAGAATGGGAACTGTGAATGTAAAATAGTTGATTGCAGGTCGCTTGATTTCTTGTAGCTTGCTTGGCATACGAAACGTTCCGCTTGCTGTTGGAGTGAGTCTTAATACTTAACAAAACGTAAGGGGGGCTACGTATGTGTTCATTATGCTCAGTGAATGAAACGCAGGCAAAATAGATTCTTCAGTGATAAAAGATCAACCCTAATGCAGAAAAACATGCGACCCAGTTTTAAAAGGGATTCTCTACTTATTAGTTCAACCCTTTCCGCTATATAATTTTGCATTATTAGATAACTATTTCAGCATTTAGTAGCATTTGACTCCAGTTTCGAAAATATCTTAGTAGAGTTTTGATTTGTCAAAAGTATCATAGTGGGTTCTATATTTCTTTTTTCAGAGCTATTTTCCAAATTTTTAAGTCTAATTTGACCTGTCTCACAGAGGTGTTAGCTTTCAAGCTTTTTTACCCTAGTTACACGGGTGCTCTCAACTGCCATTGAGTCAACAGCAGTTGACCCAATCGCAGTCGGCCGGAGTTACACGGTGGCGCCAACTGTCATTGAGCCGTTAATGACAGTTGAGTTCAACTGAGCTCCCCTACCCCAGTTCAACTGAACTGACTTCCCCACCGGAGGTAAAATGGCGCTTGTTCGCGGGACCACTGCCGCCGACCATCATTTGCGATGCACTTACTGTTTTGGAATGCGGGGCGAGGCGTCTAGAAAGAATTGTAGCAGCAAAATATCCGGGAAGGAATATGTTTAGGCGCCCGAGCTGCCGCTGAAACGATCCCGGCTAGCCGGCAAGCCACCAAACGAGCAAAGATGGCGGCAGGACCGGCTGTACAAATGGACAAACAATAATGGGTGCACCCATCGTAGTGGGCGGTAGTTTGTGTGTGTCTTCGAGTAAATTACTTTACCAATTAAACTGATCACGTGGCACAAGAACTAGTTTCACTTTAGCTTCAACTGGGTTCTAGAGCCAAGTAGCACCATTTTAGTTCAGTTCAATCATAGTTGGTGCCGATAACTGTGATTGAACTCAACGACAGTTCAAAGCGCCCGTGTAACTAGGGTATTACATTGTTTTGGGGGATTTGTTTGTTTATTTTGCTCAAAATTTATATATATATATATATATATATATATATATATATATATATATATGAGAAACTACCTAAATTTGGTAAAAATAACCTCCTTATAGATTTGCCATCCATCTGTTCGGTATTGTTTTGCCTTTTTTTGCATTCTAAAGTGTTTTTTTTTTTGTGTTTTTTTGTAGGTCATAGCTTAAATTACCGCCCCCCCCCCCCCCCCCCCCCCCCACACCCCATGAAAAAAAAACTTATGTGTGTAGCTACGTATGAACACCTGGAAACACTTATATAGCATTAGAAGTCCCATAATATAAGTGTCTGTCGTCAACTTTTAAAAAAATTTCAGAATAGGGTGAATGAATAGTAGGGGCTAGTCAGTGTAATCTCTCGTTCAGTGACCAGTTCCACTGGAGGCGGTTCACAGTCAACCACTACCATTGTGGTGTTGAAGGTTACAGGGAGTATTCACTGGTGGCCATAGCTGTGTGCACGACTGCTGAGCACGTGCTGATGGCGAGCTTCCAAAGTTCTTTTGCAACGTGCACTCCACACTATCAAGATTGCCTATCCTAGCAACCTATTAATGTGAGCTTGTTCTAAGCATGCGCTCTAAACAGAACCCACAAATATGGCATCCTGTTTATACTCCCCATAAGTCAGGAGAGTAATATTCTTTCGTCGATTGCTGACCTGGAATTTTAAAGTACTTTGATGTAGAGTGTGTTAGCCAAGAGGCTGGAGTTGTGAGCAAGCAAAGTTGGAGTGACCTGGAGACCAGTAGAAATGCCGATCTAACAATGTTTTGGAAGAGGAGAACAAGCGTGATTGCTCATTCTTGTTGGCCAGGTGTGCTTTTCTGTTGCTGAGTCACCAGAACATTTGAGGTGGTCTTTGGCAGCTAATGTACGGGGCGCAACGCTGCGGCAACATGCAATTGTCGGTTTATCACCTTTTTAACTGCTGAAAGGTATTCACCAAAACTCAGTGTGATGGAAACACCTTGTGTAGGGCAGAAATGTGGGTAATAAACTTTAACGGAAACAAAAATTAAGTTATGCATTACGTGCATAACTTGATGAGAACTCAATTTTCTTCCTCACAATTTTTCATCTCTTGAGGGGGGGGGGGGGGGGGGGGGGGGGGCGGCTTTCAAAATGTTATGTCTCATTGTTTTATAGCATTGTTTTTCTATCATCCATTGGGTGGCACTAACATCAAGGAATACTACAGCTGTACTCACCGCATTAGAGTCCATGAGAGTACATGACCTTGAATCAATCGCTTTAGTTTTAACCCACTCTGGTGCACGCCTATTGTTAAAAAGATTTACCACGTGAAATTGTCTACAGATAGTTTTAACCCACTCTGGTGCACGCCTATTGTTAAAAAGATTTACCACGTGAAATTGTCTACAGATAGTTTTAACCCACTCTGGTGCACGCCTATTGTTAAAAAGATTTACCACGTGAAATTGTCTACAGACTGGCAGGATAGTAAAGAGAATCTATACATAAACTCTCTTCTTACATCAGTTCACTTGGGGCAATTATCTAAAGCGACGGGCAAATAGAAACTGCGTTGCTCTGGAAGTCTAGCATTGTGTTAGGAAGTCCTTCCCCTTGAAATGCAACAGAGCTGCTTAGCCTGAACTTTTACCGAGGAACCTGGGGAAGGAGTCGAGGACAGTTTCCATAGTGTCCTCGCCCATTCGGTTTGTCACCTTTAGAGAGAACATTCGATGCCGTTGGTTAATTATCACACTTTTGTAGTCGCCGACGAGGCGAGATTGGCAGGGACGAGGTTCAGTGGTTCCGCCTGGAGTTCCTAGATCACAGGTTCTTACAGGTAGCGGCATTCTTTGAAGCACCGACTGCATGACGGTGCAGGCTTTAGGAAGGGAATGGTGGTGCACAGCAGAAAAGTGAACTGAATGATGTCATTTTGTTCCTCCTAAATGCGCTTCATTATACGCTTAGATGTCGTTACTTGTAAAATAAAGTATCAAGGGACTTCTTCCGGCGCGAGCTTCCTGCCTTCGATAAAGCTTCAATGTCTCGTGCGGCCGCACGCAGAACCAAGGCACAGCGGAGGGCATGAAGCACGGGCTGAAGGCCGGGTGTTTGAAAGATGTCCTGCCGTTTTCATTCTGGCAGTGGCCATACCAATCGGTTTGCACGAATGACGTCGGTAGCTGTCAGAGTGCTCCTGTATGAAATGTCTGGGAAGAGAGAGAGCACATATTGAGGATGCCTGTTGGTTTGTGCAGGCCCCGCATCGCTTCGGGAGGGCTGTCGCAGCTGGGTCACAACCACAATCCCTCTCCGGTGCACCACTCCATGGGGGGCCAGTCTCATGGTGGCCAGGTGAGAAGAGGACCCCGCCACTTTGCTCTTTGTGGGAAATTCGATTTCATCTTATTTTCGACGCCGTGTCGGGGTCCAATGGCATAATTGCTGCTTGCTCTAGAGCAGCAGCTGTCAAACTTTATCTGCACTTTAGCTAGATTGACTGACCTGTGGCTAATGCTATTCAAGTGCATGTTCATTGACTGTCAGCTGCCATAGATACGGTAAACAATTGAACAATGTAATGCTAAGGTTATTTTTCAAACAGCGAGTCATTATTATTTTAATCCTTATGGCACATTTTGTAACTTGCACATTGTCATGGTAACATTTCTTCTTTTTTTTTTTCTAGTGTGCATAATTAAAGTTTTGCAAGTATCAGTTGTTTGGAAAGTTGCTTGTTGGGTGGGGGCAGATTATTTCCACTAATTACAATGAACGTAATTAGTTTGTGCGTGTAACCTAGATACTACGCATTAATGTGAACATGCACTAGTTTTTATGCAATGAATTGAGGCGAGAGCTTGTTCGGACCGCCCCTTTCTAAAAGCGGCAGCCTGGGAAAGCTGTCCTTATAAAGGGCTTAAATACGTGGGAAATTTCCTTGAATTGGCTCCTAAGGGTTGATGATGGTAATATTTTCCTGAATGAGTTATTGCTATGTATTTTATTTTATATATATGGTACTTTTGAAGGTGCACCTCATCGGCCTGTGGGCCTACAGGAGTGTGTACCAGTGCATACATGCAAGAGCTGAAACAGCACAAAATACAAAATGCAAAAACAAAAACGTGCCTTCAAAAATGTTACATATTTACCTATGTAATATCAACGAAATGTGACCTCCAACAGTGCAAAACATACGGCACAGTTCCATATTTGCTCTTTCATTTTCATTTTATTTTGTTTTGGTCTAACTGTTAAGTGTATATCTGTTATTTTTCTGGTTCTCTGGCATTCAGTTTTTCTTTTTTTTAATTTGATAGGCATTGGTGCTGCAGTTGGTGGTGCTGTGCTGACTAATTTGTCCTCCGTCTCTAGGCACACACGCCACAGATTCATGGCCAGCAGCAGTTCCAGCGGCTCAAGGTGGAGGACGCCCTCTCCTACCTTGACCAGGTCAAGTTCCGCTTTGGCAACCAGCCACAGGTCTACAATGACTTCCTAGACATCATGAAGGAGTTCAAGTCACAAAGGTGGGCAACTGTGTTCTCAGCTTCACCGTAAAACGTGGTTTGGAAACGCTCCTTCTCTGTTGCTCACACATGAGCAGGTACAGGCAGGTGGTGATCCTGGCACCACCAGCAGCACCGCTTCCACGGACAGTGGAGAGAAGCCGTTTTTGCAACATGCATCCAATTGTTCTGCTGGTTCCGTTGCCTCTGTCCAGTCCACATGAGCCGATACCGTAGATAGCACCGCCGAGCAGACGTGCCTGGAGAAGGTGCCGGACGTTCTAGGAAGCTGGACATTTGACCTTTATCTAGTAAGGTGGAGCGACTTGGCAGGCAAGGACAGTTGGGAGTGTCAAATCGAAAGGCGCACGGTGTTCATAGCTGATCTGGAAGTGCCGCAAGACGGGGAGGACTAAGGCTGCGTATCTCCGTGGTAGTGGGAGTAGACGTTTCGCCAAATTGCCCAAGCACAAGGGAGAATGCCGGGAGATTAGGTACATGTGCTATTGCCAGTTTCAGGTTTTTGCAGTTTGTTACAGCGGAGCTGTTAAGGGCCAAGTTCCCCAGAATCATGTCCGGTACCAAATTCTTGTCGACCCAAACCTCCACAAACCTCTGGACAGGTACCGCCACCTATAAGCGACGGTGGCAAGCACACAACCAGTCTGTTTGCTGCCGTTGCTCATAGATGGTGGCAACCTTTCCAGCTATCATAGAAGAATGGATAGTTGGGCGCGTTATTGTGGTAGGAAACAATGCAAAAAAAAGATGAGGACGAAAAAGAAACACACGTGACGAGCACAGTGGTCGTCACGTATGTTTCTTCATCCTCGTCTGTTTTGCGTGCTGTTTCCTACGCTCTTATCAGTTTCGGTTTGGACTCGGGATGGGCCGTGCGCAAGCCCTTTCGGGGAAAGGAGACTGGTTGCGGAAGGAGCGGCGACGTACGCAGCAGCGCGAACGGATCTGCAAGCGACGTGAAGCTGCTGTCGCCTCGACTTCCACTGCGTCCTTTGCTTCAGATTCCCTTGCGAAAGAAGAGCTCATTGCTCGCCTGGAAAGCCGTTGCCAAGAACAGAACCAGCGATGTAAACGGTGCCGGCGGGCCACTGAGGCCAAGCACAAGGGCGAGGTCCGGCGACGACAGTGCTTCGCACCGGCTGAACAGTTCCCGGGTGTGACGGCGAGGTTCCGGAGAGAGTTCGTGGAGAACCCGTTTGGTGTCACGTGCGCCTTATGCGACCAACTCTGGTTTGCCGCAGACTTATCCACAATCGGCGGCATGTCGGATGAGAAGAAGCGGGAAACGGGCGCGTACGCGTTGGCGGCAGCGTATTGAGTCGGAGGACGTCTACAAAGAACCGCCGTGCAGTATGTGCCGAGATTCCCTGCTCAAAGACGCGATGCCCAGGTTCGCAACCATGAACGGCTACAAGTACCCACCCGTACCGGAACACCTACCGAGGTTGAACGTGGTGGTGGAACGACCAGTGGCACCTCGACTCTCATTCATGAGCCTTTGGCAGTTGACGTGGTATAACAAAGACAACCGGGGACAGTACGGTTGTCACATTACCAACTACCCAGTCGCACGTTAATCCTTACATCTATAAATACTTGCTTACCACCATAGTACAGCTTCGCTGGTTTTCCTTCTTCGCGAGTGTGGAAAGGCTGAAAGTTTTTTCTTTTCAGGTGCCCTTTAAAGGACCCCTGAAAAGGTTTTTTTTTAAACGGTCTGGTTGGGACACGCGTGTCAAGAAATTAATTTTTAGAGCAATATTGACGGCGAGAGACTTATTTGAAATTCTCCGCGCAAAGTTTATTACATCACCGAATGGTTATTCGCTCAACGAGATGGCCATTCAGTCTTTCCCCCTCAACATGAAGGTGAAGCCGATTCACCTCTCCTCTACATGCCCAAAAGGCCGAGAGAGAAAACAAGTGGAAAGGAGACTACTACCAACTAAATCGTGTCTAGCACCGTCAAAATTGCTCTAAAAACAATTTTTTCACTTGGAAGTTAAAATTTATTTTTCGACTCTCGTACCCCAACCAGACTGCAGTGATGGAAGTGCTGTGCCAATTGCGCCAAATTGCGCCAAGGATGCGATCCTGCTACATGTAGCGCCAAATCACCATTTTACCGAAGAATTGCGCCATCCCTGCGCCGAGATGAGATGTAGCAATAAAAAATAAAAACTGAAGTCTTATCAGAGCGCGTGGCGGTACCGCGGTATTTTCCGCGCCGCAACTGTTTCGCAAACCGAAATTGCGAGGGCGCATTATCATCATCATCACTGAAAGGAACAACGTTAGCAACATCTGAGACCAAAGCCGCAGAGGCTAAGAGAAGAGCCATCCCACTAAGCAGCTTATTTTAAAAAAAAAAAAAAAAAGGCCGAGCTTGTGGATGATTTTAATGTTGGCCCGCCCTGTTCCCGTGTGCTAGCTACCAGCGAAGTCAAAGCTAGCGCGAGCCCAATGCTCTGTGCATTCCTGACTCGCGCGTGGGCTCGTGCAGTGTAGGCACCGTTACGGGCTCCATGCGCGCGCTTGTAGCTTCGGCTGCGCTCGCACCGAAGCTGAAGCGAAGTATAGTTGAGTTGCACCAAACTCTGGATGTAGTGCTGGTAAAGCCTCACCATCCTTTTCGGAGCACAAAGCACTGCGCGACTCGCGCGACTGCGGTGTCTGCTCCGCGGGTGTCGCTTCCCTGCAGCGCATTGTTGCATGCCAAGGAGCGCACTCAACGGGTTAACTCGCCGTGATCCAATCGTGACTTCGCCAGCACATCGAAAATGAATCGGAATTTTATAAGCGAATATCAGATACCGCGATATTTGAAGCTGCTGCCCGAAAGACAGCTCTAATCTAAACTAAAACATTCCACACATTCCATTTAGTTTTATCAGCCTGCACCTTAAAAGAAGTGCAGGCTGATAAAGCTAAATATCCTGTACCATCAGAACTCAGTGTGACATATTTAATTGTATTTTTTTATCTGACGAGCAGATAAACTTTATTTTAAAAAAATGTTTTTTCGTGTGTTAATTTGTTGAATTTTATATATCCTGTCTTAAAAAGGCGACAAGCGATGTGTTCCAATAATAGAGATGGGTTTTATGTAGCTATGCAGCATTATTTCATTTTCAAGTAATATGCCAACATATGCCGGACCCCGCTCCAAAAAAGGGCCACTACCTGCTCCAAAACAACATTTTGCCTGCTAGAAGGCCTGCTCCAAAAGGTCAAATGGCACTTCCATCACTGAGACTGTTTAAAAGAAACCTTTTTTTTTTTTCTTTTAAGGGGCTTTTTACGGGGAATACAGCCTCAAAATTATAATTTTTTGTGAGATATTGTGTTTTTAAAAAAGTTTATTCATGGTTAATTAACTTTTGAAGCACAGGGCCAAGAAATTCCATTTAGAAATACGCCGAATTTATTTCGCAAAAGAAAGATTTTAATCACGGTTGCGACCACACACGATATCCCGCTAAGCGAGACCACCGCAAAATGTGGCGTTTTCTAACTAACCTACTTCTCGCTCGTTCAACCCAGGCGAAACGTTTTACCCTCTTTGGAAGCTCCTTTCCTCTAGTTTTTTTCGTGAAAAACCCTGTGTTAGAGGGTATCTATCAGTGTTGCGGAATGGGCACCCCCATTCCATTCGAATTCCATTCCGGGGAATTAGAGTTTTCGATAATTCCATTCCTTTCAACTCCTAGGAATGGGGACACTGAGCCCATTCCCACTCCTGGAATGGCTGAGTCGCTCCATTCCATTCCTCCAATTCCTAAACGTTAAAAGTGTCACTTGACAGCTGCATTATGTTGCTGGGTTGGGCAGAAATACTCAGAAATGTATTTGGAAATACAAATACTGGGATAGATGAAAATAGTTGCTAAGGTACTGATACTCAAGTCTCAAATATATCTATAAAGATGTATCGTGATACCTATCGGAAATACATTTTAAAAAGAGGCAAAAAGTATTTGGAAATACAAATACAAGAATATATTTTAGGGAAGGCAGAAATATAAATACTGATAATACAATACATTTTTCAAATTTCTTTGAGACTCCAACTGAGGTGAGGCTTAAAGTTGAAAGTGGAAGTTTCTTTTTTTTTTTTTTTGTCTTGAAATTACTTTTCCGCAGGCTTGGCATTTCGCCTTGAAGGTAGTGGTTTCGGACGAAGAGTCCTAAATGGGTTTATAAAACGTTCCACCAAGGATTGACCGCGGTCCCTTCCCTGGCATCCTGTCTGACTGACCAGTGGTGCGAAAAGACTTCGACCTCTAAAATAAATTCCATCAAAACATCACCACCTCCCCGTCCAATAAGGGCGCCCCTGTCAGCACTGACCACATGACGTCACGGTGGGATGAACTAGTATTCTTGAATCTGTAGGTGTTGCCTTGAACATGGAACTTTACCCACGCTGCTGTATGAAAGGACAATACATACTTTCGTTGTAGCTGACCTCCGTGAAGACCATGCAGGCAGTTGCATTTGGAATTTTCGAGAAAAGTGGACCACCTGAAGCATCCTGAAGCACATGTATTATCTTCTGTTACGGTTCAAAAATCGATACGGTGGCATCCCTGTTGTGACGGTCCTTTCTGCCGACTCTCCGCCTCCAACGCATGAATGGCATTCTTCAAGTTTCGCCTAGCATCATTCAAACAGAGACCTCGTGGATTGTGACCTGATATTGCCGGCACAGGTGCGAGCTCTTCGAGAAACAGCGCGCTCGGGACGAGTCGAAAGTGCACGAAGTCTGGGTCCGCTCAGCGAGGCCACGTCTGGCCTCCTTCCTCGGTATCGGATCACCAGAGCAGCAGGTCACGTTCATGTCGGCTGATGACGTACCAGCCGTGCAATATTACAGGCGCAGACACATTCGGATATGTGTTGAGCTTCACTGGTGAAAGGTGCCACCGCCGTCTCCCCCTCCTCCCCTCCCCCCTCTGTTCTTTGCTTTGACACTTGTTTTTTGTATTGCATTTTTTTCTTTTGCGCATAAGTCTGGTAGGGCCTTACGCGGGTTCGCAGTTTCTTGCTCATTTTATTTCTGAACAACCGACTCCCTGACTGGATCGGTATAGCTGAACGTAAAAAATAAATAAATAAATAAATAAAATATAAAAAACCTGGCCCATTCCATTCCCATTCCATTCCGGGCAAAAGGCATCTAATTCCATTCCCATTCCATTCCCCTCACCGTTGCCGCGCATTCCATTCCCATTCCATTCCGGGGTCGCGAAAATGCGGAATGATTCCGGAATCATTCCGACTCCGGAGTGGCAACTCCGCAACACTGGTATCTATGGCCTGGGAGAGTCCAAACACTGAAGCAGAAAAAAAGGCGTTCCACATATGGTAGCACAATCTCATTGAAAACCAAAATGGGCCTCGCGATTGGCTGCAGTCGGTGACGTCACATTTTATTTTCGGTCGCATTGCTACTCCGTCGCTCCAGCCGCCCTTTCGTTTTCTTTCCGTTTGCGTTGGTTTTCTGCCGAGGAATGCCTGTTACGAAAGCTAGCACTCGCAGCAGCTTTGGCCGGTGTTCTCAATCCGAAAAAGAAGAGGCCTGACAGGAGGACATCCCCGAGAAAGTGTCGACCCGCTACCGCCGCCGTCGCCCTCACTGTCGTCGTGATCTTCGAGTTCAACTGGCTCAACTACCGTTCACACGTCGGAGCCTATTGCTTCAGCTTCAAATGTGAGGATATTTCGGTCTCTGCAGAATCCATCCTGCTGATAACGTTTAAAAGGGAGCTCGGTCTGCTCAAGTCCAATGAGGACGACGCGAAGATGGCGGGCGCTCCCACTGAAGAGCCTCTGGTGGTTATCGCTTAATCAATGTGTCGGCCGTGCCGCTTAATCAATGTGTCACCGACGCTCTGCTGTGTCCCAAGTGCCATGGAGGGTAGCTCGGCTTGCAAGGAAGAGGGACTGGTGCCGACCTTCTGTTCGTTGTCGGATGCTCGTCCTGCAAATACATCGTTGTGGCACTGCACTCGCCACCAATTGGCAAGTTTCAACAGAACAGACTCGTGATGAGTCTTGGAGTTGTTTGAAAAGACTGCGGGATATGCTTTACGAAGCTATTGAATCTCTGGGGGACGAAATGCTCCTCCCGATGCACTTATAGAGTCCTACCGGAAGATTGCAGGAAAAGTGAACAGTGCTGCGATACTGGCGGCGACTCAAGCAATGGAGGAGGCTGTTCGAGCTGTCAGATGCAGAATGCAAACGAGAGCTTCAATGCCCTGATCTGGAGGTATTGTCCCAAAACGGAATTTGCCTCGCTGCAAACTGTGGAGACTGCTGTTGCTTTAGCCGTGCTTGTGTTTAATCTCGGTCCTCTAGTCGTCCGGGTACAGCGCATCCTGGGAGGGTGCCACCTACGCTCCATGTGGATTCTAAGCTCTTGGGTCCCTTCGAAAATTAAGAAACCTCAAGTTGAAACTTCAAACGCTTTTTTTTTTTAGTTTCGCTTTTAGGCAGGAATTGTGATCTCAAGAAATGTATTATATTTGAAATTCTCCATATGGAAAGTCTTCATTCAGGATCCTCTTGAACTAGGATTTTGTGAGAAACAAGATAAGGTACTTTTTATTTAAAAAAAAAAACTCTCTCCTTTATTACGAAATCAAAGTATTTCGAAAACACGAAATTTTGAAATATTGTTAGGTGTGTTTTTTTCCGTTGGAATTGCAGCTTTTATATTTGATTTTTGCCTGAACTTGCAGCCTGTGTATTGTACTTCCCATTAAAGCAAGAATTTTGTGAATTCCAGTTATATTTTTTTTCAATGATACATTTCCTAACGAGGTTCCTTTTATCTGCAGTTTAAAGAAATTAGTATGTTGTAATATTAGTCTATAATGCTGAAACTTAGCAGGTTATCCTTTCTTAGTGTTATATTCATCCTGCAAATTTCAATTGATTTGGGTAAAGGGTTAAAGAGTCGACCCTCCCCAAGCCATATCCCCCTTGAACATTGCACAACCTTGCCAACCGCGGTCGCGACGTTCCGGGAGAAGGAACGAGTTTGCGGTGACCTTAATTCGGTGGAGACAGACTTTGACATTAGCCCCCACGGTTACATTTCGAAATGTGGGGCGTTCGCTATCCTCCCCATCCCTGAATGGGTTGGGGCTTGTGTTATCTTTCAGACTTATTTTTTCTTTGTCCGAACAAACTTTTTTCGTAAGCAAAACAAAGTTTGGTTATCTCCACCGTTTTCCTTTCGCACACATGTGCTACGACTTGCGGGGTCGCGGGAATCTGAAAGGAAATGCGTAAACAAAAATAAGTGTCTTTCCCTCCTTCAGTTTACTTTGTCACGGACATCGTTTAACTGTCCACGGTTGTGTTGTTGCGGTAGGATGAATGATCGCGGATCTAGGAGTTCGCATTGGGGTATTTGTAGGGGTGGGCAATCGCTGTTTTCTTTTAAAATCGATATTCGCCCAAAAAGTGGGTTGGGCGAGGACTCGGGAATAGGCAAGGACTCTGGATATTACGGTAGTATCATACTTTCCGGACTATAGTTCGCAGGAGCTGATTTTGGGCCTCAATCAAGTTTTTGCTTAGATCACAAGTCGTGCCTAATTTGATTGTAAAAATGATTGTACGTAGCACTCCTTGAGTAATGCCTGTTCTATTAGCTCACACAGAAGCTCGTATTATACATAATTCAAGATTAACATACTCCGTTATTCATCAAAATCCTTCGCGTCTTATCACGGTGAACAATCTAGAAACACAAATTCTCGTATAGACCTTTTTTTTGCTTACTCTCGCCCCCAGCCACCTGGTAGGCATATCCAATAAAAAAAAAAAAATTTAATTTGCAAATAGTACAAAAAATTTAGATTGGTCACAAAACGAGACTCTGTGACGGTTACGCTTTTATCCTAAATGTATTCTATTGCCGAGGCAACGGCAAAACAATACTTTTGCCCATGTTGGAAGTAACTATATTTCAAGATGGCAACGCCCTTGCGAAATAGTTCTATAGTCTGCACCTGTAAACAGCGCACACTGGGCGAAATGTCAACTTTTAAAATTGCGTGGTCAGAAACGTACGGTATTTAGAGCAGCCGCATGTCCGTACACGGCAAGAGGAGGCTACCGGCGTTCTGACCTTGATCTCTTGCTCCCCCGGGCAGCATCGACACCCCCGGGGTGATCCAGCGGGTGTCGAACCTGTTCAAGGGCCACCCCGAGCTTATCGTGGGCTTCAACACGTTCCTGCCCCCCGGCTACCGGATTGAGGTGCAAGCCAACGAGCAGGTGAACGTGAGCATGCCGGGCTCTCTGTCCACCACCATCACTGCCGGGGGCATCACCCTGGCCACCACGACATCCGTGGCGGGGCCCTCCGCCCCGGGGGCCGCCCCGTCCCCCGCGGGGCCCAACGCAGCACCGCCCCCCGCCCCCGCCGCCTCGTCACCCCCTTCTGGCACCAAGGTGGGTCGGATGCCCCGGGGCTATTGGTGTTCGGTCGCTTCAAATACCGTGTTTGTCGGTCCTCCTCGTTACGTTAGTAGCCCTTTGAGTACAGGAATTTTTTTTATGCAGATTGTGTTTTACGACTTGTTTCCTATGAGAAAATTGTCGCAAATGATTGACGTGGACTAACAAGCTGGGAACGTTACGAACGTCAAGGTTATGAATAAAGATTGAGCCCCACCGGGGCTTAAACCTGCGTCAGTGTGGTGGCAGTTGGATACCATAGCACCACCGAGCTGCGTAGCGCAGCTGCATATAAAATTCTGTGTTTTCGGAGTTTGTTTTTTGCGGAAATTTCTGGGCTAATCGAAGTTAATTCTTGTTAGATTCAAAATTCTGAAAAACTGTGTTCCAGATTTTTAAAAACTTCAAAAACCAAGTGTACGGAGTTGGTGCAATGACCCGTTGTCTTGAAGGAAACCTTGATGAGCTAAAGGGCAAACCTCTTTTGTCTCTAGTTCGAGATTTCAAAGGAAACTGAAATGGCATGTCCTTGGGACCACTGGCCTTGTGCTTCTACTGCCGTAGTATACTGCGCATCCGTCCATTCCACATTAAGCGCCCATATCCAAATTTCTAAGATTGAGAAAAATGCACAGTACATTTATATGTAAAATAGATGACCGGACAAGCGCCCATCCCCCATTTTTTCGTAATTATCACTATATTTTGAGTGGGCGCTTGCTCAATATTTTACAGTAATTTCATTTGCAAAACGGTCTTTTTTGCTTTTTACTTTGGCGTTGACCACAGAATTCAGAATTTTTCGGGTAAGTCTGAATTGACCAAAATTTGACCAACGAGTGTTTTTTTTGGGAGTTTAATCAGATTTATCCGAAAACACATAACTTTACCTATAAGTGCCACACATACCCCACACACAGTGTACTTTGTGCTGGTGTCTTGCATGCCTGTCTGGAATGTATGTCACGCGTCTCGAGCAAAAGAGAATATTTTTTTTCTGCACTTAGTTTGAGTAACGTGTCTCCCCCCCCTGCAGCCCGGCCACCTGGGCGGAGGCGGTCCCGGCGGCCCCGTGGGGCAGGGTACCCCGGGGTCCCAGACGGGACCGCACGGGAGCCCCAGCTCCCAGGGGGGCTTCCCGGGGTCCCAGGGGAGTACCAACCAGACTCCGCACGGCGGGGCACCCCCAAACTCCTCGGCCTCCCAGGCCAGCCAGCCCGTGGAGTTCAACCACGCCATCAACTACGTGAACAAGATCAAGGTGCGTTGCAATGGGAGCACGAAAGGGTCGCCTTCCCTCTTGGCGAAATGTAGTCTGACCACGTCCTCGTTGGGCATGTTAACGTGAACCACAGTCTCGGTTGAAACAGACGTTATTGGGTTGACTCGGCTGTCAAACTACCGCGTAGGGGCGTACTACCTTCGAGCCGGCCACCTGTCGTGAAGGTGCCATCTAGAGGCTGCTTTTCAAAAGGTATTCTTGGGCACTGCGGTGGAGCACCGTCTAGATGCTGCGCTTCAAATCCTGCGTAAGTGCAGTTGACAATGCAGCCATCCACCCGAAATTGGGAAGAACGTTGAATTGTGGGAGGCGGACATTGGGGGAGTAAAGGGGTAGTGCTCGTGGAAGCAGTGTCTATGTGCAGTTCCATGGAGGAGTCAATCTAGTAACATTAGTTTAAACGAGGAAAAACTATATGGATAAACCTAAGTAAGAATTTAAACTCCAAAAAATAATGTTAGAGTAAACATTAAAAAAAAAGAGATTGTAGTAATACATATATTTCAGTTTGAAATTATATATTTAGCTAATTGCGACCACGAAAACTTGAAAAGCATTCATCAAAGCCCATCAAAACTTGGCATATTCACCAGTGCAAAAGACTAATGAGAATTATGAAGCTAATGCTGACACGACAAACTTAAAGGGAAGATGGGGCACTTCTACATTTGAGAAAAAACGCTTGAATTGCGTTCATTTGCCCTTTAGAATAACAGATATCAAAATTATATTTCAATGCGACGCGCCGGAGAGTTACAAGAGCAATTTCAAAATATGGCCCGCCCCCCTAGCCTTGGGCAGCCAAAAGAGCCGTCGATGACGTCATGGACAGCGACTGTCTTTCGCGTTTTTCTCGCGTTTAACAATACTTACGCAGCAAATGATTTGGGTATTCGGGTTCACAGGGTAAAAATACACTAGAATTCACTTCGAATTCATTTTTTCGAAGAAGCTCCGTAGCTTCCCTTTAAGGATGCAAAGGAATTTTGACATATATAGTTACACAAACATGAAGCCGGAGACTAGCAATGGTGATACAGGTGACGACTATGTTCAGTCATGGCGACAGAACCTCGTTACGATGCAGTTTCTCTCGTTTCTGGTTCTTCCGCGCATTTGGAACGCAGCACGGCGCCCTTGTTTTAGGCGCAGATTCTTTTGCACCTGTAGTGGTGGGTCTGCTGAAAGCAGGTCGTTGGCCAGGTTTCTTTGGAAGGGCTGTGGCCAGCCGCGGGTGGTGCTTGGACACCCCTGGTTTAAACAGTGAACAGCACGGCGGTTGAATGTTGGGGTTGGGATTGCGGCAGTGCATTTGTTAAAGGGGAATAAGCCGTCGAGTGTTCTGCATGCTTACCCTTTGTGTGGTGGTCCCTGACTTTGGTAGCTGGCCCTGTAATTGCTGAGAGTGTCCTTGGATAACAAATTTTGTAGTGCACACCGGGGCTCGGAATAAAACTGCCTTGTCGGTTCCTCGATTGTGAGCTCGTGTGAGCTCACTGTAGCTCGAGTGAGAGCGTTTTTAAACGGCCAACCCAGAAGGGTGAAGTGCACTTTCAATGTTACTTCTGGCTTTCCAGACCTTTTGTAATCGTATTGCTTTCACTTTTATGGGACTACTTACCAAGGCATGTACTGCGTAAACCTTCTCCCAAAAAAAATTGTTGCAGTATTAAACTATGCATTACTGAACGCTGATTCCCTGCCCAGATCTAGCGATTTCTCAATCAAGAGTTATAAGTGACTCTCTGAAAGTAGGAAAGTGAAAATGGAACAAAATTTTTGCCCGTTTTCAGTAACTAGCATTATTCAGCTTCATGTATTCATGAGTTCCGTCTGCCGCCATTTTCTTGCTTAAAATTTTGAAAATTGCTTATCTTTTGAATAACATAACGGTTAGTTCTGAAGCATTCGCATCTGGTTTGATTGCTAGCACTACATTTTGGCGAAATTAGCATTCGAGGGATAGCTTATTTCTGCGGACGTGACCAGCAATGCCAAAGTGCAGCATGCACTGGCTTCTCCAACTTGCATTGTTGTATACCAATCTTGGCATTTTTGTAGATGCTACCACTCGCAGAATTGACTGCCTTGGAATGCTGTAAGCCCTTAAGTTTACACGGATGAATGACCCAAATATCGAGGAAGGAGCTTGTAGAGTTTTGGGGCAGGAAACACTTACGAAGCGGTTAATGTTTGCAGAAATACGAGAGATGGTAGTGCTCGTCGAGGTGGCAACATTTTCTCGCTTGAAATGTAAAGCCTGTTGGAGCTAGTTTAGGAAAACACTCGTTCTGGTACAATGAAAGACCTTTATTATTGTTTTCTAAACTCAAACAGGACGGCAGGGTTTGGGAAGCTCATTATCCAACGGCACTCGGTACGTCGAGCGAATACATGGGCCTCACGTGACGTTGTTGCACCATGCCAACGGTCACTGCTACTCGTTCTCGTAGAAGAAAACCGAATCAAAGATACGCCGCAGAGAAATACGTTTGGCAGGAGGGCCACGGCCACCGGTGCGACCTCGACGCGAGCCACTGGCCTCCGGTTCTGTGGCTGTGGGGATGTTTGATTGGGCGGGACGTAGTCTGGGGTGTTTTTGCGTGCGTGTGGCAGTAGGGGGGGGGCACTTGATGGTGGAGGTGTGGTGCGCAACTTGACCGGTGAACCTGTCTGCGTTGTGACAGAACCGTTTCCAGGGTCAGCCGGACATCTACAAGCAGTTCCTGGAGATCCTGCACACCTACCAGAAGGAGCAGAGGAATCTCAAGGAGGTCAGCTTCGTCTTGGTTGCCTGCGTCTTCGCGGGGCTCTGTCCTGCCTGTGTCTTGCCTGCCTGCGGGATGGGGTGCTTTCAAAATTGGCGGGGAGTCAACCTTTGGGCACATGGTTTCTCCTTTTGGCACGCGGTTCTTGTCTAAACAAAAAACTAACAGCTCGTAAAAAAAATTTTTTTTTTTTGTGGTTTTGTTAGTTGTTTGTTGAAGCCTTGCGTAACTTTTTTAGAGATGACCCACCCCCGAACTATGATCCCCTTCCTTCTTTTTTGTGTGATTTGCCTTTTTTTTTTTTTTTCTCTTTTTTTTTTTTTTTTTTGAAGACCGGCAATTATTTTGTGTTTTCCACTTTTCCCTTACTTCCTTCTCTCCCTCTTCTACCCTGTCCGCTGTTGCTTGTTTCTTCCACCCCCATGGTGAGGGGGATCTTCTGCCTTGCAGAATCTCGAGTCTGGTCGTCTGCCTTTTAGCAAAAAAAAAAAAAAAAAGAAGTTATTAGAAATTGCGTTGCTCGGGGCTGATGGTGACCTTGGCGAGATGGGGTCAGTCGGCTGTGGCGGGAAACGATGGAACGGTGCCAACTGGAGAGAGTGGTCGTCTCTTTCGTGGCCTTCCCAAGTGATAACGAGTTTGCCAAGTCATAAATACAGTGTTTGCACGCTTGTAACACAGACTTTTGTTTGCCAGAATCAGTGCCCAAAAATACATGCGCGTTGCATTCGAAACCGAAACTCTAGGAGAAATGCAATACTCGGTATAACTGGCTATCCCTATCGCCATCGTGACCGTTTGTTTACATTAGTCATTTTAATATCCAAATTACGAGTATTCCCTCGTGTCTAGGACTTGTGTCTGCCATCCTAACGTGGAAAAAGAAAAGAAACTCAACTAGGAGGTGTTATGTAAACGAAAGGCTATCATGCTGGCAGGAAAAGGTAACACGGAGCAGCACTGCATGGCCTCTCAATCCCAGCGACCCGACGCGCTTGCATAGTGATTTGGAAGATGATCTTCCCAGAGACGACAATTGCGCACTTGTACGAGCGCAGGAAGCGCAGCACCTAAAATGCGTTAGACTTGTGGACAGCGAAGAACCGTCGTTGGACTCCGACTGAGGTGACTAGTGCACGGTGTTTTGTAATGGCGTGGGTTTTATAATCTGTTCTATGAGGCATGTGTTCAGCCTTCCTTTTTTTACCTGCGTGGTACAATCGTGCAAGCACGGTACAGATGTTTCTCTCATTGCGCATTAAAAGTTATACCCGTTTTCACCTCAAGAAAAAAGGACGTTTTGTTCAATGTTCATACGCCACGCAAAGTAGTTCTTACAAGATTTGGTTGTCAGAGGAAGAAGCAATGCTCTTGGCGTTTGAAACGTGTACGTCTTGATAAGATAACATGCGTCTAATCTAAAATGCACCTGCATATATTTGTATTATCTACGTAAAGGGGGAACTTAGTAATGCTCCGCAAGAAGCCATACTTTTTTTACTACGCTTCTTGAGGTGAAAACGAGTAAAGTTTACCATTGATCCAATTTGCTCTCGATTTTACGTGGGCCATCTCCCCGTCTATTATAATAGTAACCTGTAGTTTTGCTATAGGTCACTGTAGCAAAACTCACACACACCTCATCTAACCCTCCTTTCCTCCTCACACCCTTATCTCTCTCTAATCGTCCCGTCACACCAGAGGACTTCAGTCAAGAGGTGTGGCGGAACCCAATCATTTTAATAAAACGTTTTCTGATCTGATTTGATCGTCTATTATAATGGTAACCTGTAGTTTTGCTGCGTTTCTTCGAGGAGGCATTTAATGGAACCCCACCTGGTTTAGGAATACACACTATACTTCGTCAAAGACTGCAGCTGTGCGACAACATTGAGGGGGATATGTCATGTGGTCTGAATATATAGTAAATAGTTGTTCATGTGGCAAGTTGGACGAAGCTTGGTTTGATTTAAACAACTTTTGCTTCCATAGAACTTAAAGCAAGCAAATTAATAATGCAAAAACATTGAGGCAAAAAATGTTGAGCATTGAAGAGTTCTTCTTTTTTTTATCTTTCTACAAAGATATTTTGGGAGGTGTGGGACTCGTCAAACTCTTCTGAGGTGTGGTGTATCTAAAGCTTGAGTGTTAATATAAAGGGGCATGAGAAAATTATGCAAGAACAGTGTGTGGGTTCTTGTATGGGGTTCTTGGAAATGGTGTTCCAACTTAATAGTTGTTGGGGAAGCAGCAAAATGATAGACAAGGAGTAATGCTTCTTTTTCTCGTAGGCCGTAGCAAAGGCAGTGCTTTATGCCAGTCAGAAGACCCATACCACTCTCCATTAACTCTGTGTCCTCGCTGATCGGACACGACTCAACTAGACGCTAAAGCAGTGCAGGGAAATTAAATGTGCATTTTCCTCCTTTCTGCTTGTCCGATTTTTTTTTTTTCAATACCAGTAGTTATTGGACTGCGTTTTAGTCGTCAAAGTAAGTTAGGCATTTCTCAACGCGAGTTTAGGGTTTGAAACGTGTAGTGTCTTTAAATGAGTATCTTTGGCTCATATTCATTGACTTCTAGAAAACCCTCCTAGCAATGTGGTATCAGGGCTTCAATCGCATTTGTACGTAATTTTTGTTGCATGGTTTTTGTGGGTTGGTTAATTTCTTTGTTTTTAACTCTTGTTTTCGACATTGCATGGCTTATAGCACTGGTTTCCATGAGGTGGGCCTATTGTTACAAAAGAGTGGCACGGAAAAACCTTTGCACAGCTGCTTGCTTAGAAAATGCTGCACAGTCTGCGTTTCTCGATTTCATCTGTAAAGTTAAGATATGTGTAAATTTTTCAGAGACGTTTACAAACGATCATGGTGATCATGAAGAAATTTTAACCATTTTCATTCGTAGATCGTCTATTTGGAAGGGAACCTACGGGGACGAGGCATTACCTATATTTTATAAATCAAACATAATGCTTTGATAGATTTGTAACGAGTCTGGTTGAAACCAGGGTCGGTTCATTTGGACCGTCTGCCTGTTCTGCCCAAAAAGTTCCATTATATATATATATATATATATATATATATATATATATATATATATATATATATATATATATAAACGCACCTCAGATTTTGTTAAATGCATGCGCAACGACGACTGAGAACATTTTGACGCGTTGCCGAGCAAATGTGTATAGTCGGTGATAAGACTGGAGCGGCAGGGTGTCTCTTTAGGATGCCTGACCTCCAGTATGCACTTGTCGCTTTCCGTCATCCTTTGGTTGCACGTGCAAGCTCGAAACTCACGAGACGTCAGAGTTTCGCCGAAGGTAGGGAGCTTGCGCCGGAGGCCGGGCGGCCTTGCTGTCATTCTCGAAACATTATGATGCCCGGAATGCGTCTGGGACCGGCGCGTTTGGCGTCCCATCCCACCCGTGCATTAAAATTGGCCCTAGAGGGGCAACAAACAGAGTTGCAAAAGCCGTCGCGTTGTCGGCGATTGGTGCCAAAAGTCTTGTCAAAACATACGGCATATGTGAGCGTGGTCGTTGCGGGGTCCCAGCTGCCGAAGCTTCCGTGTACTGTTGAGCTTGAGAGCAACCTGCAACATTCACCGTCGCTGCTGCAACAATGCGACTTAGACGACCTCGTTGAACGGAAATTGTGAAACCACTTTCAAGGACGCTGTGATTGCACCGGTGGGAGACGCTTTCCAAGTGTTGTAGTGGCGCGTTCGGCCCTTGGGACTTTGTTTCATGTCCGTGTGCCTGTTGTGCCCAGGGTATCCAGACGGGAGGCAAGCCCCTGACGGAGTCTGAGGTATACGCCCAGGTGGCCAAGCTGTTCCAGAACCAGGAGGACCTGCTGCAGGAGTTTGGCCAGTTCCTGCCGGACGCCAACGGGGCCTCCACCCACTCTCTCGTTAGTAGCGGGTCCCCTCCTTGTGCCGCTTTGGCTTACCCTGCCCCGGGGCCTCGGTTGAGCCTCTCGGCTCCGCAGACGCAAGCACCCAGCGAAGAAGGGGCGCCGAAGCTGAGAACTCCTCGGAAAGGGAGGGCGCCGCAGGGGCCTACGAGACTGAGAAATAGTTCCCGGTTTACCTGCAGTTTTGTTGTGGAGTGGACGCAAACACCTATCGCTCCCGATGTTGTTTTTGTCGTCTTTGTGCGCGCGAATTAGTGTCGTGTGATATGTTGACGAGGGAACCTGTGTTTGAGGGATCGTTAAAGGCCTGTTCATGCAGTTACGTTTACCTGCGTTAAGACTGCTTGCGTCAAGCTGCAGCTATGGCGACTTTTACGACGAGCCTATGGGGAGGCGCTGTACTGCACGACGTGACACAGCACAACAAAGTAGACGCAAGTGTGTGAAGATCGTCTTCCGTGGGCTGGGAGGGTGGAGGTTGGGGAGAAAGAAAACCACCCAGAAAATTTTTTTTAATAAAAAGGTAGAGTTTGAAATTTGTTACCATTTGCATCCACGACCACGTAAAGTGTACTCCCAGAGGATTTAATTTGGTTACACTGCATAGTTATTAATGCGTTAGCATTGGTACTCACATGACAGGGAAAAGCTGACTGCGTTCATTTGTGGACAAAACAGTGGAAAAGGAACTGCACCACATAGAGGAGGAGAGTAGTGAAGGACAAAGGAGAGAGGGAGATGTTGTCACGGGTCAGACTTGCCTGTTGCGGTGTGCCGACAGGAAAACAAGGTCGGAGAGATGCCTAATGGCGAAAGAGCAGAAAAAACTCTTAGCATCAAGCGAGGGTCTTCTGACCCTTGCTCGCCACTAAGCTGGCTTGGAGATGCCGTCAATGACATTGTGACGCCCTGGACAGGCAATGGAAAGGATTGTCGCATGACCGGCGGCAATCGCTGCACATATTTTTCGAAATAAATGCGGTTTACGTTTACTTTTGCCCAAGATCAGTGCGATAACTGAATTCACGTAACAAAAAGCTGTAAAAGTCCTTTCCTAACTCAAATTTCTTGAAAAGTGCTTCAGCTTCCGATTAAGTGAACACGAGCTTCAGTTGCTCAAGATGTCGTCATTGTCATGCAGGAGAGCACAGTAGTTGGAGTGCTAATCGGACTCGAAAATTCATAGTCTCAAGTTCAGGCTGGAGATACCTTCAAATAAATGATATTGCACGAGCTGGGATTAAAAGGATTTCACTGTCTGGGGTTGAGTAAACGAGAGTGTTGCCCGTTTCAACTGTTATTGCTTCTTTGTGTGTCGAGTTTAGTTGAGTTGGTTTGCTAGTTTGTGAATTCGGAACTTGTGAAGGTTTTCGGTGTTGCGTCAAATGTTCGGTTACCCAGCGTCCATTTGATGACTGAATCGAAATTGTCTTTGTCATCCTTAAATTGGACGAATATGAGTGTTTGGTTGCTTTCATGTGCGTGGCTGCCAAAGAGCTTCTTAAAGGAACAATAAAGTTGATTCTTCCATGCAGCTGTTGGTCGAATTGCTCCCTCTTAGTTTTCTGCCTCTCATCTCCCTAAAAAGCAATGGCAGGGGACAGTAGATTGTCTTACCCCTTTGCTGGACACCAATCCACTTTCCAACATGACTTTGCTTCATGATTCTGGACAAAAAGCATATGGCACAAGTCTTGCACATTAGCTTACCGTGATGCAGGCGTGGGAATTCGTATTTGAATGAACTCTTGATTTAGGTTCGCAATCTTTTGGTTAAGCCATGCACATGTCGTACCATGCACTTCGGGGTTGAAAGCCTCCTTTAAAGTGCTCTCACTACTGATCATTTCAGGAAATGGTGTTTGTGCAAGTATTGCTCTGGCAACTATGGTTCGTAATGTGGGGATGTGACCGGAATCTTGAAGGGTTCCTCTCTTGTCCAGGTAACGCACGGCCTGGATTTTGGCTTCCAGCCGGTTAAAGCCGTGAGCAATGACCATACGGCGGCTGCCAAGAAGCCCGGCTCGGGCCTATCCAAGCCGAGCCTGGTCTCTGGCCTGGGCAGCTCCCTGAAGCAGGGCAGCACTCCCCTGAAGAGACCCCTCTCCCACCTCTCGGGCTCTGTGACAAAGGTGAGAACCGCCTGCTGTTGGCCATGACATGTGGTGTGAGACAGGGCCCTTTGTGTCCAGAGTTGGGCTGTTGGGTGGGTCTTGTTGGCCCTCTTAGTTTTTTTTGTTTTGCCACCTTTAGGCTTAGTTTTTTTTGGTTTTTTTTTTTAGTGTTTAGGTCTAGTCTTTTGGTGCCTCTAGGCTTAGTTCTTTTGGTGCCTTTAGGTTGTTATGGGTGCCATTAGGCTTGGCTTAGTTTTTTTCTTGGATTTTTTGTGCCTGTTGGCTTAGTGTTTTGGTGCCCTTAGGCTTCAAGTTTTAGGTGGTTTTAGGCTTAAGTCTTTTTTTTTTTGTCTGTGTTCTTGGGCTTCGTTTTTTTTTCGCTTGTCAAAAAGATTAAAAAAGTTTCACCTCATTTTTTTTTTTTTTTTTTTTTTTACTGCTTTATTTTGGGGGCATGGACTTATGCCATCCCCTCTTCTTTATCGTTCTCCCAATAAATACTGCTGTAGTTTGAGAGCTCCAGTTTCTGTACTGTCTTTCCAACCCACCTTTCCCATTAGCCTTTCTGCCCCTCATAGCCTTGCAGATTGGCGAAATTTCTTCCTTTTAGACATTTTATATATATATATATATATATATATATATATATATATATATATATATATATATATATATATATGGGAAGCAGCTGGTGAATTAACTCCATAATGAAAACTCGAGATGGGACAAAATAAAATAATGGGCAAATGCCTGCACCTTTTTTCTTTTTTTTTTCTCCAGTGTTTAGTTTATATTAAATTTCCCATATCTTCCTCGGCCTTGTAGGCTCTGCTCTCAGCTGGTGATTTGAGTGGCGCATTTCATGCGAGGTCTGTTAAAACTTCCGTGAAGGCCTACCCATGCTGCGTGTCTTTCGCTGGCATCACTTTGGAGGTCTGTATTGAGCGTGTGCCGTCTCTTATTGCAGAAGCAGAAGATGACGAGCCTGAAGGACGTCACCCTCGCTGAAGCTGGCAAACATGGAACACTCAACGAATTTGCCTTCTTCGATAAGGTGAGCTGTCCGTGTTTGTTCTTTGTTAAGAGTCTAGTCATGTATGTCACTCTTAATGCAGATAAGACTAATTATATTGTCTTTGCGTGAATTTGTATTTTTAATGAGGTGGCTCATCCTTCTCCCTATTTTTGTTCTGATTGATGTGAGGTGGTAGGAAATGGTTTTTTGTATATTTGGTTTTCTGGCATGTTAGGATCCATTGAAAACATTGCGCAGGGTTCGCACGGGTCCTTGAAAACCCTTGAATTTGAAATCTTCATTTTCCAACCTTGAAAGCCCTGGAATTTCTAGTGGTGCTTGCAAGCCTTTAAATTTCCCAATGATAGTCGGTTTTTTATTTTTTATTTCTTTCCTGCAATATTTAATTATTTTTGCAATAACATAAATATTTTTTTTACGTGTATGTTAATATAAATTCAAAAATTTCAACAAGGAAGTTTTCTTTCAAGGCACATCTAGTACATTTAGCAGATGCCTGTTCAGCACCTGGCCACAATTTATTTATTTATTTCTGTTTCATGTGCCCACAAACGGCTCGAGGCCTTACTAGTGCGCACATATTACAAACAATAAAAGAACAGATACTGACAAGCAAGCAAGACGTGATTTAGGAAAGATAAAACGAAATAAATAAATAAAACTATGGAGAACAACAGAGCACAGATGTTTGTCAAGCGGACAACATCCTTCATACCGCAGTCTGTTAGGTCTTCCACTAAGATAATTAGACAACCAACTGCAAACGAGCTAGTCATGCCCAACGCTGAAAATTTGGCAAGGAACAACTTACGATCTACGAGATCAAAAGATTTAGAGTAATCAAAGTAAATAGCATCAACTTGTCCACGGGACGTGACCTTAGGTAGAGTGAGTTCTAAAAATGATACAGGGTTTGTTTCCACTGAACGCCTTGACAAAAACCATGCTGGTTGAGACAAAGAGACGATTTAAAATGAAGATAAATATGCTTACACATCGCCTTTTCAAATACCGTGGTAGCTGTCCCAGTGGTTTTGGATCCAGTCTTGCCTGTCTGTCATCTTGCGAACGTGCCCCTTGTTCGCCTTGTTCTCTCGTGGGCTGTTTGCTAGTTACTCCTGGGTTGCTTGGTCTGCTTCTGTTTTATGCTACACATGGTAGACATAGTTTTAAGGGGGGATATGGCCTGGGAGGGTCAACTTTTGAACCCTTCACCCAATTTGGTTCAAATTTTGAGGGTTATTTCAGCACTATGAGGAAGGATAATCTGCAAAGTTTTAGCATTATTGGTCAACTTTACAGCATGCTACGGTTCTCGCACTTCAGAAAAAAGACACTTCATTAGGAAGTCTATCGTAGAAAAATAAAATTAGCTGGTGGCAAACTTTTTGCTTTAATGTGAAGAACAATACCCACAGTGTAACCTAGATAAAAAATAAATTGTAAAATATTCAATTATAACAAAAATAAGAACATCCCAAAATTTAAAAAGAAAATGTAAAATCTTTGTTTCAAAAAAAAAAATTTTTTTTTTCATGAAGGAGTTGATTTTTTGAACTGTGAAGTAGTCTATCTTGTTCCCCAGAAAATTTCAGTCCCAGAAAATCTTGAATGATGTCCCTCTGTATTCAGAATGTCAAATGATAGCTTTCCTAAAACAAGAATTCCTGCCAAAAAGTGGAACTGAGAAAAATGCGTTTGAAGTTTCAACTTGTTTTTTTTTTTTATTTTCGGACGATGCCAGAAACTCGAAATTTACCCGAGTCATTGGTGGCACCTTCAACTACATGAGCATGTGGAGGGCAGTGCGTTGAGGCCCCCGAAGGGATTCGTGAGCTCTGTGAAACTGATGCCACAGTCTCTTCCAACGACGCCTAGACGTACCGCGAGTTCGTTCTCTCGAAACTTGCCGAATGATGGTGAGTGCGGTGTCGCGACGATGTCTCCGCAAGTCGAGCAGCTAACAACAAACTAAAGGTTGATGTCAACTTATTGCAAGCTCAGTAGTTTTCCGTGGCACTTGAGGCAGAGTAAAATCGCAACAAGAGTCTGCATGGCGGACACATTGAGGAGCCGTTCAGGGGCTTTTCAACAGGAGCGGCTGTCAGCTCCGGGTCGTCCGTAATCCCCGCGTCGAAATCGCGCAGGCTGAGCTTCCTCTCGAACATGGTCAGCACATCCGATTCGGAGATGAAGCTGTAGGCTCCGATGTCCGCCAAGCACCAGTTGAGCTTGGAGATCGTGACGACGGTGGCGGAGACGGCGACGATGGTGCCGGCGGAGACGTCCCCGTCTCCGCCGGCCCTTTGTTTCCGCCGTTGAGAACGCCGGCCAAAGCTACTGCGAGTGCTAACTTTGGAAGCAGGCATTTCTCGGCAGAAAAACTACCGGGAACAAAGAGGGAAAACGAATCTAAACAGCGGCAAACTAGCGATACGATCAGAAGCGATACGATCAGAAGCGAAAGAAGCTGCCGATAGCGCGCGCAGGCGGCCAATCGTGAGCCCTGTTTCGGGTCACAACCAATGGGATTGCTGGTATCATAGTTTCCACGTTTTTTCTGCTTGTATGTACGGGGTTCTCCCGGGACACAGATAGCCTCAAACGTAGCAAGCTTCTATGGGCAGAAACTAGAAGAAACGGCGCTTCCAACGAGGGTAAGATATCTCGGCTGCGTCGAACGAGCGCGGAGTAGGCCTAATTTGAAAAGGCCGAACTTCGCCGTCTGCTTGCTCGGCGGGTCGCCGCGCGCGGCCGCGAGCTTGCCGAAAATAATTTTTTGCGAAATAAATACTGCGCATTTATAAATAAAACTTTCTGAAACTATGCTTCAGAACATAGTGAACCCAAATATAATATTTTTTGAAAATGCATTTTTTCGGAAAAAAATGGAATTTCGTGGCCGTATCCCCCCTTAAGTTGTGCGCGATGCCTATGATGTGCAACTAGTAACTACAGACACCAAGAAACTAGAGGCAACAGGTGGCATCACCTACATTGTCAAGTCGAACAGCCTAAGGAGAACGGCGAAGACGAAGATGCAAGACCTTCTAAAAATCAACCAGGAAATCAAAGAAACTCTACTGAACCTTTACTAGCACCTTTTTTGGTAAATTCTCTCCTCTCATCCCCTAGGTATTGTGCAATAAAGAATTTTTGAAGTGCATTAAGAAAAGTTGTTATATTATCAATTTACTAGGTAGAGTATTGGGGGGTCCTTGAAGATATCTTTACAGGCCCTTAAAAGTCCTTGAAAACCTTTCAAGTCTGTACGAACCATGATTGCGGTTCTGCTTACATTGCTTACATCTTGATGGGCTTGAGTTTTGTTTGGGTGACGAGACTTTGCAATGGTTCTTACGAGTGTCTTACCTGGTCTGGGGTGTGTTTTACCTCTGCCCCCTGCAGGTGAGGCGTGCTCTCCGGGGCCAGGAGGTGTACGAGAACTTCCTGCGCTGCCTGATCCTCTACAACCAGGAGATTGTGTCTCGGTCTGAGCTGGTGCACCTGGTCACTCCCTTCCTGGGGTGAGTGTGGTCCCCTTGAGGCCTTTCCCACCACCAGCTCTGTCTTGCACTCGCTAGAGTAGGCTCTGGCAGGAGAAGAGTCTCGGCTCGTCCTGTCGGGGCTGCCATGCGTGTGCTAGCGAATTTTACGAGGCGGCTTCCGTCATGTGACTTCCACAATGATTTCCAGCAACATTTGATGCACAAGCACCGGCGACACCCGTCCGAAGGTGCCCAGTAAATTGCATCGCTCTGTCGGGATGGTTAGACTCTCTTTGTTGTTACTCAGATGTAAATCTTCTTGCGCGTGAAACTGAGATGTTGTTAACACCCAAAACTTGTCTCTGCATTTCTCACCTGAGGTGGGGACTGCAGCCAAACGAGTGAACACCTAGATGCCAATCTTGACTGCCAAGATGGAACCCGTTCTCTAAATGCCCGGCTCATTCGTCCGTACCTTAGCAGTTCAGCAAAGTTCCCGGCTTGATAAATCTGTCAGTTTCTGGCCACGGTTCCCAGCGACATGTCATTGCTCGACTATGGTCACTGACAAGGTGAGATTGACGGGGAGGAGCTTGAGTTGGTCCCGCCTCCAGCACGGGTCTCCTACCTTCGACGACGCTTGGGCATCTCGCACGCAGCCAAAGCGCGTGCCGGAGACCAGGCGTCCTAAAGACATGCCCTGTCATTCTCATTCTGTCGGCGATCATAGATGTAGCTTTCCATTCCGAGTGTGATCGAAAGTTTTCCCGGCGGGCATCTCGGCTGCAGGAAGTTCCCTGAGCTGTTCAAGTGGTTCAAGGACTTCATTGGTTACAAGGACCTCGGTGGCCAGGTGGAGCCCATTCCCAACAAAGTGGTCCAGCAGGAGCGCATTTCCGGCGACCCCTCCATGGAGATCGGTGAGGGTGATCTGCACCGGGCTTCCCAGTGCGGGGGGCGCAGCCAGAGAAAGTGCGGACTTGGAGCGCCGCTCTTTTTCTTTTCTTGCAGACTACTCATCCTGTAAGCGTTATGGCGCCAGCTACAGAGCCCTTCCCAAGAACATTGTACAGCCAAAATGCAGTGGGAGGACTCAGTTATGCAAGGAGGTGAGTGACTTTAGGAGGATTTCAAATTGATTTGCTGTTGGAGCGATGCCTTCATTGGCCTTTTCAGCCCTAAAGTTGACTCGGGGAGGGAGCTCTCTACGAGTCAGTTGTTTCGGAATACTATTTGTTTAGCAGATGGAAAGGACTCTCTCTTTCTCTTGGTGGCGATGTTTGTAGATGGATATGTAATACGTGTGCAGGTCCTGAACGACACGTGGGTTTCGTTCCCGTCATGGTCTGAAGATTCAACGTTCGTCAGCTCGCGCAAGACTCAGTACGAGGAGTACATCTACAGGTGTGAAGATGAACGTTTTGAGGTAGGCCTCCCAACGTGCTTTGTACTCTTCCTTCACCCCTCGTTTCTGCTGGGTGGGTATAAAAGGTTGTGGGACCTGCTGAACGTCTTTAAGGTTTCGTTTTCCGCATCGTCCGTCCGCCTTTTCTTTCCTCCATCTAGACATTTCGGAGTCTAGATCGCTCGCCTTATTTTCTTGCTTCAAAAGAATTGCTCTGTTGAATCACATTTTTTATGGCATCTTCTTGCCACATTGTATGATGTATCTCTGTGGATGCAGTTTTGAGTGGTGCTCGTATGGTTAAGGGGAGACGCGGGTCTTAAAATGGTCAAAAAACGCGAAATTTCACGTTTTTCAAAATTCACCTATTTGGATTAATTGTAGTCTAAGGTACCTGCCTGCAAAGTTTCAATGTCGAATTCAATGTCTAAGCATGAAAAAAATGATATTTACGATGTCCCCGCAGAGCCCTGACACAGCGAGTTCAATGAAAACAAGTGAAACTTCGCACCCCGCGCATTTCGCGATCGCTCGTCGGATTGCGGCCATCTTGGTCTTGTTGGAAAGCCGCTTATTTTCCCCACGTCCCCATGCCATTCGTTATCGCGACAACATCGGGGAACGTCCGCATTCCGCGGGTTTCGAAGGCCCCAATTGCGATCGCTCATTGGCCGGCTAGCAAGGTGCCCGTACGTCAGAGCACGGCGGCGCCTAGCGCCCCTGCTATTGGCCTAAACGCGCCCCTCCGCTCTTTTTCTCCTTTCCTCCTTTCCGTTCCCGCGCTGGCGAGTGGTGCGTCGTCTGCTCCTGGGCCCGTCTCCGCCCGTCTCCTTAGGCCTGTCTGCTTTGTTTCCTCAGTGGTCGAGCGCACGTTTTAGTTCCCGTTTGCGCGCTTGCATTGAATATTGTTGGTTCGTTTTCCTACGAAGTCGCGCGTTTTGTTTTGTTTCGCTTAGAGTTCTCGAGATGCCGGACGACGCTCGGTTGAAATCGAGCACGCGGCAAGCGTTCGGAAGGAAGAGGAAGCGACCGTGGAACAAGAAGCTGAAGCTGTCTGCTGCAAGTGCGCCACCGCGATCGGCACCGCCGGATGCCTTGGATCTTCCGGAAACATCAGCCGGAGGCATCGCGACTCCATGCAGCAGCGGCAGTTTGTTGAACTTTGCGAGCGCAGTTCGTGTCGACACCGCATACTACTCCACGGCCGAGCAGGCGCAACGAGTCGCACGATCGGACGAATGCAAGCGTGCGCTATCGGAAAAGTCGGCGACCCAGCGCAAATTCGACCTCGGCGTCACCACAGGAGGCCAGACGCGCGACGCTGGGACACAGTTCATTGTAGTGGACATGAAAGCTCTCAAAGCATGGAGAAGGACAATCTGCGTTTGCGTAAGGCCAACGCTGCCCACCAGAGCAGCAGCAATCCAAAGCAGAGGTTCTCCAGGCAACACCAAACTGGAACAGCTGGGGACTACAGTCCTGGACAGCTGTGAGGGGCTCCCCTTTCAAGTGCTACACGAACAAAGGCCCTTTTCAGGGCCAAACACAATCTGCTTTCGGAACGTGCAACCCTTGGTGCCTCCTCCCGTTGTCCCTTATAGAGTCTACTCATTCTTTTATAACTTTATTTTACATTGCAGGCATTATTTCTCAGTTTTATATTATTTTTTAAAGGTTCTTGTGAACGGATTGCAGAATTTTTCATCTCAATTTGTTCAGATAGAACTATGCTTCCTACTGCTGAACATTATTGCATGGGATCCCTTACTCAATTTTATGCAATAAGTGTCAAAACTTCAACTGCAATTTTCTCAGCTTCGCATTTTTCGTCTACATGCCTAGCCTTACGGTTGTTTTCATGAAATTATTCTTTAGGGATTTCTATAAACTTTATACCGTTGAATTCAGAAAGAAGTGAACTGCAGGGTGATGCTATTTTTGTATGACAGTATGGGCCCGAAATTTTATTATTAGTGATAATGTGACCTCGTTAGGCTTTGTAAATAGTGTACTTGACCTAATTAGACTAGTTTTATACAATGATCTATCTTTACAAAAATATAAATAGCATCATCTTGCATGACAGGTCTTTAACTACAAATCCATATCACTTATGCAAAAAAATTCGTATTAGAAAGTTCCTTAATGAGTCGTAAGATATGACCTAATTAGGCTTCATTATTTTCTTTGTAACTCAAAAAGTAATTGAGATATTGCAGAACTAATTGGATATTTGAAAAGAGGAAGCCAAAACACACATACACACTGATTTTCATTATAATCCATTAATAAACAAAAAAGTCGATTTTAGAACCAGTGTCTTGCCTTAATCATTGGGTACAAAGAGAATTCGGCAGTATTGGTGCTGGAGCTGCATTAGTTGCTGTGTCTTGGAGATTTAGGACAAGTTTTTTGGCATTTTGAAGATGCCTTTGCAATATGGGCCCGTGTACTTACAAAAGTGTCTGGTATCTTAAACCACTCGTTCTTTAGATCCTGTTACACACTCTAAAACGGCTGTTCTCAGACTTCAATCTCGAGGATCCTTCTCCCTGGATTGGCTTCCGAGGAATCTTTCCCAGTTTTGGCTTTCATGCAACAAACCAAACCACTTCAGAAGGTTAAAGACATCGTAAACTATATGTTTTATGCACGAGACAGCATTTGGCTTGTAGTTGTGCGTCAATGGGTGGCCCATTGGGCCAAGTGCCACGTACGCCTTTGCAAATCGCAATCCACGGAGATGCGAGGGACAATCCGCCAACGGTGGTGCCTTGTGTGCGCAGCTGGACGTGGTGGTGGAGACGAACCTGTCGACGATCCGGGTGTTGGAGGCAGTGCAGAAGAAGATGCAGCGGCTGGGGGCGGAGGAACGACAGCGCTTCCAGCTGGGCGACAACCTGGGCGGCACCTCTGCCGTACTCCAGCAGCAGGCCATCAGGCGCATCTACGGCGACAAGGCCGCCGACATCGTCGAGGGACTCAAGCGCAACCCCGTCGTAGCCGTGCCCCTCGTGCTTCGCCGGTGCGTGTGCTCGCTCACCTCTACGCTTTTCGCCGGAGCTGTGGTGCTCGGAAGCACCCTAAATCAGAATGCGAGACTAGGCCTGAAATGCTTCTGCAACTCATTCTATTTAAATTTCGTTGTGACGACCCAACGGTTTAAAATCTTGATGCTCTGTGACAAGTTGTGGTTGGTGGCTGCAAACTTTGTGCTTTGTAAACCGGCTAGTATGTTGTGCAAACCCATTGGTTATATGCAATACTTGAGTCGGGTTTATTGTACAGTACCTTGGGAAGGAAAGGAGGTTTGGTCCTTGGCTTCTTGGAGCCACACTATTGTTTCCACTTCACCAGAATTTGAGTAGAGCGTCTCATAGCGCAACGTGACGGGCTTTAGTGCAAACACTTTACACAGTTAGCCAGTAACCGGGAGCTAAGAGCCAGGACTTAGCTTGCAGCGTGTTATAGCGGGGTTGGTGCTCTGGACAGGTTAAAGGCAAAGGAGGAGGAGTGGCGGGAGGCCCAGAAGAGCTTCAACAAGATCTGGAGGGACCAGAACGAGAAGTACTACCTCAAGTCCCTGGACCACCAGGGCATCACCTTCAAGCAGAACGATGTCAAGTTCCTGCGCTCGAAGAGCCTGCTCAACGAGATTGAGGCCATCTACGAGGAGGTGGGTACTCTTGCCTTCTAGTCGGGTTCCAGTCGATTAGTCTCGGTCTAGAGGGAGATTTCGAGGTACCCAACCGTAGTCTTAATGGTTTTTAGAACAATGTGAATGAAGTCTGCGTGCCTTAGGCAGCCTATCTACAGGATGAAACAAGGAGACGGCAGGCTCTTTAAATCAACCGGAAAATTCGGTTTCTTAACCTATCGCGCTACGACTTTGTGCAGTGTTGCCCACAGATGGTGCATCTTTTTTGTAAAATTTGCAAAGAGCAAACTTACCTGAGGAAAAAAGTAAAGAAAGAAAAAGGCTTAGCTCCTATATAAACGCCGCGAAGCCACCGGTCTGCAAACAACACGGCGCCGTTTCGCACGGGAGACAAGAGATGGCGCAAGCGGTCGCGATGCCAACTGCCGCCAACGAACGAGCATACGACGCCGAGAGCCGGTGTCTTTAGCAGACAAGGAATTGCAGTTCCTTGTTGTTACCGCGCCTGTTTTTGTTTCTCCGACTGTCGTTGCCTGCGGAACGCGCGCCGCTTTTGAGTCGAGACAATCGTCTGCTAAAGACACCGGCTCTGGGCGCCGTATGCTCGTTCGTTGGTGGCATTTGTTGCGCCATCTCTTGTCTCCCGTGCGAAATGGCGCCCTGTTGTTTGCAGACCGGTGGCGTCGCTGCGTTTCCATAGGAGCTAAGCGTTTTTCTTTCTTTACTTTTTCCTCAGGTAAGTTCGCTCTTCGCAAATTTTACAAAAAAAAATGCACCATCTGTTGGCAAAGCTGCACAAAGTCGTAGCGCAATAGGTTAAGAAACCGAATTTTCCGGTCGATTTAAAGAGCCTGACGTCTCCTTGCTTCACCCTGTAGAAAGACAACATTCCAAAGATTGGTTTGTTTATTCGCCGGCCGACGCAGAGGCGGGAGCAGATGGAAGAAGGGACGGGCGAGGTCCCCGTGGGCCCTCACATGACGTTGCCTTACCTTGACCGTTCCATCCTGGACGACGCCGCCAACCTCATCATCCACCACGTCAAGCGGCAAACGGGTGAGCCTTCCTGGTTGTTGAACACCTCTGCTAGGACGGGACACGGACATAACGCTAATGAAACTGTCTTATTCGCTACATTTTGAAGTTCCTTCTTGCACAATCTGTGGACAATAGAATTGAATTTGCGGATCCCCCTATATTAAAGTAAGCTGCTCTTGGGCTGGGTCAGTATGTTAGCAAGTGTTGTGTATCTGGCTGCTTGCAGAGGAGGCATCGAATCCTGATGCATGTTTCTTTTTTAACATTTGTTACGACTGTTCTGTTTTAATTTCTATCTGCTCTAGATTAATTTTCCGTCCTTCGTTAATGTGTGCCTCGTACGCTCTTTTGGCTTAAAATCTAAACCACCGTACTACCTTTAAATAAGAGCTGCTGGTTTTCAACCCATGAAAGCCCACAAGTATAGAGTATCGGAATTGGTCAATATCCTAGGATTGAGGAAGGATGTCATCTTCTCGCTACAGATTATCAAGCTGTATGCGCACTTTTAATGCAAAAGCATTAACTGTCGATGGAGCGAAGACGGCGGCGTCTCTAACTGCGAAAAACGCGACCTAAATTCCCAATATTTTCATTGGCTGAGCGAAATGGCACCCAGACATCCATTGGCTGCGACGTGTCATAGTTCCAAGGAACGCCACCTCACAGAGAAGCCCTCTCCATGGCGCTGCGACCCACGAGCCAATAAAAGGAAGGGTGGCACGCGTGCGGCCGCCCCTCTCTTCTTTCTACGCTTTGCTTTCAGCCATGTTGCGCCGCGGAAGAGCGGAGCGGGCGCGCTGCTTGTAAAAATGCGCGGCGTGTAGGAATGCTTTTGCATTCCTACATGTAAGAAATCTTAAGGGGAGATGCGCGTCGAAAAAGCGAGTTTTTCGCGCAACTTTTTAGTTTTGAGTTTTTGCCCGTAAAAATATCCTTGGACATTCAGTTACAACTTCCCAAAAGATCATGCGAAAATTCGAACGCCAAATTAGTAAAAAGTTTATTTTATTCAACTACGGTTGCTCGAGAAAGTGCTACTTTCCGCGCACATCGTCAATCTTCGAGCGTCTGCATCTCGAGAACGCGTCGCTGCCCGCCATTGCCGTTTGGTTGGGGAGGTTGAGTAAGCCTTTTTCTTACAGACAGCCCCTCCCGCAGTTTCGCATTTTGGCTGAAAATAATGAAAAAGTCGTGTTTTTTGCGCCCGTTTCGAGCGTTGCTACTGGACCTTTAAATCACGTGGTGCTCTAGCGAGGCTACCATTGGCCGAGACTGATGCGTTTCTGCGGCGAAGCCTACCTCCTGCTCTCGGATTTTACGGCATCTCGATCAACCTCTCTGGCGTTTTTGTTTTTGTTGATTGAATTCACAATGAACGACCCGACAAAGCGTGACTTCCGAGCTCGGAAGTCTCGGACGAAAAATAAGTACCGAGGACGCCTTCGCAAACCTCAACGGAAAACGACAGCGGAAAGCACTCGCCCGACCAGCGCTGGCCCGCCGCCGCCAGCTAGGCCTAACGAGGGCGACGGCCACTCGGACGAAATCGACGCCGCGGTGAACTTGGTCAGCGCTTCAGAGGTGAAGATTGGACTGTTCGAGAAAGATCTAGCAGCAAGCGGTCGGGATTCCACGAGTAGTACTGCGATATGCGACATCAGCGCGCTTACGGTGCTGGTAAGCGGTGCTGCTTGCCCAATGTGCTACACCAGTACCCTTGCGGTACGCGAAGCGACCGAAAAACGAAAGGGCCTTTCGTCTTTTCTTGAGCTGCATTGTGCGAATACCGAGTGCCCTGCATCGGTACTCTCTGCTGTGCACACCTCGAGCCGTGTTGTGCCTGGTGAACTTGTGGATGGCGCCAGCGGAAGCCGAGTGTGGGAGCTCCCGCGACAGCTTTGCTGTGAACATCAAGGCGGTGGTGGCAGCGCGCGCAATTGGCATCGGGCACGAACAGCTGTCGCGTTTTTGTGGCGTTCTTGGCTTGCCGGTGCCATTACATCATAAGAACTTTGCAGCGATCGGCAAAAAAGTTCATGTTGCGGCCACGAAAGCCGTGGCAGAAAACATGGAGAAAGCCAGAGTTTTCACGAAGGAGATGGTGGATGACAGCGATGTTGGTGTTATGTTTGACGGGACGTGGCAAAAGCGGGGCCACAAAAGCCATAACGGCGTTGGCGCAGCTGTGTCTGTAGACACTGGCTTGTGCCTCGATTTCGAGGTACTTTCCAACTTCTGCCTTGCGTGCAGTCGGCACCAAGACCTCGGGAGTGAAGAAGAGGAAGTGTGGCAAGCGTTTCATGGCCCTGTTTGTGAGAAGAACACTGAATGCTCCTCTCACGCAATGGAAACAGAGGCAGCAGTGTGGACGCGGACCCCCTCACAGGAGACACCATTGCGCTTCACCAAGTTTCTAAGCGACGGGGACAGTAAAGCTTTTAGTGCAGTCTCCGAGGCAAAAGTGTATGGCGAAACATCTGTCACGAAGGAAGACTGCACAAACCATGTGGCCAAGCGCCTAGGAAGTGCACTTCGTAAGCTCAAGACCCCTCTTCCACGTGGTGAGAAGTTGAAGGATGGGCAGATTCAAAAGTTGCAAAACTACTACCGGATAGCGATCACCAGCAACAGGGGCAACGTCCGGAAAATGTATTGTGCCATTTGGGCGTCCTACTTTCACTCGTGTTCCACAAATGCCACAAGTTCTGCCCCGAAGGAGTGGAATCATGGTGTAAGCACCGGCGGGCCGAAGCACTCGGAGAGCCCGCACCAGACCACACTCCGCTTCTGACAAAGGCACAGGGGCTGGCTCTGCTCCCTATATACAGGCGTCTCACAGAAGAAAAGCTGCTCACCCGCTGCTTGCAAGGGAAAACTCAAAACGCAGCGGAGTCTTTGAATAGCAAAATCTGGCTGCTATGCCCGAAGACAAAGTTTGCCTCCAGGACTGTTGTGGAAACGGCAACTGCCATTGCTGTTTTGTGGTATAACAAGGGGCATGGAAGCTTTGAGCAAGTGCTTCAGGAGCTTGGCGTACTGCCATCAGAAGAGCTTGTCGCCCTGGGCAGCTCCCGTGACCAGAGGAGAATAAAAAAAATGTCAGCCCGCCAAACCGCTGAAGCCCGAGCACATCGCCGTAATATGGTGAAGAGAGCACGTCTCACAGACTCCACTCGGGAAGATCTTGAGGGGCCAACGTATGCGCCAGGAGAGTTCTAAGGAACGTTGCTGTGTTTGGGACATATTGCTTTATTTTATCAAGTAGTTTCATGTGCTTTGGTCATGTTTTTGAGAAATGAAGATGTTTGAAACTTTCAAATGCATTTTTCTCCGTTTGTAGTTTTCAGCATTTTTTACGCATTGTGCAACAGATTTCAAATACTTACAATAGTTAGATTTGAATGAAATTTTCCACACAGCTTCTTCAGAGTGTGTAGAATGTTGATATCTATTTGAATTTTCAATATCCCTTCTATATTTTTTGCAAAAAATGTAAATGTTGACTCATAGCACCTAAGATAAACACTTTTGGTGTTCCTGATTTTTTTTACAAATATAGGATAATATAAATGAATTTCAAGTAGTTTTCAACATACTACCTTACCTAAGCAGCAACATGAGCTATTGCAGGCTGCGCTAACAATATATTTATTTATCAAAAAGTTGTGCACAAAAAGCACTATATTGTGTTTTTGTAGACACACAAAAACCAACAAAGCTACATAAAAACTAAGAACCTATTTGGAATTGACATTAAAATCTATCAATGACCAAAGTTTCAAAACCTTAGGTTTAATATTAAAGAAAAAGTGTTTCCGGGGAGCATCTTCCCTTAAAGGACCCATGAAACGAATTTTGGGCTGGAGTAAATCAATTTATATTGGGATTTTACTAATAGCACATCGTTCAGTGGGCCAAAAGAACAAAGGTAGAAAGTCAGAAGCCTGACTTTCGCTACGAAAATGTTCAAAACATAGCGGACTATTTCGTACCTCCTTCCCTTCGTAAACTCTCCGCCTTTTCACTGTGATACATCCGCGGACCCCACAGCGCGTCACCGGGCTACTAGCCACCATAACCGGGCCCCCGCAGCGCGTCACCAGGGCCCAAGCGCACGTCACACGACACCGGACCTCACTTAATCCCTTTACCTCTAAGCTGACATGGCGGTGGAAGCTACGCGCTTGCCGGACCAATCAGCCGTCTCCCTTTCATCACCTGACCTCATTCTCTGCGGGTCGGTATGCGCGAGAGAGCATGATCACGTGGAAAATGTGTGGCTGGCCCAACGAGCACGTAGCTTCCACAGCACTGTCAGCTTCGGGGTGAACGGGGTGGGGAAAGCAACTAGTCGGAATTTTGAGCGACGGGCTAATCTTCTAGGGGGACAATGGCTGTGTCCGGCTAGTCAAGCGAGATTCCGAGCAAGAGGGGACTCCCCCCTTTCCGACTTGTTGAACTGTTTGGTACAATGCGTGATTTATGAGTTGAGGAGGAAAGCTAAACAGAAAAAAGTTGAAAAAGCGTTTCATGACTCCTTTAAGTGTTCTCCTGTATTTTAATTATGGTGTTACGGGTGTATAATTTCTCAGTTGTAGTACTCAAGTATCTGCAGCAACTTTGTCCAATAAACAATGGCTCATGCTCGTGGCATAAAGCTGTGTACCAAAACTAGTTTCGTTTCTTTTTCTCTTTTTTTTTTTTTTTTTTTTTTTTTTTTTGTTGAAACTATAATTTTAGTGTTTCTGAACAAGGAACAATTCTTGTTCAGAGAGGCATTTTTATCATCAAAATTAATTTTGGATCTCTCGACATCAGACTTGGTGCACCTGACAGACCCTTTCAATGCTGGTGCAGTGTTTAAACTAAAGCAACGTTTATTTGTAGGAATCAACAAGGAGGACAAGCAGAAGATAAAGCAGCTGTTACGCCAGTTCATTCCAGACCTGTTTTGCCTGCCCAGGGGTGAATTGTCGGACGACGAGATGGAGAAGGATGACGGTATGCATCACCTACCTCATGTCCTTTGCATGTTGTTGCATCACAAATATTACAGCAAAACTGTTTATGGCTAGGGTTCCGTGCATTTTTGGTGCGTGTCTACAAAATCTCGGAGCAGGCTTGCACTGCCCTCTCTTTGTCGTCGTTCTGTACTCTGTGTCAGGAGTTGTGTGCAGCAAAGGCATAGGCACGGGCACATGGCTTTTAGATTTGCTGTCCTTGTGCGAATGCTCGTGAAAGGAAGGCAGATCTGAAAGCCAAGCGCTCGCACCTGTGTTTTTTGCCTTCGCTGCACGCAACTTAAGTATATGTGCTTGCGTGACTAGTTTCCTTTCCTTCCGTTGGTGGCGATCCCGTTGCGAGTGTCTAGTTACCCCCGGCTCCTTGGAGTGGCGATAGTCCTTGACGTGTGTGCGTACCTTTCATCACAGTGACCATCGGTCAGGACAGTAAATGTTTTTACCTTTGTTCAAAATTCTGTGTCCCGTCTCTGGCATGTGCTAAACAGCTTCGGTGCTCAGTCATTTTCACAGAGTGGAGTGGCTCGGAATTTTTTTGCGCTATGCTTTGCTGGCTGGCAGAGGATATTCTCAGAAGGAAATGGTATTGCTAAGAATTGTCTAAGGGGGTGCCCGTCGTTAGTGATCAGGGGAAGGCAAGGTGCCTGTGGCGTCGGTTCCGCAATAACTCTGATGCCAGATCTGTTGCCTGTAGAGTTGCCGACGAAATGAGAATGGCTGGGCGTGCCTTTCAAACACCCGGCCTCCAGCACGCGCTCCATGCCTTCCACCATGCTTCGACTATGTTTGAATGCTCGAGGTGCGCGAGATACCAAGTGTCGTCGAAGGTAGGAAGCTTGCGCTGGAGGGGAGACAACTGGAGCGCCTCCCTGCTGTCCTCACCTCTTCGGTGACTTTGGGTGCTCTAAACAAATTCTCGCTCCTCTACTGGGACGTCCCGGAGGCTTTGTGTCGATTCGCACTTGCGGTCACCTGAGGTGGATTGACTGGGTGTTTGGACTGGCGCAGACGTGGAGACGGAGGACGGGGAGAGCCAGCCCCTTCCGGGGGGCCTGCCCAACCACAAGGAGGAAGGAGGGGACTTCCCAAGGGGCGGCCCCGACGAGGGTTGCGAGGGCAACGACAAGTCGCGGCCACGCTCCTCTTCGGAAGAGAGAAACTCGGTGTCGGAGATGTCCAGGGACCAGCCTTCCCTCATGCAGAACCTGTACTCGGTGAGGCATCCCGTTCGGCACCCTGTTCTGCTGGCCGATCAAGGCTCCCGGGGTGTGCTCGGTGCCGTCTGGTTTTCCAATTGGGTGACGGCCGGCGTGTAACTTTGCGATCCAAAACAGTACCATAGTGTAGACTTTTTTTTTTTTAATATAATGACACTGAAATAGAGGTGTAATGATTACTATATGTAAAGGCTTTTTCAAATGAAAAAGCGTCGGTCATGGTAAAATACAGCCACGACGGTCATTCTCCGGTCGTTTTGGTTCCCCTTTTTTTAGCTGATTTGGAAGTTAAACGGGCACTGCAGTGCAAAACCATCTGCAAATCAACCTTTTCTTTCTTCTTTTTTTTTTTTTTTGTTGGCTTTTGAAGTTTTTTGTTACCTTGGTACTCTTTTATTGTCTTGGTACTGACAAAATGCTGTAATTCTGAAAAACATAGTGCTGCCTCGTAGTCTTGTACGTCGCACAAGTGTGACGTGGTTGTTGAATTATTGATTCATTCTCTGGAAGCTTCGTGAATTCTACAATTGTGACAACTCGTGTCTTAACTCTCTTTCTACTACTGAGTGATCTGACGTCTTACGATTTTTGTCTTTGCAGGACGATTCTTATGCCCTGTTCTTTGTGAACGACCACTGGTACCTGTTCTTTCGGTTACACCACCTCCTCTGCGAACGGCTCACCAAGATCTACCGGCAGTCGACAAACTTGGCTGCAGACGAGGCCAAGGATCGCAAAGACCGCAAGGAGTCCACGGCCGTGGCACTCAGGCTCAAGCCTAAAAGTGAGAACCTCTCTGCCTGTACATCTCTCCAGGGGCTGTTGTTCGTACGCAAAAGGCTGCCCAGGGGAGCATGCTGCATCGTGCTCTTGCACAAGCAGACTTACCAGCACCCCCGACCCCTTTTTGTTGTTGAGTCTTTAAGAGTGTTATAATGCTTTGTTCAGGTTGACCCACGTGTGAACATGAGAGCATGCTAACACAAGGGGAGAGGAAAAATTGACTGCATGTTTGGTAATTCTGCCAAACTTATTTAAGTGCAGTACTCTTATAGGGTGGGTGGTGCCTAGGGCAGGATTTTGTATAGAAACAGATTATGTTGCACTATTCTCACTTTGTGACGCTGTGCACGCTTCCGTTCAGCACCCCTCGGGATATGAAGTATTCACGCTAAATTCTTTGGGTCACTAAAAGGGGGGGAGCACGCTTTCCTGCCCTTTGCACTCCTCGTTCTGCGCGAGCAGTTTCTGCTCCTCTTTCTTGTTTCTTCCACCCCTCTCCACTCTATGCGCTTTCTCACACCACCTGCTTCTGATTGGTTGTGTTCCAAATTTTACCCAAATGGATCCAAGTTACTTCGGCGGGTCGTGTTGCATGACAACACAGATAAAGTGCCGAATGCGGGTAAGTTCTGGAACGCCAAGGTACGAAACCCTTGCCCTGGAGTAAGGTTGATTAAATTGAGAATTGATTAAATTGGAATGAGAGAAGGGCCGTTGAGCACGGCCCTTCTCTCATTCCTGCGTGCTGGGTGCGTAACTCAGTCAGCAGCATACTCAGCTTCTACGCCGCTGATCGCGGTTCAATCCCGGCAACAAATGCCTTTTTTAAGGTTGTATAGCGGTTACGGACTAACCGACCTAAAACTTTTGTGCCTATGCAGCTCCTGGGGTTGGTTGGCCCTATAAAGCTATCGCCTTAATAGGACCTAGTTTGATTTTTTTTAATTATAGGGTCTATATTCCGTTTCACAATAACTTGGTGAACTGTGGAGGCTGACCCCTCTACCCAATGAGAGCATCGGTTTGAGGCGCGTGACCAGACGTCACGGGAGCCTTTGTGTCACCACGACAAATGCGAGGTGCGAGGCCTGGACGAACCGGCTGTCGTCTGCTAGCCAAAAGTCATCTGCTCCGAAACCAACCAACTTCGGATGAACGTCCACCGCAGCAACATTTCCGTCTGCTAGAATAGCGAGCACTTTGGGAACAGTTCATGAGACAACCATACGCTCAATTGAGCCCCCAAATGGTGACGGCTGCTAATGCCAGGGCACAGTGCAATGTTTTGAGTGGAAACTGCCGATTACACAGCCGCGGTCACTGGCGATCGCCAACGGCCACGGCGCAACAAGAAGAAAGAAAAAAATTGACAGCGGATACGGATGCGCCGTTACTTTCTACAGCGGAGCTGGTAAGGGCTAGTTTCCCCAGTTTCGTGTCTGTGGACAAACGAATCTCGACACAAAACTCGGGACAGGTACCGCCATCTATAAGCGATGGTTTCAACAAGACAACCTTCTTGCCGGTTGTCTGGTTGCCACCGTCGCCCATACATGGTGGCAACCTTTCCAGCCTTCCCATTCTGGTTTAACCAGTGTGGAAAGGCTCAATTTCTCTAGGCATCATCCTGGAAGTCGTCCTCGAGGTTGTTCTTGAGGTCATTGTAGAAGTCGTCCTTGAGGTCATCCCACCATAGTACAGCTCCGCTGGTCTTCCTTCTTCACTAGAGTGGAAAGGCTGAAAGTTTTTTCGTTTAAATATAATTGAAACTCATAAATTTGGGATTGTTTATTTTTTATTGTTTATATCTTCTCGTTGCAGATAGAATTGCACAAGTTCAATCGCTGATAAAAGAAAAAGAAGCCTAGGACTATTTTTGTTGAAGCAGCGCTGTTGCTGTAGCGGTAACGAGGCCCCCGTAGCCTCAACCACGGAGTGTTACAACGTGTCTTGCCCCGGCGCTCTTATTGGATTGCGGGGCCACAGCCTCCACAGTTCATCAAGTTATTGTGAAACAGAGTATAGTAAGCCTCAGGAAGTCTGCTTGAGCCAGCATTCTGCGTCGTAAAAGATTTTAGGTTTCAGCAACATGGGAACCCTTCACGGACCGTTGCTCGTTCGTGTCGGTAGTGGTTGCACTGTTGCAGGACCACGGGGAAGGAGTCGGCACAGATCGCAGCAGTTGGCTTGACTTACAGGAGAGCGCGACCAAAGGCGTAGTGCCGCGCGGAATCGGATGGAATGTGTTAGTGGTACGGCAGAAGCTGCATATTTGTGACTAGGCATGGAGGCATTCCACAGTCGGATCGTACGTGCAAAGAAGAGATCAGTCCCTTGTACATTCACAACTCGTTTGCTATGCGTCGCAGAGCATACCATTTCGATGGTGAGTGCCACTCATTTTGAGCACCGTGGCACCTTTCTTGCACTTCATGGAACATCTTAAGGGGGAACATTACCTGAGCATGTCTGCTTTTGAACCGCTCACTTAATAGGCGTGAAATTCGCAGGTGTGTGTTTGTAGCCACATAGAAGGAGGGCATGCAATGTTTCAGTCCTGTGAACCAATCTCATGAGGTTCTATACCCCCTAAACGAAGTAAAGCGTATAGCTTTGCATGGAATCTGCTCAATGAATCTATCGTAGAGAAACGGTGTTGATCACCCCATATTTTCTGGTGGAATGCATACTGGAATACTTGTTGCCAGTTGCTATGAAAAGAAATTTCAGAAAATATGCATTTTTCAGGCAAACAATTTTTTTTGCACTTATCAAGTTTTGCAAATTACAATTATTCATAATTAGGGAACATGAAAATGCAAAATCTAAGTTTATAGTAACCGGCTAGATAAAATTTGGCATATAATTTGCAAATATTAAATCTTTCGGTAGTTTCATACTGAAACGATAGTTTTATGAGATTTGCTGCCAAAAAGTGAAGCTGAGATAAATGCACATGAAGTTTAAAGATGACATTTTAAACATTTCTTCCTGCATCTTAAATGTCAGAAATTCTTTCCAGCAGTGTAGGTGATATGTCTTCCTCAAACTTCTGATATACTGACATTGCTTTCAGCTATTTTCATTTGTGGATGACAAGTGCTGCGCAGTGCAGCACACCTCACCAACATATAAAGAGTAATTATTTTTGACATTGTTTGTCAGCGCACATTGACAAGACTTCGTGAGAGTGTTCCTTGTTATCCACACAGTCGCCGACCGATTATTCGGACTTCGCTGGGACCGAAAAAACGTCAGAATAATAGAGCAGTCCGAAAAATCAGCAGATTGAAAAACTTGCCTTTATTACTTTCGAGTGGGCTTAAAGCTTGAGAATCGCTGCCTTCTTTTCTAGCGTTATGGTCGGGTAGCAGAAAAACAAATGGGGCCATGACGTCCAAGCCAGCGTTGTCCGAACGAGATCAGAGGTGCAAATCCACGAGCGCAAAATGGCGACTGGCGATGCGAACGAACGAAAAACAAAGCAAAATGATAATAATAATGATGATGATGATGACGTGCAGCTAAATGGGAAAAAAAGGGCTAGCATAGCGTCACTTAGCGGTAGGACTCAGGAGTGCTCAAGTAGCGCTGCCAAACCAAGCCAATCCATGAGCAGCCAACATAGAATTCAAAATGGCCGCTTCTCTATGGTGTTTTCCACTGATCGCTCGCGACGATTTTGTCCGAATAATCGAACTTTCGGACTTCAAGCTGTCCAAAACATTGGTCGTGAATATACACTATTTCTATGGGGTAAGTCACGGTTCCTCCTTTAGGTTCGAAATATAGAACAAGTCCGAATTATCGGAGTCCGAAAAAACGGTTGGCGACTGTACATGCCAAAACGCTGCAGTTCTGAATATGTATTTTTTGGAAAAAAAGGTGCAATTCATGGTAGTGTCCCCCCTTAAAGGACACATGCAAAGGAAAAAAACCTTTTTTTTTAGACAGCTTAGATGGAAAAAGGATGTCATAAAACAATTTTACAACGAAGGAAAAAAATTTTTAGAGCTATATTTACGGCGCTATACGAATTTGTAGTTGGCGCTCGCAGGAGCCGCCGCTGGTCACGTGGTAGGCCTGCGCGCCGCCGCACGCTGAGCGTTGTGCGAACGCCGCTTCAACGCGTTTCTCCACGCCGCCGTCGCCGCCGCCGCACAAGTTCATCTGCTTCGGGGCGCCGCCGCCGTCGTCTGACCGGCGCACAGGTCTATCACGTCTGCTTGCGCTTTTTCAGGAGTTTCCTTTGGGCTCTAAAAGTTACTTATTCACCTTAGTTTTTTGTTATACTTCAAACAAAGATGAATAAGTTACTTTTAGAGGCCATAGGAAGCTTCCGAAAGAACGCAAGCACCACGTGATAAATACGGACCACTTTTCCGCGGTGCCCACGGGCGCCAACTACAAATTCGTTTTGCGCCGTAAATATAGCTCTAAAAATTTTTTTTCTCCGTTGTAAAATCGTTTTATGGCGTCCTTTTTCCATCTAAGCCGTTTAAAAAAATGTTTTTTTCCTTTGCATGTGTCCTTTAAGGCGGGACAAGAGACTAGATAATCCGGTTAAAGACTCATTCTTGCAACGGTACCCGGCTAGCCGACCCCCATTGTCGGAGGGTCTGCGGCGCAGCCGGTCTCGCACGCTTGCGATCTTTCTGACGAGGTGCGCTTGTTCAGCCGAAATCGAGGTGGAGGACTACTACCTGGTGTTCTTGGACATGGTGAAGAGCCTCCTGGACGGCAACATGGACAGCACCCAGTACGAGGACACCCTGCGCGAGATGTTCGGCATCCACGCCTACACAGTCTTCACCCTCGACAAGGTGGTGCAGAATGCCGTGAGACAGGTGAGCACCAGCGGTGGTGTTAACTAGAGTCGCTTCGGAGCAACGTTACTGGGTGAACTCGTTTACGGAACTGCCCTTAGATGCTGCTTCCACCAGCAGTACCCCCAACCTTTTTGGTGTATTGCCGCCCTGGTAACTATGACATAATCCATGGAATACGCAAGTTTTAAAGCCCATGTCTAGATGGTGCTACTATACGGCCTCCAAAAAGCAGGTTTGGGACGGAGCGTCCGGATGGCACTTCATTTGACGGTTCGTAATTTGCAAGCATCGAGCCCCACACTTTTTCATTGTGGAAGATGTGCCTCGTGTATATGCATCTGTCCAATAGTCGAGCCTCGCTAAATGTGACCAGAGTGGCCAGATTAGCTTGTGAGGCATTGGCTTCTTGCGAGCGTCCATACATTGCGGGCACTACCCGAAAGGCTCGGAATGCAGTTGGACCTCTCTAAGGGGTCCCCGTCGCACTACTGCTTGTACGGCACTCCCTTTTTTGACAGCTGTGAGTTCAGGCTAGCAGCTTGTGTAGGTTGTGGGGAATCCACTGGCATTTCTGGCCAGATGGCTGAGCCGGGCAATTTCCCGTGTGCAGCTGCAGCACATCATGTGCGACGAAGTGTGCCTGCGCTGCACTGAGCTGTTCCTGGAGGAGCACAAGGTGGGGGCGGCAGGGGGCCCCTGCTCCTCGGCCTCCCACAGGGCCCACCTGGAGGGCAGCTACCAAAAGAAGGCAGAGCAGGCGCTGGTCAACGACACCTGCTTCAAGCTGGTCCTGGTCAGTGCCTTTGAGTCGACTCTGATGGAAAAGCGCTCTCGGTGGGCAGAACACAGGCGCTTCTGCCTGGCTACGAGCAGGGGCGTTCTTGTTGGCCCATTGAGCAAACGAGGGCAGTTCTGACCCCTTGGTTGCTCGGTGTTGTTAACCAAACGAACAGTGGGGCTGTTGAACCAAAGGAAGGTGGGAAGGATTCTGCAGAGCACCTGCTTTGTGAGTTCTTATGACCCTTTTCCACCAAGCACTCGGTTGTAACGTACAGTATAGACCACTTACAACGTAACCGCTTATAGTGCAGGACCGGGTATAACGCGGCTTTTTTAAACCACCGGTTCGCCTCCCATAGAACTCCATGTAATTACATACCGCTTAAAATGCAGGCGCGCGAAGGGAAATACCGGTTATAGTGCGGTTTTCGGAACAGCCCGGCGACCGTGCCGACTGACCGACGCAGAGAGCACGCTTCCCTGTGCAACACTAGATAACGGCGCGAGCCGCGGCACTCGCGGGGCAAGGAGGTTGCTCGAAGAAGTGGGGAGAAACAAAGAGAGAGGCTTCAGTTGGGGCCATGGCCATAGCGACGGAGGGACGCACGCACGTGTCGTTCACGTGCGTGCGTCCCTCCGCAACCGCAATGACAAGCCAATCGCAGGTCGACGGGAAGTGTCCGCGCAAGTTGCATGCCGGTAGCGGGCCGGCTACTTCTATCCGCAAACATGGCGTCGGTTGTGATCGTCGACGTAGACGGCGTGGTTCGTTCCGCGTAAAAGCGCTATCCTTGACTGAATTTTCGCTGTGTGTCCCTATGATAACCCAGCACATACTAGAAGGGAAGATCCACCTACTCGTGCGGCGATGTCGTGGCGGCACTCTCAAGACGGCAGAAACGCCCGTGTCGTCGTGCTTGTTTACTTCGACTACAGTGGTGATTTCTAAGCATTTGTGTTTTCGAACATCGCCCGGATTTCTTATTTGGAGCATTTCATGCCTGTGCTAAAGTTGAAGGTATTACTGGCGCGTACCGTATAAAGGATGCGAATTTTCACGCGTTTTCATCGCCGTAGAAAAGTGGTTAGGGTTAGCAATCCTGAACGCTAGCAACGTCCGTCCGCAACCCGTGACGCCGTTAAAAGGCTGCGCCAGGCAAAAGTCGCTCATTTCTTTCAAAATGTTTGACACACTTGAGAGAGAAGTGTACTAGTCTGGTGAAATAAAGAATTTACTAAACCTAAGCTTTATTTTTTATCTAATATAAAATAAATTTGTTTTACAAAGGTAAGTTGTCTCATGGCATGTATTTTGGCCTGAAAAATTGATGTTTTGGTTATAACGCGGTACCGCTTATACAGTTGAACCTCGATGTAACGAAGTCGGTAAAATTCGCAATTTACTTCGTTACATTGAAATTTCGTTAAATCGAAATTTGGCTTTAGCATGCGAAAAAAAAAAAAAAATTCCGAAACATTTTACGGGTATGAAAACTCACCGAAAATGACATTTATTTAGGGGCAAAGTAGTCCGCGAGTTTTGCTTGCGCCTTGTCCGACAGTAGCAGCGGCGTCGGCGGCGTCATACGGCGTTCGAGCGCCCAGAGCGTTTGCACGGCATCTTGCTGCCCATGCGACGCCGTGTACCTCCTCAGTACGTCCATTGCGCCGAGCACTTCCCGAGTGCTCGTGATCTCGGCAGTTTCTTCAGGATGGCGTCCAAAACGTTTGCTTTCTCATCCAAAGAAAGAACTTTACGTTTCCTTATGGCAGCAAGCACGTAAGTGAACCGCCCGGTTAAAAAATAAAGCAGTTTAGTTTAGGCGGTGCCAATGTTTCCAACCTACACAGCACTCTTGACCGCACAGTTTACTTGCCCCCTTGCGCCCACAGTGTGCTTGCGCCTTTGCTTTACATCACGCTCGCAAGACGATAATCGGTCTTTTCGGTCTTCTCCTAGACGGCACTGCCCGTGCGGTCGCGCCATCACGTCGCTCCCCTGCTGAAGTTGGCTCCCGCGCTACCCGCGGTACAGTGGACTATGATGATCAGTGAATGTCAGTGGTGATGCTGTTATGCCGTGTTAACTTTCTGCTCGGCATTTTCTGGCCAGCCTCGCGGAATCCGCTTTGCCGCATGCCTCGCCGGCGCTTTGCATTTTCTGGCCAGCATTTTCTGGCCAGCCTCGCGGAATCCGCTTTGCCGCATGCCTCGCCGGCGCAACCGGCGCCGCATCCTCGGGCAGCCTAGGAACGTTGGAAGGCCTGTCCCCGTGAAGTAACCTATCAAGCGCTCGCGTTTGCGCATAACTTTTTTTTTTTTAACCACAATTTTTTTGCGAAGTTGTTTTTTAGAGTTGATTTATTTATTGCCTTCTATGGCAATGGCGCTTCGTTATATTGAAATAGCAGCAAAATAGACTTCGTTATATAGGGACTAAAAATACATGGGGTCTATGGGCAAGGAATTATGAAAAATAAAATACTTCGTTAAATCGAGGATTTCGTTACATTGAAGTTCGTTATATCGAGGTTCGACTGTAGTGCGGATTTTCGCGACTCCCGCGACATACGTTATATGCGGTCTACACTGTAATGTGTGGCTTATCCTGTGGTTGGCGATTGTTCGTAAAGCACAGAATCCTCCCGTCTTCCACTTGAAGTGTGTGGCAGCGCTACCAACTAGTTGGCCCCAAGATGAGCCCTTCGTTGATGGTGTTTTGGCTCAGGTTCATACGCTTAGTGTGATTGATGGCATCACCACTTCGACGCATTCAACCACTCTGGGAACCCCAGTGTGTTAGTCTGGGTCATTTACCCAGACATGGTTAGCTGGCATCTTTTTCTTGTCTTCGGATGGTGCCTCCCTGCCCGTCTGTGACACGTCTTTTCAATATGCAGTATCAGCGAGAGGCGAAACTGACGATCGAGCTGATTGACACGGAGAGCGACGTCTCTGAAGATCCCGTGGAGATAGAAAAGTGGTCGGAGTACGTGGAGAAATATGTGGTGGGGGACGACTCGATCTCGGACGAGCTTCGTGACCAGCTGGCCAAGAAGCCAGTCTTTCTGCCAAGGTGAGTACCGAGGACGTTTGGTCCTCCTGACCTTGCCAGTTTCGTGTCCTTGTAAGCTGGTCCGTGGGACTTTTGGTTGTTTGCTGTCTTTGCTCGGTTCAGAGCCACCTCGGTGGCTCCGAGGCGAGAGCGCCGGCCTACGGATCCCCAGGTGGCGAGTTCGAATCCCGACCGAGGTGCCCGCAATATGATGGAGGCTTATTGTAGAGAAGGCGCCGTGGTAACCGAGCTTTCGGTTGCACGTCAATCCTCAGTCCTCCGCTGGGGCGTGCCAGATGCCCGTCGTAGGTTTGGCACGTAAAACCCACAAATTTGACTTTTTTTTTGCTCGGTTCAGAGTCATGCTCAGACTCCGTGGTAGGTTGTGGGGTGGGCATGGCAGATTTGATACTGCCGTGCATGCAGAAGTGGGAGTGCTCCACCAATTGCGGCAATGTGTGCCAATCCACTTTCGCTGTGCTATCCTGCTCCCAAAAAATGCAAATGTCAAACCAAATCTAACAAAAAATAAAAAAAATAAAATATATATATATATATATATATATATATATATATATATATATATATATATATATATATATATATAATATTAACACAGACATACATACATACATACATACATACATACATACAGGGTGTTTCAGAGAACTCAGGCCAAATCGCTCCTGCGAAAGCTACTCATCGCAACGAAAAAAGGCTCGTGTCGTTTTGGTCCTGGGCCAGGGGCCCATTTAGGAAAAGTCCGGGATAATTAAGTTGTTAATTATTTTTGCGTAATTAACTTTTTTAATATTGTGTATAAGGGCATGGTTTCAATTACAAAATTGCTCAGCATCATCAAAAGACACTAAAACAACAAATTGCAGAACAATAGAAGGCACGCGACACATTTTTGCGGCTTTCTGAAAAACTGCACAAATTCGACAGCGCAGCAGAGGTGGGTTGCACTATCTCTCCATGGGGCGCGGTGCCGCCGGGGCCGAGATGCGCTCCGATAGCAAACCGAAACTTCAAAACCCGTCGAATTTGTGCGGTTTTTCAGAAAGCCGTGAAATGCTTCGCGTGCCTTCTATCGTTCTGCAATTTGTTGATTTAGTGTTTTGCGATGATACTGAGCAATTTTCCAATTGAAACCAAGCACTTAAACACAATATGTATTAAAAAATATGACTGCCACTCGTTGCCTGAATCCAAATAAAACCGCCCATATATATGTGCGTTTTTTTTTTATTATTATTATTATTATTATTATTATTATTAAGGTTATTAAAGCAGATGACATTAGTTTGATAAAAAAAAAATCACCAAGTGTCTAGTATCTTCATCTAACAAGAATTATCATGATTTATTCCGGATCGGGCAAATAGACAGTTTTGTTTCGTTTCGTGGTCTCATGTTAATGAGCTGCCAAGTGCCAGTGGCACGACGGAGAACCGCGCGAGTTAGCTGTTTAAGCCGTCCGTTTTGAATGCAAGGAAAGGTGAAGGCTTTTATTGTTCAACGAATAATCAGCACACAATAAAAGTTGTGCATTGATTTCCAGTTCCCGTACCAGCACCTTCAAAGCACCTGTTTTGGCGCGTTGCTTTGTACCGTCAGTGCCACAGCTCGGTCCGCGATGGTGTGTAGTGTCCATCTCCGAAAATGGGACATGCATACGCGGCTCTTGCAGAAGTACTAAAACATTAATTCGTCGTTTACTTTTTTTTTTTTTTTTGAGGGGGGGCAGTGGGCTGAGCATGGCCGCGTGTATTTTAAATACTGTAGTCTCGTATGCACTCCCGTCTCCAAGAAATCGCCTGAAACATTGATTCCCCCCCTCCCCTTTGATTCCCACTAGATATTGATCACGCGATCTCCAACAGGAATCGCATCAGCTGTGCAATCTGCAGTATTGGTACGTGTAAGAAGCGTGCTCGCTGCGGGTTCCCTCGTGCTTATTGCCCTATGGCACTCAAATTTGTGGTATCCAGCTCCCATGACATACAAATTCCGAACTCATTTATGTTTTGTTCTTCCGCGAATTGCGCGCGCGATATCGATTCCCGGGACGTCAGAGTTGTAGCAGGTTCTTGCATGTATACCGCACTGTGAAGCGCAAATGCACTGTGTCCGTGTTCTGCTGTACCTATAACAGCGGAGTTCATAGCGCTTATGCTAGGAAAAGGAAAATCCAATTTTTGGTAGCTCAGATTAGGGGTGCAAGGATTACTTGAGTAAATATGGTATGTGGCAAACAGATGCACTGGCATAATAACAGCAAACTGACGGGAGGACAAGGGGAACGGTGGGAATGCCCTGCTGAGCGACGTAAACTCTAAACCGTTCTGCCAGAACGCATCCATGCAATTGACTCATGAAGAAAACGTTTTGTTTTATGGTCTTATTTGCTTTTCTTTTTTTTTCAGTTACTTTTTTTATTGCTTGTAAACAAGATTTCTTTTATTCTATTCAGTTGTGCGTGTTCTAGTAACTGCAACTCTGCTCAATTCCAGAGGTTTTGCATTAAAAAGTCCTAGTAAAAGGCACTACGTCATTCGCTTTGCCAAATGTGGAATATATATTTTTAAATCTAATTTTTAACACTAGCGGAAATCGAAACTAAAACTTTGGCTCCGTCTGGCAACATTGACCTCGGGCCACCAAGAACATAGCTGCCACATGGTACAAGATGTCACATGATCCTCTACGCAACGACTGGCAAGATTGAGGAGGGCGTGTGCCAGGCACGAGTGTCGTCTGCACCACACTCTTTACCACGTTTTGGTGTCTACTACATTTGGCGACTTCTGCACAACTGCGGCACAAGTCTGTGCACGTAGTGTCCGTAGTGTAGACGAAACTCCGAGAGACTATAATCACAAACGGTGAGACAACGGCGGTTGTGACATGGGAGACGGTGGTAATGGCTGGACGTCTCCCAAGAAGCGCAGGTGCATGTGGACACCGCTGAGCACTGAGAGGAAAACGTTGCTGACGTCACTTGTTACGCTTGTCTGGGGAAGTAAAAACAAGCAAAAGGGGACAATGATGCTGACGTTAAGCTCAATGTTGGCTACGCCCACACCGTAGCATTGACTGCACTGTTGGTTGCACCTCAATTTTCCCGCTCAAGTCAGCTGATTTTGGCAACTTAGCAAGTTACAAAGTTTGCCGGTTTACAAAGTTTGCCGGGCCGTTTTTTTAGAAACGTTTAGCCAGAACTAGGTTGTAATATTTGACGTGTGGTCTTCCTAGGAGATACAGGAGAGAATTGCATTGTTTTTTTTTCAAAAACAAAAATGACGCAGAGTTTCCCTTTAAAGGACACATGCAAAGAAAAATACATTTTTTTTTAAACAGCTTAGATGGAAAAAGGATATCATAAAACAATTTTACTACCAAGAAAAAAAAATTTTAGAACTATATTTACGGCGCTATACGAATTTGCAGTTGGCGCCAGCGGGCGCCGCGGAAAAGTGGCCCTTGACGGGCCCCATATTTGTCACGTGGTGCTTGCACTCTTTCGGAAGCTTCCTTTGGCCTCTAAAAGTAACTTATTCATCTTTGTTTGAAGTGTAACAAAAAAACTAAGATGAATAAGTAACCTTTAGAGCCCAAAGGAAACTCCTGAAAAAGCGCTAACAGACGTGATAGACCTGTGCGCCGGTAGACGACGGCGGCGGCGCCCCGAAGCAGACGAACTTGTCCGGCGACGGCGGCGTAAAGAAACGTGTTGAAGCGGCGTTCGCACAACGCTCAGCGTGCGGCGGCGCGCGGGCCTACCACGTGACCAGCGGCGGCTCCCGCGAGCGCCAACTACAAATTCGTTTAGCGCCGTAAATATAGCTCTAAAAATTTTTTTTCTTCGTTGTAAAATCGTTTTATGACATCTTTTTTCCATTTAAGCTGCCTGAAAAAAATGTTTTTTTCCTTTGCATGTGTCCTTTAAAGGGGCACTGACACATCAAAATCATATTTTTTTTTATTATCCGAAACGATTGAAAACGATGCCGGGACATTACCCTCAAAATTTGAAATTTGGGAATTCAGTATTCGTGAAGTAAAAAAACAATTTCCAAATACCGAATTCGAAGTTCCCGCGCGATCGGCGCCGGTGCCTTGACGTCAAAAATTGCGGAGACCTGAGAGTCCCCTTTCTTTCACCACTCCCTGCTGTTGCCATGGCGACGCAAAGCGAGGGGGAAAGGAGCGAGCGGCGGCGTTCCGGCGGACCGGTTTTGAGCGGTGTCGCCTGTTTTCCGTTGGAGGATACAAATCCAGGAGACGGCACCACAACGAACTCCCGATTTTTGGTATTTCAAAAAGAAGGGCCGTAGTGCGTTCGCAATTGCGTTAAAAAACATGTTTTAGGATTGCCGTTATTAAATGTTATAGAGATGTCGCCTACAAAGCTTCTAAATTTCATGATTCTTGACGTCACCGATCAAAAGAAGCGAGGAGGCGAGAGGCGGGAAAAGCAAACGCCAAAAATAAAAAGGCGCGCGCGCGCGTAAAAAAATTTTTTTTCGCGATGCGGTTTTTTTTGCGTGTTTATGACTGCAACTTGCATCGTTTTAGACAATAAAAATAAATACGACCTTTGGGGTGTCAGTGCCCCTTTAAGTATGTATGTATAAGCAGGGATGATATGAAGTTTTTAATATTCTGCAGTTTTACTTTTATGAGGTAGAGTATTGGAATACATTTATTTTTGCTAGTCTGGGACTTGGAACATTTGTATTTCCTAATAATGAAAACTGTAGTCAGTAAGTACTGAGATTTATTTCGTACCATACTATTGCATCTTGAAATGGTTTTGATTTCAACTTATCTAACGTGTAATTTGGGTTGTTAAATAAGCACTATGCCTTCTATTGCAAATCTATAAGAGGAACCAACCCACTACCAGAACAGTTCTCACTAGCTGCCTTTCGGATAAATTGCAATTACGCTGTTTGCTTTTTAATAACTATGGACTGGATTATATATAAGGAGGGTATGTTTAGAAATGGTTCTGGAACATTGCATGTAGATGGTTTCTAGTGATATTTTTGTATTTAGAAAAACACCTGTGGCACTTCTATCCCCAAGTTTGACCTGGGTGACCAGCTGCGAGATCTACTTATTCCGCTACGAAACTCTACTTTTATGGCTGTTGAGCTGCTCCAAAGGGGCATCTTTGATGCTCTTAGACCTGCTACGAAAGGCTGAAACTTGCTTCTACCCCTGTGCATGAACTAGTGTCATTGTTATTTTGATGCAAGCCACGAAGCTCTTTTCAATACATGTTTCAAGGGTGGTATGTAGTTTTTTTCTTGCTTTTTACAACAAAATCGAGAAGGAAAAGACGGAAAAATTTTAGGGGTCTGTGTCCCGCTTCAGGGACCCTAAGTACGAGAAACAGTGTTCTGGTGACTCATCCTCACTAATGCTTGCCCATACGCAGAAATGTGCGTGCTCGACGGCAGCAGGCGAGAAAGCAGGAGCGGGAGGCCCAGATGCCCGCTGCCTCGGCCGTGGGAGAGTCGCACCACAGCAACAATGGCACAAACAACAAGAGCCCCTGCACCAATGACGAGAGCACCAACGACGAGGCACCCTTTACCCCGGCCGCCGTCGCATCTCCCCTGGGCGCAACCGTCCCAGCCAAGACGGACGTGGCAGACGACACCCAGTGCCGCTTCAACTTGAGCTCTTACAAGATGGTGTTTGTGGTGAACAGCTCGAGCTACATCTACAACCACAGGGCTCTGCGCCGGGCACGGCAGGTGGGTGGCTCTCGGGTGCGACGGCGCGGGCGGCCTGAGGTTCCTCAGCTGGGGCTGGCGGGCTTGCCCGGGGGCCAGCAATAAGGCTGCAGGCGATTGTACATATCTTCATTGCGACCTTGTAACAGGAAGGTGCACCTCGCACCCTTCCAAATGGAGACGTTGGTTTAATTGGGCAGAAAAATAAAATGCTGAATGGGGTTGAGTGGCTGGCCTTTTTTGGGTTTTGTTTGTGCTTTACTGGTGTTGCCCTAGCACGAGCTCTGCATGGCGCTTTGCTTTGCTTTACTTTGCTTTGCTTCTACGGGAACTGTACCAGAGTAAGCAGTAACCAATTTTGAGAGCTCTGCCAGGCCTCTCGAGGAAGCAATGGCCATTTCGAATCACGAGAATTGCTTAAAATATGGGAGTTATGGAAGTTCTCTTTAGGGATGAAAACTTGTCTGTCCAGAAAAGGATAAAACAGGTTGGCCGTTTTGCCTCCCAATACTTCCAGCGACTTCGAGCCCAATGAGAGTACCTCTTTTTGGTTGAACAGTTTCTCTCTCAAGAGTTAAACCGCTGATGGCACTTGGGAGTGACAAAGGCTGCTCCATTTGTGGACCAAACCTAGTGGAGAAACTTTGTGGAGGCAATTGCTTTTGTGCGCGGATGGCAAATGTTCCACCTCTGAGAGTTTTTCTCCCGGGGTGCAGTCTCACCGGAAGGTGTCGGAACGGATGCATCGCAACTTCGGCACGTGGCACCGGAGTTGGCTGGACAAGAATGTGAGCAACGAGCAAGACAGCCAGTGCGAGGACTGGCTGCAAGGCCTGGACTATGAGTGCATCACCCACTGCATCAAGGTGCAGGACTGCACACGGCCCCCCTACTGCCATTTCCGGCGCTTCCGGACTGCCCCAGCGCCTCCCTCTCCCTCCAACGACGACCAGTCTTGAGGAGAGTGCCCCCGCCGGTTGTACAGTGTGGTCGCCGTGCCCCGGGCTCGGGTGGTGTACAGTGACTGGGGTCGAGGCCGGGGTGCCCCCAACACAAGCGGAAGACGGCAGCGCCTTTTGTAGAAGACGTCCTGGCGGAGGATTTCCTTTTCCATTGTTCTCTTTCCCATCTTAACCGGTGGGGCATGCAAAGTTCATCACTCCAACGGCTCGTGGCGTCCTCGCTGCGCCGGTTGGAAGCTTGTACATTTCTCATTGGAACTCTAAAGCAACTCAAATGTTTCAAGTTTTCTTTTTTTTTTTTTTTCAGTGTTGAAAATAAATGAGCCATAGCAGCCGACGGTTTATTATGGAGTTGTACAAAGGAAGTATTTATATTGTCACTTCAGTTTTAAATGAGGTATATACATAAACAATTTCAACAAGCAAGTTGTGCATTTGTGTTTGATTTGGTCCTGTACAGTCTGTCTGCCCAGTGGTCGTGCAGCGGGTCATGTCCAACGCTTCACAGGCTTGTGGGACTTAGCTCGAGCTGGTCATGCATATTTAGTGTAGCTAGACTAATGCTTAGGAGTGGCTTGGGCAGGTAATTTCTGCACCAAGGAAGTGGTGTGTCCATGTGTTCTAGGAAACTTCTAGAATATAACAAGCACCCTTGGCGGTCGTTGCAACATTTGTGGATTGGAAATTTCAGTATGTGAGTATCTGCCAGAGAAAATGCCGTTGGATTCCTCCTTCCTAACATTTAGTGTGCAGTGTTGGTTTGTTGCTGTCGAAAGGAATTGAAAATTTAATCTAATTTTGCTAATTGTGGGTGCTAATTTTGCATTGCATTGCACTCTGCCCTGAATTTATACTGCACCATATTAAGCATATTCGTCTTTCTCAAGAAGGAGAAAAAGAATGCCTTGCAAGCAATATCTTTTACAGGAGACGTGAGGGGTCAAAGAAAAGGCACCAGAAAGGAGTGTATCAAACTTGGCTTCTGGTTGTGTGTGTGTTTTTTGTTACACATTTCACCTCACTTATGTTTAAAATGGTTACAGTATCTATTGTGCCGAATTGCCTAAGCTTCAACTCTGCCCCCCCCCCCCCCCCCCTTTTTTTTTTTTTTTTTAAATTCATAGGTATGGTACGCATTGCCGAACGCTCGTTCTCCGCCCAAATGTTGCGGTAGCGGTAGGAACCGGATGCCAGTTTAAGAACTAACCGTTGTCAATCAAAATTAAGTGATTTTCTTGTAATTTTCTTGGGAAATTAAGTCGGTTATCGGCAACTGGCGCTGTCTGCCGCCATCTTCCCATTGAAAATTTCAGAAAATTGCTCTTGAATAAGGTAACTCATTTGTGAAACTTTGGCATCTGCCTCGGACTGCTAGCACTACATTTGGTCGGAGATGAGCGTTCGGCGTTGCGTTTTTTGGAGCACAGGCTGTTCATACTCCAGCGTCGATGAACGCAACGCGCGCCAGCGCAGACCGACGGTCGTCGGCCACTACGCCGCGTCGAGAAGCGCCCAAACGATAATGACCGTAGATCTAGTACACTGTAACGTAGATGATCTTTCGTGCTTGATTGAAGTGGTTCGACGAAGCAGATTCTTGAAACCCGACGTGAATGATAGCCTCATCTTTGAGGACCCGGCGAAAGTTCTACGAAAGCGCAGCACCGGGGGAATGCAGGGCAGCTCATCGAAAACACTCCGTACCGGCGTCTGCTTTCGATGCTCCTTAGATGCGACTTTCGATGCGTGCTGTGCTGCTTTTTCCCGGTGCTGCGGTTTCGTGAAACTTTCACCGGGTCCTCAAAGATAGCGCTACCGTTCATGCTGAGTTTCAAAAATATGTTTCGCCTAACAATTTCAATCAAGCACGAAATATCCCACGCTATTTTGATGGCAGCCTGCCGCCCACCACAACTGACCTTTTTCAGAGTTCGTTGAAGCGACCGTGGCGCACCCTCGCGGAGATAATTCAAAACGTTTGCGGGCTCAGTCCGTCCTCCCGTCAACCCGTCCGCTTCCTCGACGCGATCGTCTTGGGGTGTTCGTTGTGGAAAGTTTTTCTCGCTGTTTTCCGGCTGTCGTTCTCTACAAATGGCTGATGACGATCCCGGAGGATCGAGTAAAGCAACCGTCTTCGACACTGCCGACTTTATCCGTCTGTACGCTTTTCAAGACGGATGGAGTGCCGACGCTGCATCGGTACCGGTCGTCAACACAGCGTGCGTCGATCGGTACTTCGCGAAGGACTGCAGACAACTCCGGAAGGGCCTTCAAAGAAGAAGCTTACGTCAAGAAGGTCATGTTGAACAACTTTGATCCCTACCACACCGTTCACCTTGTAAGGAGCACGTGTGCACCGCAGCGTCTATGAAACCGGGACATTACAGGCAACTGATATCGCTTTCCAAGAGCGCCGATATCGATCAAGCATCTTGCGACTGCGTTGCCAGGGTTAGTTTATTTCTCCGGTAAAACCCGTGGCGATGTAATAATGTGTCTTAAGGATTGCTAGATGTGTCAATATTTGTAAGGCATGAGCCCCATAGTCGCTATCCTTTCGGCGCATTTGTATTGAGATCCGTATGTGCCAGTCCTTTGATCATATTTTATGCGTGACGCGATAAGTTATCTAAAAAAAAAAAAAAACATTTGTCGTCTTCGTCTTTTTCGTGTACCTCAGCATGCAACTAAAAAGGTCCAAGCCATGTCATCGATCTACTTATAGAACCAGATGACGTGTTGATATAAAATACTGTAGTAGGTTATTTTTTTATTCAATATTTTAATGAGTTTCAAGCGTAAATATAAATTTTGCAGGTTGAGCGGAACATGCCAGCACATAGCTGACCTGATCTTACACTATGCGGGAGTGTAAAGGTTTGTTTTTCGTGACAACGGCTTGGCGTGCCGCCTCTTTGCTGCCCTGCTATGCCGTGCAAGCAAACTCGGTGCGGAGACAGGTGTCGGGAATGGCTAGCCTGCACGGAGTATAACGGGTATCTCCTGAGTTCAAACAAATATGATTGAACTAACCTCCAATGAAGTGGACACTGCAAACACGCGAGTTCGCATATGACTGCCAAGGCGTCCCGTCAGAGTTCTGGCGTCGCAGCGCTTGAATTCATTTTTCTTTCTTCTTGAGGTGCGCGGTAACTTTCGGGAATCAAAAGAAGCTCACGTTCGGCGTGTTTTTTTTTTTATGTTTGTACTTCCAACAACCGAGCAGCGGTGAGGCATCGCTACAGTGCGGGACAGACGCGCCTAGCGATGCGAGCGAAGCCAGACGGCGTACGACGAGAGCCCGCAAAGATGGCGCCTTTCCCTTTCCTACTCTCTCCTCAAGTTCGGGCATGCGCACAAAATTCTCTGAAAAAGGTCAACTGCCACAACTTGGCCACTACGCTGTCTGCCATGGATGGATGATAGCATGATAGTGGCTGAAATCGTCGGAAACAAAATGTCGCCATCACCGTGGTCGCCACCTGGTCGCCACCCGTGGTCGCCATAGCACAGTCAGCGGCATAAACGCGCGCAGGAGCACGTTCTTTCACGCGCTGCTGAACAGAACAGAAAAATAAAAGTGCGGGACAAAATGGCCAGATGTCTCCACTCTAAGCAAAGCGCGCGCATAGCACAGTCAGCGGCATAAACGCGTGCAGGGGCACGCTCTTTCACGCGCTGCTGAACAGAACAGAAAAATTAAAGTGTGGGACAAAATGGCCAGATGTCTCCACCCTAAGCAAAGCGCACATGAAGGCACCCTAGAGATCAGTGGTCCCGTACACTGTGATCCCATATTCTCAACGTCTCCTTTTTAATCTTTATAATGCCGGTTTTTGATGTTAGGGTTGTGAGCATATGTTAACCGTAGCCATCTGTTATTCTTCCATCCCCTCTGCCGCCCCCGCTCCGTTCTTTCCTTCCAAATTGCTCCCCGCGACCCGAGTTCTCTAGAGCCAACGAGCCCTCGCCGTTCAAACCACCGCCCATTCTTCTCGCCCTCAGTTCTACCCATCGCCCAAATGTAAACACCAGCCAAGTCGACTCTGCTCGCAAACCCCGGCAGCCGACTTCTTCGCCGCAGCTGTAACCTTACCCCTCACCTCATAAACTAGCCTCGCCCTCGCCCCTGCCCCGAAGCCATCGCCTCTTCGCCTCAAGATTCTCCAAGCCTGCGTTCTTCTCTTCCAGTTGCTTCCGCCTGTCCCACTGACTCAGTCATACCTTCCTTCTCCCGTAATAAACAGTTATCTTAATCTTTAAACTTGTTCTTTCTTCCTGGGGCCTACCACCGGCCCTCACATCTGGCGCAGTCGACCATTCGAACCTCAATTTTCAATATTCATCGCCTTCGCCTCCTGAACAATGGAATACTTCTAGACCTTCGGTAAGCCTACTTTGCCATCTTACCCGCCATCGCCTACGCCCTCGCCATGATCCAGTGGGACCAAGCAACTCCAATCGCCTTTCACGCCTTCACCGCCAATTTCCTTCGCGCCGAACTGGATGCCAGAGGACTGGATTCCTCGGGATCCAAAGATGACCTGGTCGCCCGCCTGTCTTCTTTTCTTCAAGACCAAAAGCAACAAGCGCCTCAGCCCCAAATCCCCGCGCCTCAAGTGTTGCCTTCCGGCACCGAGAATGGCGACACGGCACAGCCTACTGTCACGCCCGTGTCCTCACCCGACGTAATGCAACTCCTGGCATCGTGCCTGCAGCAAAACACCCAGCTGTTGGCCGAGATGCACAGCCGTCCAGTACAGGTTGCGACACTTCCAGATCTGAGCTCCTCCATTTCAACATTTGAGGACTCGAAAACTACCTCCACCAAGCTCTGGCTGGAAGAACTAGAGAAGACGAAACAGCTCGCCGCCTGGACCGATTCGACCCTTCGAGCGATCGCCATCAGTAAGCTTCGAGGTACCGCAAAGAACTGGCACCTCGCAGCCGGCCACGCCCATGCCTCATGGACTGACTGGAAGGCAGCCCTCCTCCAGCAGTTCAGTGACCAACTCACCCTCATCGAGTGGCAACGACGTGTCATGGAGCGCCTCCAAACTCCAACTGAGACGCTTCATCAATACACCTTCGCCAAATTGCGACTTCTCGCCCGATGTCCCGTGCTGCTCACCGACCAACAGCGGATTGAATACATCATCCAGGGCATCGCAGACAGGCAGGTCACCAATGCTATTGCTGCCCAGTGCCCTCCAAGTGTTGACGCCTTCATAGCGATTGTCACACAACTGGACAACGCGTCGCTACATGTTCGCCGGACGCGTGACCCGTTCACACGCGACGGAAATCGCAATTCCGACTCACGACCACCTCCCGCACAAATGCCCGGAACTTCAAAAGGCACTTCATCGCCTCGCGACTTCCAACCGTCGTCGTCCGACCGCTTCCCACGCAGAATTTCACACCTTCCGCCTGCTGAACGCGAAGCGCGTTATGACGCGATTGCCCAGCGATACAACGCTCCCGCCTATCGATCTGGCCAGGACATACGTGACGCAGTGTGTTTTCGCTGCCGGAACAAGGGTCATCTTTCTGCCAAGTGTCCCGAATCCCAACAACCCCGACCGCCGCCGCCGCCGCCGGCTCCATCGCCTCGCTCCGACAGAACTTTCACGTGCAAAACTGGAGACTCTGAACTAAGTGGTTCGAAAATTGCATGTGCCATGGTCACCGCCGACGTCCGTGGTATAGGACATCTTGATGCATTTCCCGATAGCGGATCGAGCATCACCCTCATATCCGCGAAGCATGTCAGCGGCTTACAGCTCCTCCCGTGGACAGCAGCTCCCCTTGTCGTCGTCGGGGGTGGTACGATCACGCCCATCGGATCTGCTTGTCTTCGCATCTCCGTCGACGACATCTCTGGAGTTGTCGAAGCCGCCGTGCTTGAAAACAACCCCCTTCCATTGATTCTCGGAGACGACTGGCTTTGCGCTGCTCGCGCCGAGCTTCACGTCAAGCCACCAAGACTCCCCGAAATTCACCAGCCGCACCGAAAACTCGTCGTGCCATGTGTTGAGAAGACCCTGCCTCGGATGGCGAACGCCGTGCTCCTGCAGGAGACTGCCATTCGAACGTGGCACGCTGCTCCGACAACGCCAACTGGGCTCCAATTGGAACCTATCCTAGAGGACCAAAAGCCTCTCTGGACAACGCTGGAAGTTCCCGCCACCACGCCCCCGCCACTAAGCGCGCCCAGTCAAGCTTCGCACGTCGCGACCCTTTGCGCCACCGCCACCCGCCAGCTCGTCGAGCCTCATGAGCAACCTACGCCTGCCTCTGCCACGCCCTCGTCAGCTCTGCCCTCGTCGTTTGTCCCATTGATTGGGCCCAGCCTCGACGAAACTGACCGAAACAAAATTCAAGCCATCTTGAACAGCCACGTGCCTCTCTTCGCCACAGACGAGCAAGACCTCGGCCTTTACATGGGGACGGAACACAGCATCGACCTGGTTCCTGGAGCCACCCCATACAGCCGCCAGCCATACAGGTACTCCTTTGACGATCGCCGATTTCTAGAACGTCAAACAGAAGACCTTTTGCAGAAGATCCTCCCGTCGTCTGGACCCTGGGCTTTTCCAGTTGTTGTGGTCAGCCAACAGACCAAAAAGCGCCTTTGCGTCAACTATATTCTGTTGAACAAAATGACCGTAAACGTCGCACAACCCCTTCCCCGCGCCGACGACATCATGGAAGACATCGGTGGTTGTAGCCTTTTCGCATCGCTAGACCTGAAGTTTGCCTATTGGCAAATTCTGCTAAGACCTCAGGATCAAGACAAAACCGCCTTTATCACTCATCAGGGCACCTACAAGTGGACACGCATGCCCTTCGGCCTCAAAAATGCGCCCGCCACATTCCAGAAAGCCATGAACACCGTCTTCCAAGAACTCCGACCACGCCACCTCAAATGCGGTGTTCGCGTCTACCTCGACGATGTGCTGCTCTTCGCCACTAACATCACCGAGTTTCTTGACCTTCTTGACGAAGTCTTGACGCTTCTCCAACGCAGCGGTCTCAAGCTGTCGGCAGAAAAATGCCATTTTGGAATGGAATCCATCAAGTTCCTGGGTTTCATTCTCTCCAAGTCTGGAAAACTGCCGAACCCAGAGAAGGTGGACGCTCTTCTGAAAATCCCCACTCCGCGAAACGCGAAGTCCCTGCTCTCATGGGTTCAAGCTGCCAACTTCTACCGACGCTTCATCTCCGGGTTCTCGCACATCGCTGCTCCGCTTCACAACATCATTCGCACGGGCAACTTCGAGTGGACACCAGAGTGCGACACTGCCTTTCAAGCCCTAAAAACTGCCTTGACGTCGGCGCCCATACTGGGTCATTTTAATCCCAGTGCCCCTACGACTGTCGCCACTGACGCCTCCGGCACTGCAATCGGCGCTGTACTGTCTCAGCAACAAGACGGCAAGGAAACTGTAATCGAATACGCCAGTCGGTCGTTGACCCCGGCAGAACAGAAGCTCCACAGCAACGTCTGGGAATGCATTGCTGTTCACTGGGCGCTCACGCAAAAATTCCGCCCATACCTTCTCTCCATCAAGTTCTCACTTATCACAGACAATTGGACCGTCACGTGCCTGACTGCGTCCATGAAGCCATCTCGAAGATTCACGCACATGTTGATGGACTTGCTGGAATTTGACTTCACGGTCCATCACCGTCCGGGGAAACAGAACGTTGTTGCCGACATGTTGTCTCGCCTCGCCTGCGCCACTGTCCAAACGTCTGACCACCTGGCCCAGCTTCAACAGGAAGACGCCGAATGCCACGACATACGGCAAAGACTTAGAGACGACCCAGCCTCCCTACCAGACTTTTTCGTGATTGACAACGTACTCTACTACAGCACGTCGCCCCAGATGTCAGTCATCGTACTTCCCGCCAAAATGCGACACCAAGCACTCGAGCTGATGCACGACAGCAGCGGCCACATGGATTACACCAGAACACTGGCCAAACTCGCTGAGCGCTATTGGTGGCCCCAAATGCCGAGCACGACGGCCAAATACGTAAATGCGTGCCAAACCTGCCAGGTGTGCAATCGACCCACAACGAAATCGGTGGGGAAGATGGCCATCATACCAACCACCGAGACCCCGTTCAAGATTATCGCAATGGACCATGTCACCATGCCAGACACCGGTAGCCATCGATACCTGCTCAACCTAATCGACTTTGCATCACGATTTGTGGTTCCAGCAGCAGTCACTTCGACATCTACAAAGGAGGTCATTGCTCACCTCCTGCAGGTGTTCTACCGCTACGGAGCGCCCGACCACTGCCTCACAGACCACGGACGCGCATTCGAGTCGCACGAGTTTCTCCGCTTCATGCGACTCCACGGCGTCACCATTCACCATTCCGTGGCTTACCGCGCAGCCAGTAACGGCTTGGTTGAGCGTAGCAACGGCACGCTCGTGGCCGTACTTCGGAAGCTCTGCAAGTCGGATCCCCAGACTTGGGATACACGCCTTGAGGAGGCAGCCTTCGCCGTCAACACAACCCACAACGCATCTTCACAATTTTCACCCTTCGCCTTGCTCCACGGCTACGTCCCGAAAATGCCTCATCAAAAGCATCAGCCCAAAAACACGGAAACCATGCACGAGCGCTTGCTCAGACTATGCGCCGACCGAACAGACGCACTTCAGCGGAGTGAAGACGCCCAACTTTCACGTAAAGCTATCTACGATCGTTCTCACAGGGATGGTAGAGACTTTGAGCCCGGAGACATCGTGTGGATTCGCCGCCAGCAACCCGTGCCCGACGGAATGGAAAAGCTGTCGCCCCGGTTTAAAGGCCTCTACGAAATCGTTGGGAAGCCCACGCCTGTGACATTCCGCGTTCGACAACTGCCCGCCTTCGGTAACACAAATTCCGCCAACGAACGCACGGTTCACCGCTCACAGGTGAAGAAATATTCGCCACCATACGTAGATCCAACTCTCACAGACCCCCATGTCGGTGATGTATCAGCGCCATCGCCAACCCACCTTCCTGACCCGACACAACAGGAGCCAGAACTCCCCACACTCGCGCCTTGCCCGGACATCAACAACTTACAAGACCATTCATCAAGCTGCGAAACACCCACCGCTGAGTCACCGCGCCCCACATTCCGCCGACCCCGCCGAACACGCACTCTGCCCTTGCGCCTTCAAGATTTTGATATATCCACAGAGTAGTTTCGCCATTTCGCTTGCCATTAGTTTTATAGCCTTATAGCCACGTTTCTATATAAGTATCCCTAGAATAGCTGCGCTTTCGCTTAGCGATTTGTTTTATATTCATAGCCACGCGGACGTGGCCTATAGAAGTGGGGTGGGATGTGAGCATATGTTAACCGTAGCCATCTGTTATTCTTCCATCCCCTCTGCCGCCCCCGCTCCGTTCTTTCCTTCCAAATTGCTCCCCGCGACCCGAGTTCTCTAGAGCCAACGAGCCCTCGCCGTTCAAACCACCGCCCATTCTTCTCGCCCTCAGTTCTACCCATCGCCCAAATGTAAACACCAGCCAAGTCGACTCTGCTCGCAAACCCCGGCAGCCGACTTCTTCGCCGCAGCTGTAACCTTACCCCTCACCTCATAAACTAGCCTCGCCCTCGCCCCTGCCCCGAAGCCATCGCCTCTTCGCCTCAAGATTCTCCAAGCCTGCGTTCTTCTCTTCCAGTTGCTTCCGCCTGTCCCACTGACTCAGTCATACCTTCCTTCTCCCGTAATAAACAGTTATCTTAATCTTTAAACTTGTTCTTTCTTCCTGGGGCCTACCACCGGCCCTCACAGGGTACACGCGGACATAGGAACATGGGTAGGAATGTCGTATATCCAACGTCGAGGATGATAGTTTGTGTTCTGTTTTATGCGTAGAGTGTTAACGTACTTGTTAGTCAATGTTGCAACTACCTCGTTTACCATTGGAAATATCAAGAAAAGCATATTATCCAAAATGCACCGCATCATTTGTCACGCGCAGTCGATCTTCTGTTTTTGAGGCAGAAAATATTGAACCACGCTGACAAGGCTGACAAACACAGTTACCTTTTCGCCTACTCCGCACCTCGCCGTAACCGCTACACTACACTGTACGATGGTAACCGCACGACCGCACGTCGATCGTTTGCATGCCCTTGGCACCCTTGGCCCCAAGTGCTGGGCTGGCTGGTCTGGGCTGGTCGGCTGGGCCAGGCTGGCCAGGCTGGGCAGGCTGGGCCAGCTGGGCCCCGTGCTCCCTCCCTCCCCCCCACTCGCCTCCTCCCAGAGTTCTTTCTCCTGCGTACGCGACGTGCGTAGACGTCTTCCGAATCTTTGCCGAACTTTTCTTCAAACGTTTCGCAATATGCCGAACCTTGCCGAATCTGAAGTTCGGCAGATTCGGTCCATCGCTACCCATTATCCCCATTATAGACCTCACTAATTGAAAAGGGCATTATTTACACAGATAATTTTATATGGTGAAGGCAATGCACTTTCACGAACTTTTTCTTTTTTCTCCCTTGCTTTGAGCCGCTTTTAGCTTTTAGCGGTCCTTAGGCTTAGCGAGCGCGCGCCGTTATCGAGAGTGTCCGTGCGGTCCGTGTGTTGATTGTCTAGTGGTGATGCCCGTTCGCCGCGCCAGTCGCGCTCACTAACAATTACGCCAGTTTAAACAAATCGTCTTATTTTTACGCGTTTCAGTCTTTTTACGAACACCAGTAGGGTTCCCAGAAGCCGTTCTTCAATAATGACGGGCAAACAAGCGTATAACATCGGAGATCTCGTGTTTGCCAAGGTTCGCGGCTACCCTCCATGGCCTGCAAGAGTAAGTTTTTTTGCCGGTTTTATGTTGCTGGCGCAGCGTTGCAGATACGATTCCTACATTCTCTGTGCAGTTAGCTTAGCCTCAAGTCAGCTGTTCCGATCAGTTGAGGCTAAGATTAGCCTCCAAAAGTCCGCAGGCATTCTTGTTTACGCGCTGTTCTTTTTGGCGGCACGCCTGCTGATTTCATGCAGCCTGCTGCGCTTCGCTCAAAATGAGACAGAAAGAACGCTCAGCCGTGCAGTACTAGCGCTGAACGTGGCAGGCGTTCACTGGCAGAACATTTCGTTTTCATCGATCTCGGAATAACATTCTCTGCTTCCAACTCGCATGCCGAATCGCAGACGTTAATCGCAGTAGAACACGTTCACGAAAAAACACACCAAAAAACTCGTTCTTGTAGCGTTGTGCCATACTCGACGGGCATAAGCGTTTTTTCATCTGATTCGGTGGCTGAAGATTTCTTGTTCACTATTTTCGGTAATTGTGTGTTTCCTCTTATTTTCCGCAAAATATGTATTTATGTATAGAACTTTGAAAGCGCCAAAAGACGCAGACAGGAATGGGGACGCCATACGTTTTCAGTTTTGTAGAAATGCACCAGCTAGCCTATTTCTTATTGCAGCTTAAATTTTTACATCTCTGGCGTTTGAGTAGGTCTGCTAGTGTCGTGCATGCTACCTTGAGCGTACAGGGGATGTGAATCTTGCTTAACCTGTCCCCTTTTGCTGCCCCTTATTTCCTGCTTTTATGGTTTGTTTGCAGAAGCTCTTCAGGCATTCACACCATAGTCTCAAAGCCACTTGCTCTAGAGTGATTGCCCATGGAGTGTCCTTAGAGCTCACAGGAGTGCAGTGGTAATTTAGTCTGAATGTCATAACGAAAGATTTGCTACTGCAGAGCAGATGTAAAAAAGTGTCCATTATTTGTAAAGACGTTTGCCCTGGAAGCATCAGTACTTTATCCTTCTGCCACCAATGAAACGAGAATGCCTTTGGCTGCGTCTTGTCATGTTTTGAGTATTCTTTCAACCAGATGTGTTGGCAAACCTGTACACTTCAAAATGTAGCCTGGCCAGATAGACCAGTCTGACACTGTGTATGCATTAATTGGGTAGGCATGGCCTAAAGAATGGGCAGTGTGCACACCAGCACCAAAATGAGGACACACTTTTTGGGTTTAGCTACCATTATAGGTACTAGTAGTAGTAACCAAAAGGCTATAGGGCAGTGGGGGAAATCTCCAAATCAGGAGACGTCAAGCCTAGTAGCGCGGTTCCACATCTCTGCAGCAATGATTGTGACCTTTAGGCTACACTATTGCGGGCCGGTTCAGGAAAATTTCATCCGTCGTGCCAGTGATCACTGCCAGTTATCCCTGCATCGTCACTCGGATGAGTCCTTCCGAAAACGGTAGGAAATTCATAAACCTCCTCGCCTAGCACTTGATACCACTTGCTAGAACATGGGTTCCTGGATCAGAGGATGCAAGATACGGGCGGATCCGTTCCTGCATGAACGAGTGGGAAATGGCCGGCAAGCTGGCTGAAGATTTCTTCGTGCTGCCGTTACGATGTCCATCTTTCCCGATGTCCGTCGGGAAAGATTCCAAAGGGACCCCTACACACTTGCAAGTGCTTATGCTGACAGCAGAGGTGGTCGTAGCATTCTTCCTCCCTTCTTACAAGTCTTTGGAATCCCGTATGAATATAGTTCAGCATATTGTTTTTCAGAGTAAATTTACGCAGGATTACCGAAAACCGTTTCCGTAATTTAACAGCTTTCGCAAGTGTTCCCAGTGGCTGTCATTTTCATGAAGCTGGTAGAATAATTGAATTTCCACACTATTGAGACTGATTTCTTTTTCTCATGCACTGGTTACGTGGTTTACAAAATTCTCTTGCGAGCTCATTTGAAGTGACACACTTTCCTAATCGGTAGAACCCTTGTTAGCTAACCATAAGAACCAGAAATGCATGCTCCGCAACCTTTCTCTTTATTTCAAAGTTGCCTTCCTTGCCTTGCTTGAGAGAAATCCGACTCGGGAGTAGCTTTACAGGTGCCTGGATGACTGGAAATTGGAGCGGGCATCTTGTGAAAATTTTTACATAGCCACATTATCTCAATTTATGTTGACGGTGCTCCACTTCCTATGGTCTTCGCATTCCTCAGAAAAGTTGCATGTTGTTTGTTTTTCTGCTTCAGTTAAAACTGAATCCAAACAGTTTTCTTTTTTTTCCTGTGCTTCAAATTTCAGCATCACTGTACTTTTTTTTTGCACATTGTAATGCAATTAGCAAAATATATAACATCACTATACATAAATGCATCCAAAGCATTTGGGACAAAATGAAGTGTCTAGCTCAAACATTGACATTGTAACAGCACACTCTATCCTCATTTTTTTCTTTTTACATCTTTATTTTTTATACTTATATTTTAGCTTTATGCTTTATTTGTTTAAACTGATTGGTGCCTCTGAGCCACCACCATCAAGACCAACTGCTGCATAGCACTCGGTGGCGTCACTAGGGTCAGCAACACCCGGAGCGGTGGCCCGCAAGGACACCCCTCCCCCCTCCCTTTCGTGGCCCGTCGCGACACCCCCCGGAGCGCTGCACCCGGGGCGGTCCATCCCCCCCCCCCCCTATGACGCCACTGATAGCACTGCTTGATATGCGATGCGGAATGTCTTGTTTCACCTTCATTTTCGAACCGGAGCCTACACAGCTTCTGTGATCTTTAGTTACCCCGTCTGTGTGGATTCCCAGTATATGGTTGTGTAAGTTACTCGTACGGACATCAAAGCTCTGTTTTCCTTTCTCCACATTTGGTGCCCAGGCTCAGTTGCCAGAAATAGAAGCCACTGTAGCCACCGTCAGAAATTTGCTGCCACCAAATTCTGCTGCCCTATGTTTATTAGCGTGGAGCAGTCATGGTGAACTTACCATTACTCTGCTTCTTGGTAGGTCTGCTCCTGAACAACAGGAGAGATTTGTATTTTGTATTTGAGCTGTTACGAAATTAAGTTTGTGATGCAAACAAACTTAGAATGCAGTTTTCTTGTAGTGGAGGAGGGTCATGGCTGCAGGATGGCATGGTGAATTCATATTGTGACATGTGATGAGTGAGTAATGTGAGTTCCACTGGTTAGACAAAGAATTTAAAAAAAGTCTGCCTACTCCAGTTTTTGTTATTCTTGTTCCAAGCCACTTTAATAGTACAGTGGGTTGTGGAACTTAAAAAGGAGTGCCTAACTAAAATATTGTGACTCATATTTAAAAGCTATGTTTGTCGTGCCTCGGGAAGGGAACATCTGAAGCTTACGCTTATCTGGGCATATTTTCGTTTTCCAGGTTGAAGATGTTGTACCTGACAAGGCAAAGCTTAAGCCGCACAAGTACTCAATCCTTTTTTATGGCACTTATGAGACGTAAGTATTGTTTCTCTGCCCTGATCTGCATTAGCTGGTTTGAGTGAAATTATCAAATACTGCCGTTTAAGAAATTCCGCTTCCAATGCTGAGCCATCATTCGCACATTGCGAGAATGTCAGGAAATTCACCTGAAGATTTTGTGCACAAAAACTTGAGGAAAGTTTTATAGTGTACTAGGAGGAATCAAAAGGCTTTATATTAGAGATTCTCAACCAGTAAAATATGGGACTAATGGAACCAAGGGACGCTTCTTCATCCTATCTTTTATTTGAAAGCAAAATATGAAGTTAAAGGTCTGCGTGCCAGGTGACCTTCTTGTTCTTCCTCTGTGTATGCGCATACAAGTTTAGTTGTGACCTTGTAAGTATGGATCTCTAGTACCCATGAAGAAAATCTACATATTTCTTTTGGGAGGGGAGGGGGGTATTTATTTTGAACTTTCAGTGACACTAGCACGGATGAGACAACCTCATTGGCAGTCTGTCAAAGCCGCCCCCGCCTGGAGGTTAGAGGCGCCGGCCCTCTACAACGACTGTGAACAACATTTATTTTTTTTTAAGGCTAGTCAGCCCGCTCGGTTGGCGCGAGTGCCCAAGTTGGGTAGGAATGCAATGAGCTCAGGTGGACACACATCGTTCGAACAAGGAACAATATATTTACTTGGAAAGATAAAAAAAAAGAGAAATATAGATTTCAAAGTTTGGAGCATAGGCGAAGACTACACAACAAAAAAGCCAAGGTTCCACACAAAACTCCGCTCAATATTGAAAACGAAAGGTAAGAAAAAGAAAACGGTCGGCACTCTACAGACACTTTAGGTTTGTAAAATAACCTACAGAAAAATTAGAAAGTCCGAACAGGCGGCGCACATCAGCAATTCTGTTGTTCTAAATAGAACATAGACAATGAAATAGAAGAGGAAAGCTACGGACGGAGAGCATATGAAATCAAACGTCCTTTAAAAGTTTGAACAGACGGGCCTCACTCAAATTTGGTGGCGAAGGGTCATCGTCAAGCTCTCGGTGGTGGTGAGCTAGCAGGAAGACAACGGCGGTGACAATCAAGAAGCCTCGGAAAGTATTGCGTTGCCGTACCGCCATTATCGCTGGCTTCACCCTGCAACCACGAATGTCTAGTCCCCTTGACGACCCAAAAAGCTCTGCTCGAAAACTGTCGGCTCTTCACGAAAACCGTCCCTCTCCACGGGGGCGTATTTCCCGCCTTTGTCGGCATTAAAGGCATCCCGGAGGGGGGTGTTTAAAGAAAAGGGAAGAGAAAAACAAAGCCATGTTTCGTCTTCCTGTTTATGGTCGCAACGCGGGGCGGCCCACCCGAAAGGCAAATCGGCGAAGGGGCACAGCGAGCAGCACAAAGAAAAATATTCTGGGAAAGTCGGCCAGTGCCAAAGTTTGTGACGCAGTCATAGATTTGATTAAAGTTGCCTTGTAATCTAAAAAATGTAATGTTCCGTTTTTTTTTTATATATATTTTTTTTTTCACGTTGCCTAAAATGCGAGTTTTAGGGGCATTACTAAAATGAAAGATGTCACATGCTGCAAGTTTAGCACAACATAAAAAAATAAAGGTAATTTTTTTTTTAATTAGATAATTTGGGTTATTATGATTTGAATCAAATTTATTTGATATAAGTCAGATTAATTTTATTTAAATCACTATAGCTAAAAAATAGTGATTCTTTATCAGTATCTATATATATGAAACAGAAGAATGATTGATCAATTTGTTTGATCACTGAGAACAACACAGAAGAATAACTTTCATTCCAACAATTGAATTAACAACTTGATGCAAACCCTGTTATACTAGAACAAAGGAAAACTTCCTGTTTATTGTAATGAGAAAAGCTGTATTTGCTTTAATGTAACTACTTTTTTTGTTTTATTATATTTTTTGTTACGTTCTGATTTGTTTGCAATTCGGCATTACGTAACAGACAAACAAAGTGGAAGGTGAAGAGAAGCTCTTCACCTTCCACTTTGCTCTGATGTTTAATAAAATAAGCGGCATTCATAAAAGCACCGCGTTTTGCTTGTGTTCAGATTGATATAATTCTGTCCTGCTTAAAGGGGTACTCCACCGGTTTTTTCATTGTCTCCGATTTGCTTGAAATTTTGCTAAACTAACCAACGAACATTGCTAAAATAGTATCCCAAATATTAGGTCAAAATATTGTTTTTTTGCGAAGTTATTGAATTTACAGTTTTGGTCTTCACCATGTTTTTCAAACTGAAAGTCTACTGGCAACAACAACAAAGTGACGTCAGTGGAAGGCAGGGGTTAACTTTTTGGACTACAGAAGTTGTTCCCAACGGATTTGAAGCAGTTTCTTGATGTCAAATGAGTGCTTTGGAAGCTTGCTCCCGTATCCGCGCTCCAGCACGGAACAAATGATTGGCATATTCTATTTTTAGACTACTTGCTCGACTGGCAAGCCTGCCTGCCACTGACTTCACGGCACTGAAAAGTGTGCGAATATTTGAATATTGGTTTTTGCACCATTTTAATTTGCCGATTTCACAATACCTATTATGAATTTCGCGATGCTAAATAGCATACCGGAAAGTCTAATGGTCGGGGAGTCATAAAATATAGTTAGTTGAGGTAGCTCAAAAAATCGGTGGAGTACCCCTTTAAGGATGATCTTTTTATTTAAATAAAAGAACATACATAGAAAGCATCATATTATTCACAAACAATAAATATAAAGGCTTTTTTATGTTTGATTTAAATCAGCAAAACCAATGGGATTTAAATCACAATTTAAATTGTCTTGATTTTTATTCTCCCTCCTGAGCAACCGGGAGTATCGGGGGTCACATTTTTAACCACTCTTGCTTTCCCCCACCCCCTACTTTGTAACAATTTGCCTTTTCTGTAGCACCCTTAAAATTAAGGATTTTTTTTTTTTTATGCAGTTTTAAGTATTTATGCAGGAATTCTGTTCTTGCAGCTTGTCAACCCACAACTGTGCCATAATGTTTAAGCCAACCTTGTGCTAAAGGCGAATGGATGGTCGGTTTTAATGAGAAATTTAAAATACGACTGCCTCTGTGCCTGAAAACAAGCTGAAGCAGCCGACCGAGCCAGTGCTAAACAACCTGGCTGGGATGCGATAGCTTCACACATTTCAATTGTTTCATCAGCTGGGATTTTCGGTCTGCGCTTGGGAAACAAGTTTAATTGTTTAATTTCTGTGGCTTTCTATGTTATATCGCTCAAATTTGGCTGCCTCCACCTTGTCCTACGTGCATGTAGTGCTCATTGATACTGATATCCACGGTGAATAAATGCTACATACTTCGTTTATCATGGTTCATCGTCATCTGTCCTGTGGATGTACAATAAAAAACACTAGTCACAAACATGTTTCCTTTGGTTAAAGGAGTCTCCGTCCACAAGTTGAACCAAACAAAATTGATATATCGCTCGAGTATGACATGAGATCATAGCCAAAATATTGTGTCAGAATTGCTCTACAGTCTCAATGAAACTGCCATTAAAAGTGCTCTCAAGTGCTTAGCGGCTGTCTACAGATCAGCTGCTGCTGAAGTAACAACACTGAATAAAGTCCTTTTGGTTCCGTGTAACCATTACTTCTCTTTGCTTTTTCACTGCTCTCTGATCTGGCAACTAGCGCTGCCCCTTAAACAGGCTCCATTTCTCAAGCAAAGAAAAATCCAGAGGACCGAGCTCATGCAACTAGCCAGTCACGCATACCGTTGCCCTAGGGCAAAGCTGGTTGCCAGTGTAGCCGCCATTCCTGAACCTTTGGTTACAATTATGCCCTATTCCTCAAAGCCTAGCAGTGGCACAAGATATTTTCAGAACTATGAGCAATACTGGAAAGAAAGTCATACTCTCGTAATTCAGGGACGCTTACTGCTTTAGAAGCGGTAGTGTTTTTACGAACCCTGGAAACGTAGTGGAGTTGTACCTTAACCGAACGGTGGGTGTTTCCGTCCTCTGCTTTACAGGGCCACCTTAGGAACGAAGGACTTGTTCCCTTATGCCGAATTCAAAGGGAAGTATGGACAGAAGTTGAAGAGGAAGTTCTTCAATGAGGGACTCTGGGAGATAGAGAATAACCCAAACGTGAAGCCTCCAGGAGAAGGGGTGAGTCTCGTCCTGGTACCTTCATCCACACACCGAGCTTGGTTCCTAGCTCAAATTGGTCTGGAATTTGTCTGATAGCCCTGAGCAATACTTTGCCCTGTAACCATTTCTTTGTGGATGTAATGAGTGTTAGGCACAATTGCAGTTGCCCTATGAGACCTGCACATAATATGCGTGTGGACTACAGTGCCACATGTATGTTCCTCTGACGCAAAGTTAAGCTCTTACTTTGTTGGATGGCAGGGTTCTCATATTTGGGATGCACCAGGAGGTGCTCATAATTTAAGAGGCAGGATACAACTGAGTGCACAAACCAGACTTCAGTGCCTTGAATAAATTTCGCTGAGAAGAGCAACATTGCTGGCTGCTGGCAAGAGTTACAAGGCATTTTTTTCACTGCTGTTCTAGGGATAAATTTTTGTCTACTATGCTGCATTTGAAAGTTGTAATCTATTCACCATTGACTAGTTATGCCTCATCAAAAATTAACGAGAGAAAAGCCGTATGCATAGCAGTCGGGCTAGGTGAGTGCACAATTCCTATTGTGATGTGAACTGCTAGGTTGTGCTTTTGTGATGATGTAACTCACTGCCAGCCCTTGGGCATTGCAAATGGATGTAGTAGTTGTAAGGTTGTTGTCCCGGACCTCGGTGGGAACCCTGGAGGTGTCTACCGTCGAGGGCCGGGGGTCCGTGGAACGATGCTGGTTGCTGGAGAGCTGGCTGTAGGCGGCGGGGACTCAGGACAGGGACGACCAAGACTGCTTCGTGTTCGATTAAAACACAAAAGTTGGACTTTTCCGGAGTGCACGATACAATCAAACAACTGGGAATCACTGGCCTCACAGGCTTACGATCGCGTGACACGAAGTCAAGTGTCCTACCGTGCACAGTGACGGCGATGGCTAAGTAGCCGGCGAACAAGGGCTGCTGCGTGCGGCAGGTAACGCTGCGAACTGCGGGAGGAGAACAGTCAGGGGCTCGCAAGCCCGTTCCAACTCGAGGCTCGCACGCTCGGTCAGGGCTTAAAACAGTGCGCCGGAAGCCGCTCTGTTCAATGAGGGCTTCGTCTGCATCCCATTGGGTTGAGGCCCCGACACACTCTCGACCTATTGCACGAGAGTTCGTTGCTGTTGCCGAGGTGGTCATTAAGATCGGGCCCTGCGGTTGAGAGTCTAAACCCCGATATGTTTATGTTCCAAGGAAGATCTACTGGTTCTCGGTTTAGGCGAGAATCGTCGAAACATGCCCCGCTAGCAAACGTCCTTTCCCCCGGAGCGCGGGCAGGAGCCTCAGCGTAAACGGAAAGCGCACCTGGGAAGCCGTTTCGTGGAGAATCCCACGATGCCGGGTCCACGCCGGCGCGTATACACCAGTTGCGCCCAGTGCCTCTTGATTCAAAGTCACGAAACACTGGAACATGACCCGAAGTCTTCGAGGAAGTCGTTCGAGCTTGAGACACGGCCCAGTTTACGAAATGGCGCGCCAGCCAATGATAGCCGCACTCCGGTGCCTGCCCCGAATGCCCGCATAGATATGTGTGTCTGGAGCCCCGGGTAAGAGGCAAGGCCCGCGGGCAACGACCCCCCGTGGGGGATGTGCAACTCCGTTCGTAGTAGACGGAACAAAGTAAGACACATGCAAGCCCTAAAGCAAAACGAGTGACCGGGGCTCAGCGCAACATACCGATAAGTTAAAACTAAACGCCGTCTTGGCAGCGCGCGAAATTTGCCACCGCCTCTACAAATGTGCTGGACCTATACTCTGTTTCACGAGAACTTGGTGAACTCTGGAGGCCATGGCCCCTTCGACCCGATAAAAATGTCGGAGCGGTGCATGTAATATCATGTCACGGGAGCGTGTGTGTGTCTGCACAAAATGCGCAGCCCGGAGAAACCAGCTGTCGTCTGCTGGCCAAGAGTCTGCGGCAAAATCAACTAACGTTGCATGAACGTCCACCACTGCCACAACTAAAGGAGAAAAAATCCGGAGCGAATACAGATATAGCATCACTTTTTTGGTTTAAATATAATTAAAACTCGGTCATGAATATTTATTCCTTTTTTTATATATATATATATATACTTTACATTGAGATAGAATTGCTCAAGTTTAAATACCATTAAAAAAAAAGAAGCAGCCTAGATTTTTTTTTTTGTTGCGGATGGTGCTGTTGCTGTGGCAGTAACCTCCTTGGCCTTGACCATGCAGCGTTATCACACGCCTTGCTTTGACTCTCTTATTGGGTTGCGGGGATCACAACCCCCACAGTTTACCAAGTTATCGTGAAACGGAGTATAGTTTGATTTCTTGTTTGCGCAAGATAAACTCATTTTTGAGCAGCTGGTCAGATAGCAACAGTGGACTATATGCCTATAGTCAGGGGCAGATGCAAGTATATCCAGAGGGGGGGGGGGGGGGGGGGGGAACATCAGCATATTGAATTTAGAATTCAAGAGGAGGTTCAGGACATCCAAACCCCCCTCTGAATCCAGCACTGCCTATGGCTCAATTATATGCCATTTCTCAGATTGTGTGACATACAGTTAAAGCCATTGGCAGTAAGCCCACAAGCTTGTGCCTTCTACTATGCTACACTGAGTTCTTGAGATAAAGTCGTACAATCAGTACCTGTTTTTTTACCTTAAAAAGATGAAATGTTGTTTTGGTTTAAGAACCATTTAATTTTTTTTCGAGAAGTTTGTTTAAACTTTCCAGTGGGTGACCGTTAATTTTGCAAGGGAAGTCATCTTTGCTGGGAGTATCTTCCAAATAATCTTGTATAGCTTGCTGTTTGGAAAGGAAATTCTGAGCAACCAGTGTTCAGTCGTTTGTAGGGACTTAAATGTACTTTGCACTCATCCCAGATTTAGCTTCCCCTATGTCTTGTTTGTTTTTAGCTGATCTTTGTGAGTGCGATTGTTGGCAGGGCTCTGGCAACAAGTCGACCAAGAAAAAGGATCGGCTTGAGCCTGTGATCGAGGAGGAAGAGGCGGTGCAGGAGGAGGAGGAAGACGAAAAATTGGTCATTGATGAAAAGCCCTCCAAAAATGTGAGGCTCTTGTATGCCTGGACATTTGCAAAAAATATGAGTTGCTTTTTCTTTTATATGCATCCATACACTTGCTATTTTGGTTTGCAGGGCATTGCAATGCAGTATAAAGATGGGTTCACTTGGCACAAATTTCCTGTCGTGTCGCTAAACAGAACTGACTTTCGTTTAGTTTTCTCGTTTAAATGTGGTAGTACTGACTGTATGTCAACTCCTGCAATAGTCAGATTATGTGAAAGTGCCTTTTTTCTGCACTCTCTTCTCTTTTTACACTCTGTCCTAGTTGCTCCAAAGGTTAGCGAACGGCTTAGAGGGCATGATGTTACCGCTTGCCTGTTCCAGCTTCAATCTTTTAAACTGTCAATCTGCAGAAAATGCACGCTTCTGATGCCTTCTTGTTTGCATGGAGGTCAGTCTGGTTTGAGCGTATAAATTGATAGCTGTGAAATTAATATAAATTGATAGCTGTGAAATTAAGAGGGAGAAAAGTCTTCACGATGGTTGTTGGGCGTGGCTTCAATGCCAAGTATCTTCAACCTTGTACCGTTTCATAATCCTTCCCCAGAAAACTGAACCCCCACCTGCAAAGAAAAGGGCTACAAAGAGAACTTCGAGGGTGAGGCTCATATTTTCTTTTCCCCTCTTTAGCCTCTCATTCTTGAGTGACGGATATCCGAAACAGTGCTCCTCTAATGTGAGACCTCTTTGCTCTTGCAGGATTCCACGGAGGAGCCGAAATCTGGAGTAGATGAAATACCAAAGAAAAGGGTGAGCGTGCTTTGCTTTGGAACGTGGGTACTGCCGGCACCTTTGCTCGGGGCTACTACGGCTCGGACGAGTAATGTTCTAATGGAGCTCCTTGAGCATAAAAAAGCCGGCATGCTTTGTGGTGTCACACAACGTCTCTTCGCGATGTGAGATCACAGTGTTGCACCGCATCATTTTGTAGCATGGTGTGGTATTAAGGGGTAATATACTTTGAATGGTTTTAAAGAATGTCTTTGTGCAGTATGATTGTGTGCAGTCTGTGCGTAGCACCCCGGGTGACGCTGCAGCTCATTTGCGGGGCACGTCAGAATCGGGAATTTATTTCTATCTGGTCTGGCATTATTTTAAAGCAGCGTGGCAGTCGCCTTTGGACACGTGCATCCGCCTTTTCTAGGACCGTTACCGAAATTAAAGGGCGTTGACACCGACCTGCAGGCGTCACGTTCCAAGGAACCCGCACCGAAGACGGCGGCCACACCGCCCAGCCGCAGTCGCAGCGGCCGCACCATCAAGCGGAAGAAGTTCAGCTCTGAGAGCGACGAGGACGAAGGCAGCTGGTCGGTCGAGGCGTCTGCTCCCGAGGGCGGGGACAAGGAAGCCAGCGACCAGGAGGCGCCCGGCCGCGGCACCGAGAGGTCCCGCGCGTCTGCCGCCAAGGACAAGAAGGACAAGTCGTCTCAAGAGGCGAAGGACTCTGCCGAGAGCCAGGAAGGTGAGTGGTGTGGCACGTTAATCCTTGGTACTCGAGACCTGAACCGACGTTTTTATAGTCGCCGACAAGGTGAGAACGGCAGGCCATAGCTTCAGTTGTCCCGCCTCCAGCTGACACTACCCATAGTCATTGCCACCTTCAGAAAAAAAAGCAAGTTTTGCATATTGCATGAAGTACCGTATCCGCACAAATATATGGCGACCACGAATATAACGTGAAAGGAAAAAAATTTTTACTATTATTAGTGGAAATGTAAAGTTACTGCACTCGAGGGTATAGCAGAAGTGACAAGAGAACTAAAGTCTGGGAAATATTGGCGTATGGTTTGACTGCACTCGTGTTCGCAACTTCGAAGATATGCTTGTCTGGTAGTTTCTTTTTCTTCGACGTGAGCTCCTTGTCCGCGAGCCGTTCCTCTCGAACTGCTGCGCACTGTGTCGAGTCGGTTGGTATACGAAGTGCATGAAGCAGAAGCACCACCGCACAAACCCCAGAACAATCGAGCAAAAAACTGAGAAATGCACAATCAGAACAAAGACTGCTAGACTGGATGCAGGTCGTTCTTGCGCTTTCCCCTTTACTACGGTCCCTCTGCATAAACACCTCGCATTTCATGACTGTGTAAACACAGCCAGCCGTCTTGGCTTGGCTTGAACTGCCCGGTGTCCCGCACATTCCTGTGGCTGGGCACTCCTGTGTGGCTGGCGCACCTGCCCCGTGTTTTTGCGGATTGTGCATTCTACAAACATGAAAATGACAGATAAATCTTTAAACATTCTTTATTTCTTCTTTTACGTAATGCAAGACCACCAACTTTCCTCCCCACACCCCCGTTTCTTTTTGCACCCATCTCCCGCATTCACTCGGAGGAATGGCTTTCTCCCGACTCACGCGCTTCTGGCCAAGCTCGCTTTTGAATATAACTCGAGGTGATTTTTAGAGTAATGTAATTTTGAGGAAAAAAAAAAATTTGCTTTATATTAGTGCAAATACAGTATGTTACAAGATTTGGCTGTCGAAGGAAGAAGTGATGCTTTTTGCATTTGAAATGGGTACGTCTTGATCAGACATAATCTAAAACTGCACCTACATGTATCTTAATTCTCTACATAAATGGGGAAAATAATAATGCTCTGCACTAAAAGCCAAATTTTTTCTTTTACTGCGGTTCTTGAGGTAAATGCCAGTAGAGAATATTTAATACTGGCAAATACCTCCTCTTCCTCCATGGAATGTCATCACTGTCAAAGTGTGGAACTTCCCAATTTTTAAGTCTTCCAAAACCTTTCAGGGCAGTGGAATTCGTAGCACAATCACTTCAAACCCTGGTTGCGCACAAACAACGGCACTGGCCGCCGAACAAAAAACGAAAGGGCCTCGCGGCGTTGACGTCTACCAACTACCGCCAGTAATTCTTTACCTGCGGATCTCTGTCAGTTTCTGGTGAAACCTCTTTTACAGAAGGTCGCCCCCCAAGCCCGCAGAAGGAAAAAGCGCCAACCAAGGAGCTCGAGAAGCCCGCAGCACCAGAGTCGCCCGCCGAGGAGGAACCGGAGGCACCGGCTCCGCTGCAGGAAGCCCCTCCCGCAAAGCCGCCCAAGAAGTCCAGCCGACGCAGGGACAAGCACGCCAGTGCTGACCCACCGGCGGCTTCCGCCAAGGAGAATGCTGGTAGGTTGGCCGCTTGACGAGGCAGCGCATCTTCCGCTCAGCGTTTCTTCTATCGATCCGGTGACCAAACGTTGTGGGTTCCACATGTTTTAAGTACGGTCTGCATTTCACCTCGGGAAGTTAAGGGGCGGTGGTTGCCATCGTCGCTCGTCATTCTCCAATCATAGAGACTGCAATTGCCTCTCCGAAGGAAAAATTAATTGTCAGGATTGGTATGCGCTCACCCTCCTGCGGTGCTTTGTCTGTTTTTGAGTCGAGGCCTGGTCTCACTAAGCTAGCTCTACTCCTGTTGCGCTGTTATGTCGGAAATGTTTGGAGCAAGAAAGCAACTCAAGGTTGTCCAGTTGTTACTTTGCGTTTCTGGTTTTTCGTACTCCATGTGGCGTGCTCTCATTTGCAATTCTCTAATTGTTTTTTGTCCGCAGGCGTTGTAAGTGCCCATCTGGCAAGAGCGTTGCAACGCCTGTTTGTCACATCTATAGAAAGGGCCCTCCTATAGGTGTAAAAAAATACATTCTTGTCAGTCTACATGTTTCACTGGCAGCATGTTCTTTTCTTCTCATGTCTGTTAGAGTTGGCCAACTGTCAGCATAGTGAGACCAGGCTATGGTAAGGCAAACTCCTAAGGCCCGCTTCAGACGGGGCAATTTCGCCCAGCAACTTGACGCAGCAACCGAATTGCTAAGACTCGACATCATCATTAAATTTTATTTTTCTTGCGCTATTTAGACACACAGTTACATGGTAAAATCATGTTCTTATATCTTTAAATTGCATCGAGAACACAAACTCATCTATCTAAAACATTTTTTTTTTTTTTTAATTTTTCAAAAAATGATTTATTTTAAATTAGGACCAAGTCTTTAGTTATCATCATCACCACCACAGGGGTGTCACATGAAAATATTGTATTCCTGATTGGCTGCTGCCGCATAAAATATCTCCAAGTTGTTCGAGTTGCTAGTCCGTTACGAGCCGGACCTTATCTCAGCAATTTCTGTCGATCTAAGGAAAGCTAAAGAACAACCCGCCAGCAACCCTGTAATTGCTGGAAAAGTTGCCCCGTCTGAAGTGGGCCTAAGTCCTACTGTCTATACCAGCAGCCTGCTACGGTCCAGGAAAGGGCCGGCTCGGCAAGGGCTATGTGAGCCATTGTGTTTTTGCTGATGTTTCAAGAGAAACTTGTGTTGCTGGAGAGCTGTAGCAAATAATGATTCCACTTATGAGCCGGTGCCTGCAGTTTGCCCAGTCTTCGAGCAGGCTGTCAAAAACATTATTTCCAGTTTCAGCACATGTTTTTGCATCTACGTAGTTCTATCGTGCAGCATTTCATGAGCACATGCTCTTGAGGCTTTTGAAGCCCCACTGAAAAAGACAATTCTTAATGTCTAGTGGTTTGGCCAGAATGTCTTCCGTATCACCGAACCCTTCTTTGTTTCAATGTCTTTTTTTTTTTGTTATTAACCCTTCGAGGGTTGCTGTTGTACATGTATGGCGGCAATTACCTATTTGAAAGGTCCTTCCTAAATATGAAAATGTGTGCACCCCGGGAGGTACAAACGTGGTATTCGCACTGTGTTTCTCCTTGCTGGGGCTACTTATTGTTTCAAAATTCGACGCTGCGTGGACATGATGCACTCTAGGCGGCTTTGTTACAACTGCATTGTCATGGACATTGATGCAATGTTCTTATGAAGCCCATGTTTCCCATGCCCATCGTGTTTATTGCCTCCATAGGGCGACATCCCATTCAGTTTTGCTGCTGTGAGATGTTTTGTACATTGATCAGGTCATTATCTACTTGTTCACACACAGAGTGCAAACAACGCTTGACTTGAACCATTGATTGCCGAGTTTTGTTTTTCACAGTTGGAAAGCAATGAGAGAAGCTACTAATGTAGTGAAATATGATTATAGGGGGCACCAACCTACCGTGAAATACCGCGGAAGCGCCCACTTGGTTCAAGCGCCCACTATTAACATTTCCCAAACTTGGGAATTCTGCGAATTATGCGTTAAGTGCCCGATTTGACCGGACAAGCGCCCATGTCTACTGTTTTTGCTTGAGTAATAGCCGCACTATTTATGAACAGGGCCTTTGCGTCTACTTTCCCACAGAACACATATACAGCCAATCATTGCGTTGCGCATAAATAACGTAGCGAATAACCAGATGGAGAACACGATTCTCCGTACAAGTGCAATCTTCACAGATGGTTACTTTTCACGGAAACGTTATGTCTGTCCTGTAAACAGCTGGTATCATGCTGTCGAACGCTGTGATTGGCAGTCTACGTGCTCCGCGGAAAAGCAAACCCTCAGATTTTCCTCATAAACAGTGTGGCTATTACTCGAGTAAATACGGTAGATTTACCCAGTGTTTAGTCGAAGGGGTGCCCACTCCCCCGGTATTTTTCGGTAGGTTGTAAAATCCGATGCTTGGCACTGACATGCAAGTGCAAGGTGCATAAAAACCACAATGTTGTGTTTGTGTTAACCATGTTGCTTGATCAATTGTAGAGTCAAAACAATTTAAAGTGCCTGGCTACTTTTCCCACCCCCATCAAATATGCCGATATCATGGCGTGACCGTCATACAAGGACGAATTCCTGGGTTTTAAAAATCATAAAAACAATGTTTTACGATTTTCTTTTCACTTTACTTGTTTTTAGACGACTTGTTAAAAGTTCTCTGTCGTGAAATAAAAAGAGGTTCTGTGTCGTGAAAAGAAGGTCAAGGGTATTCCGAGTTGCAAATCACTTTTTTTATTGTTGGGCCTTAATGGGTGTTCCTTTAAAAACCTAAACATAAACATGCTTGTCAGAAATCAAAGTTTCTTTTATTTAACGAGTTTATGTTTTCCAATGGTTCAGTTCATTGTAAGTTCTCATGCATCGCCGTTGTGTCATTGCCACATTGTTGTCGGTTCGCACTACGAACATACCGTGACCTTTGATGCTGCGGAAACTTTTAAGCAATCTTTATCTCGAAGCAAACTATTCAAGGTGGATTGTGTCCCTTCTTTTCTTTTTTTTTAAGTTGCAGCTTTTAGAGCATACAAAAAACGTGCTTCTCAAGTATTTTTTTAGAATCAGGTTATGGAAGTTTAGACGGTGGGAAGTTGGTGTGCCACGAAATGGCATCTGGTGTATCCACTGTGGATGGGCGACTTGGCCGATGCAGTGCGACCAGTTATCTCTGGGCTCTTAACACTCGTCACGCAGTACTGATTACATCACTGCATGTAGCCCCAACAGAGTTCCCCCCACACTGGGCAGTAGTGGCTCTGTCGCCCACCGCCCCAGCTGACTGCCCACTGCCCCGACTGACCACCCATTGCTTTGACTGACCGCTAGATTATGCCACAGGATGACGATGCGATTTTGCCTGCGCACATGGCTGCGAACCATCATACTCGGAAGGCCTGCACACCGCCACATTGTCGCATCGCCGACTGCCGCCACACAGAAAATAAACAGACGCCACGGATGCTCACTGCGCAGCAGTTCTTTCCGCAGGCAGTGAGTGGCAGAAAGCAAAAAGCTGAGAGGACGTCTCTTTCACTGCTCAATGCTTGCTCGCAACTTGGCTTGCTTTATCTGTGCCTCTTCGCTCGCCTTTCCTTTCCCTCTTTTTTTTTTTCCAGGGCATTTTGGCTTTTGCTTTATTACCATGGCGTGGCGCCACTCACAGGGCCGCAAAGTTTGAGAGCCTATGCAAAGTGCGTTCTGTCGGCAAGCCAGATCGTGCCCCATTGCAAACTACCCCCCGCTGCCGCCGCTCGCATGGTGGTTATGTCCACCACTAAAAAATTCCTCGGGAGAACCCTGAGCCACAATGATGTTCATTCAGATTGAAATGAGCAGCGATTTAACCCAAGAATTGTTCTTGGGTTCTGCAATGCAGTTCCGAGCTGCAATGATTGCTTTTTGAAACCTCATAGTCACGATTACAAATTGGATGGCCTTTTGTGCAAGTGCCTTCTTTCGAGTCGAGAAGCTTAATCCTTTGACGGTCATTGCCGTTGTGGCAACATTAACACGTAAACATGAAGCCGCACACATTGCGGGAGGTGTTGCTATTTGTTATGTCTTAAATGAACTATAAACATTATGTTCGTGGGGTATGTCATTTTCCTGGTGCTCTATATAGTTTCAAAATCGGACGCTGTGCACATGTGACATGCGCGAGGTGGCTGCTTTGCATGTCGGCTGCTCTGGCGGTAGTGACAATTGGAGCGCCGGTTCTTTCGATCCATACTTTTAATGCTTCTCGGATTGAATTCGCAGAATCAGAGCTTACCATCCGATGATTAAGCTCCGTAAAGCACCTTTAATTTGGAATCAAACTGCTGGAATGTCGGTGGTAGCGGATGCGCCAAAATGAAGCCGAATAGAAGAAAGGTGACGTTTTGCCTCCAATCGTTCCATTTGATGCTTCTAAGCCTGAGCAGTTTGCAAGCACTGTACGTACTTCGTCAGATAATTAAGAAAAAAAATCTGCAAATTTATTTATTTATTTGTTATACATACTCTTCCTTTAAAAACAAAACTAAACAACTAATTTTTTTTTTTTTTTTAAAGTTTGATTGTTGAAGGGTTAATAGATGCAGTTGGGTTAGGTACCCTTTCGTGTAACCAAGGTGCAACGTGGCTGTACCGACTTTTTTAGAACATTTTGTCATAGGTTGGGGCAACATTTAATTTACTGTGTGTCATACATCATTGGTCATGTGGAATATTTAGCAGTGTAGTAAAACTGAAATACTATGAGGAGCTGTTGTTTTCCTATCATTCTTTTACTATTGAAGACAGGTAAATTTACCTTGGAACATGTTGCAGCAATTAGCTAAGGAGCAAGTATATGGTGTGTAGTATTAGCTTTGTGTTGTTTCTGTAGCGGATGTTGATTTGTCTTGGTTTTCAGTTATAATACATTAATCCGAGGTATTGTAATCAATGCAATATACATTCAAAGGTTTAAAACTTCAAACGGACTTTAAGCAATGTGTTATTTTCCTAATTATTAGCTTACTGACTGATAGAGACTGCTACCATAAAATACTGGTCAAGCACCCACTCAAAATTGGGAGATAATGGTGGAAAATTGGGAGATGGGCGCTTGCCAGGTCCGAGAGCGAAGCTGTAGAAGGAGTGCACGTTCGGGTGGGCTCTTGCTTAATCCAACCACTAAACTCAGAATGGCCGTCGCTTGCCGAGCTGGTCAAGCGTGCCATTGTATAAAAACGGAATGTCGGCATTGTTTTCACCAAAGAAAAAGTGCCCTTTTGCATCAGCAGCAACAACGATTGGGCGTTCGACAAAGTGACTTGAACGTTCCTAGGTTAAACCACTTTCACGATTTCACTGTCCGAAAACAGGCCACAGACCACGGCATGTTTATTGACATCAGTGTATCCGACGGACGAAATATCTGTTGGGTATTGACCCCAGTTTTGTTGACCGTATGCACTGCACGGTTACACTGTTGATCGCTTCTGCAATTTCCAACTTGCTGCTGTAACTTACTCACGCAGGCTGCCATGCCTGATTTGGCTCGGCTCCTCTTGGCCACTTAATTGACTCGGCAGCTGCGGAAAAAAGTCAATATTGACGACCATTTTGGGGTTGCGTTCATTATGCAAGGAAATGCGGTAATTAGTTTATTGCCATCTAGTCTTTATCACTGAAGCCTTCAAATTACTTTTCTGAGTTGGAACAAAAGAGTAACTCCTCTATCACTATCAGTTTTACCTCCTTTCGACTCTGCACCACTCGTCGTCCTTCTGCTCCGTCACTTCGCCGGTGCTGTCCGCCGGTCGCGGAGCTAACAGCCGCCCATGGCGACTGGGCGCTTGATGTGCCTTTCGGTTGTTTTCAGACTCGCTTAAAATAGGGGAGTGGGCATTTGATATGTCCTCAGATGATTTTTTAAATGTTTCAAAAGTAAAGGGTGGGTGCTTATTGCGACATGGGTGCATACTCAGTATTTTACGGTAGGTTGTTAGTTCTGTTCATTGTGTCCAACTTTTTTGTTCATAAAGAATTTTTTTTTTTTTTTTACTTTTGTAGCAAATGAGTTCAATGTTTGTACTGTGTTAGGTCTGTTTGCTGGCTAGATTTTTTTTTTTTTTTTTTTTATTTTAATGGACAGTGCAAGAGATGTCAGTCAACAATCCTGGTAATATGAAATGTAAATTTTAACATGAACTTCTGCTGGCATGTAAAGCTTAGGGAACTGTTCCAGTGTGGAAAGAAAGATTTGGACAAATAGTTTATGCACTGTTTAGATAAGGTAATACATACTTATTGTTTCAGTTTAGTAGGCTTTACTTTTAAAATCCTACGTGGTCTTTGTGCTTTTTCGGGAGCTTCCTTTGGCTCTGAAAGTTACTTATTAATCTTCATTTCTTTGTTGCACTTTTTTCAACAAAATATTCTGATGATTGAGAAACAAGTGTAAGAAAATCGTCACTTCCGTTTTGACTCGTGCAATAACAAACAAAACCTTCTTTATTTTCTGCCCAAAGGGGTGAAATGTCACATGTTTTAGTTTCTAACATGTCGGACTGCTGGTTTCCGCAGGCTCCCGCGAGCGCCAACTACAAATTTGCTTTGCACCGTAATTATCGCTCTAAAAAAATATTTGTTCATGTTAAATTTATTTTATGATGTTTTTTTCATGCAATAGCATTCTTTAGCTACCCATTCCCTCCCCCCGGCCCGGATTTCTTGGACTTTTTAGCATCCTAATGCACAGTAGACCATTTCCGCTCACATTCTCAGATTCCTTCACATTCGCGCCCTCTTCGAAGGACCTAACGACCTTGACGTAGTCCTTTCACCACCCTTGAGATCGCCATAGACGTCGTCCTTGAGAACTTCCTAGAGGTCATCTTTGATGTTGTCCTTGAGGGTCTCCTAGACCAGTGGTCTCAAACTCATTGGAATGCGGGGACCAGATAGCCCACACCGGAAAGGTCGAGGGCCAACGTAAGACAAGACGGGGGGGGGGGGGACTTTGTGCTCTATGCTTTTCGTAAACTCAGTTTTGCGAGCCACATCTTTAGATTTTATTAGTTTATATGACTTTTTACGACATTGCCCTGATGTGATAACAATAATTAAAATGACACCGCCCCACCAACGTGCTGGCATTTTTAATAGAAGATTTAATTTTTAATAGAAGAGAGCAAGTACACTGTTGTTCCCGTTGCTCAATGCACACAGGAATTAATCAAGCTCAACATGTCTCTAAATTACAATCGGTTAATCTGGCAGTTATTGCTTTCCTGGAGATTTTTATTACAATACTGACACACGATTGTCTTTTAATGGTGATATTTTTTTGAAGGTGAGAATCCCGTGCTCATAGCTAGAAGAACAGTGCTACTTTTGAGCGACAATGAATTGACGAGATGAGATCACTAAGGTGCATGCCAATTCTAGTACTTGAGGCATGGGAACCGGGACTCGTAGCCAGTTGGCCGGCGTGCCACGTCGCAGCGAGTCGCGGGCTGCGTGTTTGAGACCCCTGTCCTAGACAGATGCTATCGCAATTCATAGGAAACCAACAGTAGTGATTTCTGCAGCAACTTTTTTCCATCCAAGATGTTTAAAAAATAGTTTTTCCTTTGCAAATGTTTTTTAACATATTTTTGCACCCTCTATATTTTGCTAGTGCAAGCCTTTTTAATCTAGATATTTTGGTGAGGTGGCCAAACCACTAGCATTCTAATTTGTGAAAGCAAATTGTCACGACTGTGTCCATTATGAAATTGAGATGTCTTTACCTGAAAGCCAACCAACATTTTTTGTTTTGTTTATTGAAACATGCCTTTATCACCATGTGTAGTTCTTTTTTTTTTTTTTTGGGATGCTTTTTGTTATTGCAGAGGTTTTGGTTGCACATTTTTAACACCTATTAAACTGTCACGCACATTTGCCATTTAACAGCACCTTTCAAGGTTTGTTGGAACCGTGGTTTGAACGACACTGCCACTGACTTCTGTGTCTCCTTAGTAGCAAAGGGGCATTTGGTTTGTATTAAGTGTTCCCTTGGGATGCATATTGTGTTGGTTAGCACATTTTATTTAGTTCTGCGGGTTAATCCCCATCATTAGAACTGTAACCAAAAGCAAGCAGTTGGCTCAAGCAGTGTGCAGAGCCTTCATTCAGTGAAATAAAACATTGATTGCGAAGAGAAAAAAAAGAAGGTCTGAAGCAGCCTATTGATTTTGTAAGCCTGTTTCTGTCTTGTTTTGTCTGTTGTTGCTAGTCTGTTGCATTAATTACTTAGTAAGTATCAGATCATCTAGGTTTATATCTTCGCTTATCACAGACATGGATGAAACTGTATACACCGTATACAGTTTCAATAAAGGGCACCTGGTGCAGATAGCACATGCTTTAATGATTTGCCAGATTTGATCAATACACTTGATTGTTACTTGTTTATATGTGCTTGTTCCAATGTGGAGGTACAGGGTGGTTACAACGAAGACAGGATAAATGACTACTACTAATTGTTGAAGTGAAATTTACCTGTTGTGTTATTATGTACAGAAGAAGCATTGCACAAAATTGTGTTGTTTTTTCTGTGCATGACAGATAAGGGTTTTGTTTCATTTGAGGACAAGCAAGGGCTTTGCAGAATCGCCATGCTACAGGATCAACTAAAAGTTTGCGTATAACGATGCTTCTGTCTGTTTTGTGTACATGCTTTTTGGTGTGGACAACAAAGCGAATGTGGGCAAGTGCTTGTTAGTAGGACTGAGGGAGTTTGAGAATGAATTACATTACTGACCGGGTTCTTTGCTGGCAGCTTCTCGGCCAGTAGTGTAATCCAGCACCAACGTTTTGCTAGTGCCAAATGCAATGGTTGTTTCTGCCCTTTACTGAAACCATAATTGAGTAACACTGCTGGTATTCTCTAACTCTCTTCAGACCAAAGTAATGAAAATGCTGTACCTGCCAAGCCCGTACCACCCCCCAAACCCGAAACTTCAGCAAAGGTTCCAGACAAGTAAGTACATCTTGTTTCTTTTTTTTTTGCGGGGGAAACTTTTACAATTTTGATAGCTCTCCCCTTGACTTCTTGCAATGAAGCAGTTTAGGTTGTACCTTTTCAACAAAAATGAACATACACATTTGAAGCATAGTAATGCTCCAACGGATAGCTCAGATTAGCTAAAATAGCACTTCGTAAAATGCTGCACCTCATAACGGGCCGTGGAGATCAATTTGGGAGTTTGGGGGACGCCTGGGGGTTGGGGAAGGCGTGAGGGGACTCTGGTGAATACCTAGAAACCCTGTTTGAGAATTGATGCTCTGTTGCAAGAGATGGCCGGTGAGTTGTCTTTCTTTGGGTAGGAAGTGATTGCTGCGCCAAGGGCCTAACCCTGATACATCCTGCTACATTTTGCCGAAATATGGGTCACCTGCACCTAGCCTGCGCCAAAGGACCAGTTTCGGTCGCCTTTCAAAACAGAAACTAAATTGACTACCGTGAGCTAGATGGCGCAAGCGGCCGCCCGACACAAAGTACCTTGCATCAATCGTCCATCTGGTCTTGCATGGTTTTTCCCGCCGTTTCTCGTTTCACACTCGTTGTCTCGTGGGTGTCGTCTTGCATCTTTTTTAAAAAAATTTTTGTATAGATAGATGCACGCGTGTATGGACACTGCGACACTAGCGTGCCGGGTACCAGCCATGCCGTCGTGATGTGAAATGAAACCACGTTTTTGCGTGACGGGAGTTACTTTGCGAGCTGAAACACTCGCTCCTGAAAGCAACGGCCGTGGGAAAACCATACTTGGTCCCTGCCTACCAGTCATCGTGGTTGCATGACGTCGGGTGTTGCCATCCCCATGTCTCTGCAGATATGGCGCTTTCTAAACTGACACATAAGGACTGCCGCAAGGTCTCCAACACTCCTGTTCTTGTTTAAATCATACGTTACTACAAAAAGTCTTCTTTAACTAAAAGACTGCTTTGTCGAAGTATTGATTACCTAGGTTTCTCTCGGTGGGCTTTCTTTTGAGAGGGACCCTGGTACATGAAAAGTTTGCTACGAAGGAAAGTTGGGGAAGAGAAGTGAGCTAAAGCAAAAAAGGCAATGTCTGCACGCTGAACCCGTACAACGCGCTTGTTTGTCTCGAGTTCAGTCGTTGCACAAAGCGCTCCAAGAACTTTTTGACCCTGACTTGCAATGTCTTGCATTGATAGGCTCAGGTTCTTTTTTTGTGTGTGTTTAGCTTGTACGTTGCCTGCCGGCGTGGCAAGCACGTGCCGCTGGACTGTTATATTTTGCATACAATTTTTGGAACCAGTTGGCGGCGGAGCGGAGTGGCATGGTTTTGATCGAACAGCCGTCTCCGCTCGCACGACGAAGTGCGTGCTACTGCAAGCTGCCGAAGTTGCCCTCAAGTGCATGCAAACATGATTGCATGACAGACGCACCAACCGGGACGCTTGCAATCCATTGCTTTACGTTTGCTTACTTTTGACGAAAATCTGGCGCGTCGGGAACCTGTAAAACGGTGGCAAGCAGTTTTTTTGGAATTGCTCAGCAACGCCTACAGCACTGTACACTTGTGGGATGCCTCAATGTCTCTTTGGAGACATAGAAAAAGGACATTCATTACTTGTTGAAGGCAAAGCGAGGCTTGCAGCAGCCTTGCAGAAAGTTCCGAAAAGCTAAAGGAAAAGAACCCGCTAGTCATACTGCACCTTTTTCTTGTGTACAGTTTCGCATTGCACTGGAGTAGTTACATGTTTCATCAGTCGGAGACTGCTTCAACTTATTTTATTAAATAACTAGTCAATTTTATGCTTTGATATTTACTAATAAGTTGATCATATTCAAATAAATTTAATATGTGCAGTTTGGTTCTTATTTATTTATAGTGGGTACATATATATGTATCATTTAACTGAAGCACTGCAAAATGTGTCATCTCATTGGCATTTCGGTTAACATGTTGAAAGACTCCCAGGTGGTCTAACTTGACCATAATTTCTTTTTTTTTTTATTGTGGCGGGCAAAGTGCCTTTTATTTGTCCAGCCCTTAAAATATATATTTTTATTTTTCTAAGAATATCTGCTCCAAAAGCCACTTTTTGCTGTTCTGAAACACTGTCTTGGCCACTCAAAAAGTCACGTTTACTGCTACAAAACACTGTTTTGGTTGCTCCAAAAGCCACTTTAGCTGCTCCAAAACACCGTTTCAACTGCTCCGAAAGGTGTTCCAAAACGGCTTAGGCCAATCACATCACTGGACTTGGGAAAATGCTGCTCAGTAGTTCCCTTGAGCTTACTGTGACTCGTAATATTTTGCTCTGGTGTAATGTTTGTAAATTGAGAACAATAGAATGGGCAATATATACAAGTGTATATTGCCTACTCTGTATAACACTGGATGTTGTGAATCATTTCTATTGCAAAGCTAAATTCCTGCTAATTCTACCGGGAAGTGGCATTTTGGCAGACTTCCAAACTATGCATCCTGCAACCAGACCATCGTTTTCCATGTTCCTGTGCATTTTATGCTTCTGGTTTAATTATTATGGATGTGGAAAATCAGCTGTGGAAACAAAGATATGAAATCTTTATTATGATTGATATCAGTGGCACTTTCTGGTATTTAATTATTGCATTGGTTATAGTAGAGATGTTTCACTGCGTTGTCTCGGACCTTCTATGGGCACCTAAGGCAGGGACTCAAACTGAAATATACAATGTTTCGGTTACGGTTACCGCTTCCTGTTGATAACAGTTTCGTTTCGGTTTTTACGGTTTTAATTTTTACGGTTTCGGTTACCGGTTACACGTTCCTCAAAACCGGTTTATTTCGGTTTTTCGAATAATTTGTCTAATTGAAATGTTAGAGAGCCGTTTTATAATAAACAGTTTAAAGTAGTCCGAGATATCTAACAATCTGAAATTCAAGTAATATAGTAACGTCTTAATACTTCTAATCGGTCAAAAGTTGCACACGTTTCTAGCTCCAACGCTTGTTCACTACACCTACTTACGTTATATAGTTTGATGCCACGAGCATTCATGTTACTTCCGCTACCCGGGAATCATCGCACTCTATATAATAAAAATGAAAATAAACATCCCTACTTTGTTGTGTGGCAGCGTTTGTAAACAACCCCAAGAAAGTTCCCCCTGGGTGGTGGAAGAACCATTTGCACCTCCTCGTTGCTATAGTTTATTCAGGGTTCATGCGGGTTCTTGAAATCCTTGAAAACCCTTGAATTTGAAAGTAGCGTTTTCAAGGCCTTGAAAGTCCTGGATTTTTTACAGATCCTTGAAAGTCCTTGATTTTCGAGTTTGACGACGACATGTAGCAGATGTTTATGAACGCCTGGCCAGACTGGAATCGGTTTCGGTTCCGAAGGGCATAGCCAGATCCACATCCAATCCACTCCTTTGTGTTATTTCCGGTACGAGATCAGAAGTTGCCGGCGTAGCTCGAACGTAAACTGGTGTGTAATGTGTGCGGAACTACAAGTGAGAAATAATGCCAGGGAAATGCAAGTTCCAACGCTCGTGGCTGAGCAACGACAGTTATAGGCGCTGGCTTGCACCGGACCCACCGAATCCAAATCGGGCTAAATGCAAGCCTTGCTCAGAAACGTTCGACATCGCTGCTATGAGAGAGTCGGCACTGAAAAGTCACATGAAAAGCGCCAAACACAACGCGAATGTGAAGGCGGCAGTGAGTAACCCGATCAAGAACTTCTTGGTGCCCTCTGTAAGTGAATCGTCTGTGAACCCAACGTCCGTGGATCCAATGCAATCACAGTCGTTGGACTTGGACGGTGTGTGCAAGAAGCATGAGCTAGTGACTGATGCAGAGATTCTGTGGACACTAAAAGTAACTGCATTGCACTATTTCTACAAGTCCTGTTCACAGACAAGTGACTTGTTCAGAAGAATGTTTCCCGACAGCGAAGTCGCTTGAGCCTTCTGTGGAGAGCAGAAGTCTTCGTATGTCGCGTGCCATGGTCTCGGACTTTTTTTCTTATCTTCAATCGGCAGGTCACTGTTTAAAATAAGCAAGATATTTCCTACATCTTGCAGCGAATTGTATGTGATGCTGTAAACAAGGCAGGTGGCATCTTGCATGTTTGAATCACGAAGGAACGCAGGACTCCGTTGCTTCTGCTCGGCACCATTACCATGCTTTTTTTGGAAGCCGAGAAGTGGGACCTTGAAGGTGCAAGGCAGGTGAAAAGGTGCTACACTGACGAAGAAGTCGAAAGATTGAGAAAGAAGAAGAAACTGGAAGTATCTGTTGCTGAATTGATGTCTTAAGCAGACAATTAGGCAGAGAAGGCAGAAGCCACGAGTGACCTCCCATGGATCATGAAATCCAACAGCCTCAGGAAGACTGCAAGAAGCAAGGCACAGGGAATTCTGAACATTGACCTCGAAGTTCAGAAAAAGCAATGTAAACTACCATGAACATTGGACGAGTGCTTGTTTAATGTATATTTTTTGTTTAACATGTGGGACACAGCAATGTGTGTTGTTAATGTGCTTCTTTGAATCTAGCATACAAAAAGGAAAGCCCCTTAATATCTTGTCTCGAGCAATGAATATTACATTTTTAACGCATTTAGAATTATGTTTTGTCTAAGTAAGGCTCTGAACATGGTCCTTGAAAATATCCTTACTGGGCCTTGAAAGCCCTTGAAAACCCTCGAATTTTTGTCTTTGAGGACAGCATGAACCCTGTTATTTCAACCTAATACATGCAGACGAGTCTTCGTCCACATTGAAGGAAGGAGCAGAACTATAGCTATCCTCTAGTGAAATACTGCTAAGTGGAATAGAGTAACAAAATTGAGAGATAGGCTAGTGTGTGAAAGTCAAACAGTGTAAATGCAATAGACCAAGCAAGGAAGACTAAGGAAAGGAACGAACAGCACAGTAACAACACAGAAAGCTGTAAAAATAAGTTTTGTGTTGTTCTTTCCTTTCACAAGTCTTCGTTGTTGAGCCATGTTACA